ATGTTTCCACCTTAAGGAGAGAGCGCAAAAGGCAGTGAAGGCTGGTAAGCTGGTTTGCATAGTATAGTAGTCTGTAGTCATCGGCGTCGTTATTGTCGTGACTAGTGATGGTCCGGGCAGTGGTGACAAGGAGTGGGCCTAGTAATGGTCGCAGGACTTGCGCAAGGAGGATTCATGAGTTCATGCTCTGGATGCACAGTGAAGCGAGCAACCCGACGGGGGCCCCCTAAACCCTAAACCCCAAACCAACTCTAAACCCGAAACCTTAAACCGACCTGCGAAGGTCGTGCATGCCTTCCGTAGCGAGCATGCATGCACCGGCCTCATCAGCTGAACTTTCTTCGAATCCGTTTAGGGGTTTCAGGGTTTAGGGGTTTATGAGCTTTTGGGGTTTATTGTTTTAGGGCATCTTTTTGGGGGGATTGACCATGGCGGTTGGGGCTTCTAACCCATGCCCTGGCTTTTGTTCATGAGTCTGGCCACAATGAGGGATCACTGGGGTCTATTATAGGGTTCCTTTCAGGGGTACTTTAAGGGTTCCTTTAAAGGGTTCCTTTACAGAGATCTACAATGGGGAAGGCTGAGAAGATTCTAGGGTTCACTCGGCTTGCATGATCAGGACGAGGCGAGGGGCATCGATTGCCAAGCAGGGTCGGGTTCGGGGTCCCATTTCTGCAGACATTCTGACATGTTCACGGATACCTTGTCTGCGAAGTGCCAGCAGGCTTGGTGAAGAAGCTTTAAGACCTATGAGCCCGTTCAACACCAGCAGAAACCATCCCACACCACAACGTCCGTATTCGCATGTTTCAAGTCAAAAAATCTGGACTTCGACTGAAGGGTTCAGCCTTGGACACAGCCTTGTCTACTCTTCAAGGTCAGGGTGTAGGGTCTTGAACCTAAACCCTAAGGCCTTGTAAACCACATTAACGACACAGACTCTTTCAGAAGCTGCCGCCCCAAAGCCCGTGAACCCACAAAGCCCCAAGTGCCAAACTCTTCAATCCTAAAGCCTGAATTGGCCTAAATCTTGAACCTCAAGCCCTAAACTTTTACCAGCCCGAAACAGTGACCAACGCGAACCTCCTCTTCTATCCTAGGACCGAAATTGAAAACTTGCAAAGATCCTGCAATCCCAAACCTTGAGCTATAGTCTCCTTAGGAATCATTTTCTGTTCATATAAAACCCAAGAGAATATGAACAACTATTAACTATTATTTTCGTTATGGTTCTAAGAGGGGTATACCCTAAGGGTCCATGTACCCATGTAGAGATACATGAGCCCCAAAGTACCTATCTAGGGACTACATTAAGGCCAGTGTATATACTATATGAGTACATGGACCCTTCGGGATAGTGAGCCGACCCGAGGCTGAATCCCAAAACTCTTGTAGGCCCGCACTAGCGAGCAGCGAGAACCTGAGGTACAACCCCGAGACCCCCCAAATCCAGAGGCGCCCCAAACCCAAAGCCCACTGAACCCCCTAGGCTCTTCGTATAGTACCCTCATGCGACGTATGCCTGAATCTGAGACCCTATCTCCTCAGCCATGCAGGAGGAGAAAATCTCCTCTAAGCCGACAAACCTCAGACCTCTAAAATCATGGACCCATTAACCCAACTCAACCCCCAAATTCAAAAACCCCGAACCCTGAGTAAGGCCTAAAACCTTGAAATCATAAATACCCCAAACCCTGAACCCTAAACGTCCATTGAAACCCTCGGCAAGCCTTCAACAGCGGAGCCCCAGGGCTGAACCACCGTCTCTTTCAGAGTCGCCAGGAGCCGATTCACTGCTTCGGGGCAGTATTTTGTTAGGCATGTAGGGGTGGAGGCTAAGATTCTGGTTTGTAGGATTTATGCTAAGTTGCAGGGCCATTATGGTTTGCGCATGTTTGCCTTTTTGGTTTCGGGGCGTCAGGGCTTTAGGTTTGCGGGGCTGTGGGTTTTAAGCATTAGGGCTCCAGGGTTTTAGGGCTCTAAGGCTTTAGAGTTTTAAGGCTTAGCGTTTAGGGATTTTTGGTTTAAACCTTTTAGAGTAGGGTTTGCGGGTTCAGGGTGGAACTTGAACTGCTCAGGGCTTTGAGAGTTGGGCCCCCGTTCTGGCCTGCAGCCTGATGGAAGACATACCACCAAAGTCAGTCAACTTGCAGGAGAAGGAGCACAGAAGACTCCTGAAGAAAGAGCTAAGTTTAGCAACACCTCAAGAACTGGAAAATTATGCTTTGCAGTATAGCGTAGTCACATGGGGACTCAAAGGGGATACCACTACTAATTCCAGCACCATTTGCCTTTTGCTGCCGCCTGCTTCACAAAGTTCAGCACCGCCACCACCAAAATCGTCTTCCACATCATCCTTATCGTCATCACCATCCCCATCATCATCCTCATCCTCATCCTCATCCTCATCCTCATCCTCATCCTCATCCTCATCCTCATCCTCATCATCTTCGTATCGCTCATCATCGCCGCCACCATCATCATCAACAGCATCGCCGCCGTTACCTTCATCGTCATCATCATCATATTTTTCTTCATGTCGGGCATCATCTCCAGCATCATCTCCAGCATCATCGGCGTCACCATTCAAGTCGTTGTCAGGTGACGGCTATGTTCGGACTTTCTGCCACACCTCCCGACGCAGTCCGCACGTACGTCCCCATCGGCCTTTGTTTTAGTCTGTTGGCAAGACTCAGCCAGCTACTCAATTGAAAAGAGCTGCCGGAGCAAGACGAGCGGGGAGACAAAGCAGCACAAAGTTTTGTATGTTGGTTTCGTCTCCGTAGAAGTGATGTGTTTTCATGCGTTAATGATACTGGAAATTCTCAATTTAGCTATTTCAGCAGGCCGACGGTGACATCGAAGACTTCGGCGTGAAGACGGGCGATGTGGACACGTTGCTGAAGACACGGCTGGTCCCAGGCACCTAAAGAAGCCTTGAGGGAGCCCTTCTAGAATCCTACATGTCCGAACTCAGCAAGTATTGAGCACGCTCAATCCTTTTTTCGGCCTGCAGCTTTGCTTCGAGGGTTGATGGGGTTAGTGTGAGGGTTGCTAGGCGTGCGACAAGGGGGACTAAAGGTACTGTCGGTTGGGGTTCTGTCAGCGCTGCTTAAGTGCACTATCGAATGACATGTAATGCCTCACCAGAGTAGCAACAGTGTTCGTAGTTGTCGCATTAGTTAGGGCAACAACCGCTCTGCCCTGGCAAGGCACCTCTCTGAGAAAGATGTGCTTGAATCAGTCACAAGACGCTTGTCCTAAGGAAAGATCTGCAAAACCCTGAAGCCTCCGAGAGTGAGCGCCGAAAGACCAAATTCTGCTGGACAACCCTAAACTATAAACCCTAAACCTGGGATATATATATATATATATATATATACATCCCGCATGGATTTGTCATGCTTTAGTAGTGCTAATTGATTTACCTCTAATTATATTTTTTTGTTTTAGTCCGAGTGTGAGCGCCGAGACCTGTGTCGGCAGCGCAAAGCGACGAGCGAGGCGGTGTAAACCCGAAGCCGAACAGTCGGGGTCCAGAGCAGCTGGCGCCCTCGTATCCAAAAGGAGAACAGCACCTCTCTCAACACAGACTGTAGAACAACAAGCTAAATCTTGCTTTGATGGCCCCAATAGAGAAGACCATATATATAGTGCACCCTTCTAGGCAAGCTCGATTGAAAGCCTTACGCTGCCATTGTGTAGTTGTGGTATGGTACCCCCCCGAAACCCCGTCCGTCAGACTCCACAGCAAGAGCCCGATCAAGTCTTGCACCTCCAGGTGAAGCTTATCTTTTCCACGGCACGAATCCTTCCTCGGCCGGGGGCCCTTGAGATATCCCCAAGCCGTTGCCGCTCGAATTTGCAACCCGAAACGATCGCCCCGAGTAGTCTAATTTTCTGAGGCCATGAGCATCTTGAAAACCGGCTTTGTGCTGGACCACGCTGGCAGTTCTTGGCTCAGCATTCCATCGTGACGATGAAGGTGATGATGACGATACAGATGATGGCGATGGCCGAATCTGACTCCCCTCAGAAACTGCCTGAGCGAACGTATACACGGTTCAGACATCGAGAGCTGCGGCGTCGCAGCGCTTGACGGTGTCCTCTGCCAGGTGCGACTGGTACAATGTACGGAGCCGGGGTGGCAAGCTTACTGGTACCAGCGCGCAGTCCAGCCGTGCACTGACTGGTGAGAGAAATCAGAATTACGCCGCAGCTCCAATAGAAAGGTGTGCCGCTGTAGCCCTAAACCCATTTCATGGACTAACGGGCTATAATAATGGGTATATAATAGCTATAATATTAAGGGTATATAGTTAGGGGTCCTTATGAAGGGTCCATCCTTTTCATGGAGCAATGCCAGAGATCAAAGCTTAAGGTGTACATGGCCGAGTGCTCCTCCAAGTCGGACGAGTACGGTCGAGATGACGGCGGAAATACGTACCCGTCCCTACATGCAATGCTTGTGTGCCTGCAGCTCAGTCAGTTTTTGGGGCTCTGTATCGCTCTTACTCTTGTAAGCAGCATTAGGACGGCTGGGGCCACGGTTTAGGAGAGCCATCAAATTGAAGTGCGAAGTAGACGGAGAAGGAGCGCATGATCATCAAGTCGTCACCGCAACCATCACCACATCTTCAACGTGGTCTGATCAGTTTTGCCATCGCCACAATCACCGTCATCTTCAGGGCCATACTTTTTGGTAGCATCCTCATCATTCGATGGAAAGAGGTCCGTATCCTCATCGTTGTCACCAGTACAGCCTCAGTCTCATCACCTCAAATGTTGCCACATGCCACAGCCAGTCCTAGTTAGATGCCCCATGAGCAAGAGCTTCCGCCATATCCACAAGCGACATGATCATCATCTTCGTTATCGTCGGCATCATCAGCCGCCCATACGTCGTCTGCATCCTCCGCATCAACAGCGAAAGCAGCTACAGGCTTCCGCCGCTACCGGCTTTCCCTTCCCCTCCATTATGTTCTCCATGCTAGTTTGCCATGGCACCGCCACCTCCACCACCCCACCGCCACAGCCGCAGCAACCGCCGTTACCGCCCGTACTCCGTGTCCTTAGTCTCCGTGGAGGCCCTCAGCCCTCAAACGTTGCACTGTCGAGGCAAATGCTTCGTTGGGGCGCCTTTCGTGACCGACACAGCCGGCGATCATGCCCCTTGGTTCACCCAAGGTGTTGATTCGTCTGTAGACTGCGCCTCAGGGGCCTCCGAGTTGCTGCTTCTTCTGCCAAGTGTGCATCCATGATGTTGTAGACGACTTGCTATAAGTATACTGCTTAAGTCTGATTTGCCGAGCACGAGTGACAAAAATACTGCTTAAGAACAAGACTAGCAAACATGACAACAACACTAACAATAATGCTGACTCGAGCCGGCTGGGCGTTGCGTTTCGCTGCTTTTTGTCTCCAAAACCGAGTGAAGCCAAGCAGCCAAGCCACACCGAGGAAAACAAGACCCCAAACCCCCCAAGCGTTTAAACCCTAAACCCTTACAGCAGCGCACAACACATGACTATGCCAACAGTTTTGCGGCACTCGAAGACTCGAAAACAATGCCTTCAGGTTTTTGAGCTCAACGATGTAGTATAGGATCCTCAACATGCGCCCTTTCATCTTGCAAGTTCAACTTCTTGACATTCAATAGATCCTGGAACCCCAACTCAAGAAATCAGGAAGACCTGATGTCAGAAACCGTGGTACACCAAGCAAACAGGAGCTGCACAAACAGCTCTGGCTTCTTAAGCCCGAAACCCCTTAGCACTTTAGCCTTAAACCCTAGCTGACCCCATAAATCCGTGCCTGTGTCATGCGAGCGCGCGAGTCGAAACCCCAAAGACAACCTAGTCCCGCGTTCCTCCGTTGATGTGGTTGTCAACATTGTGCTGCCTTTTTGGGTCCCTATCGTAATACGGCACCTATTATTTAGGGTACCCCAACAAGGGACCATGATTTTGACAACCACCCATTTATGACTTCTCAAGGTGCCGGCAGCCCGGAGCAGCGGCAACCACTGCATTTGTGGGGACCGTGAGGCGAAGGCACCGGGTCGCGCGGTCACCCGTACAGAAACAGCCATGTGAACTTACCGTGCAAATCAGACTATACAGTATACCGCTGTGGGAAGACATGAGTTTCAAACATGAAGCACATGGTTTGATCTGAGTATCTGTACCTGAGTCCTTTGTCTTGCTTGGGCCCCTTACTCCCTTAGACTCCACTGGAAGCGAGAGTGCGAACAACATGTGATGGGATCACTTAGATTTCGTGATGTAATTGGTGGCTCGCGACGGCAAAGTCGTGCTTCCCTGACAAAACAACAGATTGAACTAGGCACATACAGAGTCATGTGGGGAAGATATGGACGGCGAGAGCGGCAGCAGCAAGTCATTGCCCGAGGTTCTAGCGTTGTCACTGTCTTTGTTCTTCTGGTCATGCCTTTTCTTGCTATCATGTACTAGACAGCTGCAGGTAGGTAGCGGGCCAACCAAGTCATGTGTAGAAAGTGTGCAGCCGCATTAGGAAGAGAACCAACTAACCAATCATAGTAGCAGCCTTAGCCGTAATTAGCAGGTCGCGCAAAATGCTCAGTGCCATCAACTGTATGAACGTGCCATACGCCTCCCCAGGCCACTACTGTTTATCCGAGCAACGTTGCCTAATCCCTTATACAAGCACCATCGGAGTGAGGCATGGACCAGCATTCTTAAGGGGCTCCTTTGGGATATGATCACTAGTTTGATTCTTCCCACCTCTAATCTAAGCAAGTATAGGATGTTGTTTGTGCTTCTCAGAGGAAGCCTCTGCAATGGTTTGGCCAGCGAGTAGTAAGAGCCTGAAGTTGCACAGACGCACTCTGCGCCTATAGTCTCCTTAGGAATTTTTTTTGTTCATATAAAACCCAAGAGAATATTGACAATACTGTTTTTATTATGGTTCTAAGGTGGGGTATTGGTGCGGTTTGATTCGTTGTGCCAGCTTGTAGCTCTTGGAGCTAACCGCGGGGGCATGGAGGATTCAGCATCATTCATGATTGAACACACCTCCAGGTGGGGACGTATCGCGAGTTTGTTTTCTTCGACGAAGAGAAGGCGCGACGCTGACCCCGAAAATCTACCCATGCTTTGCCTCGCATTGCCGATGTTTGCATGCTGGAGTCCATAGTACCCTAAACCCTATATATAAACCCTAGACATTAATCCTAAACCCCCTAAACCCTAAACCCCATAAACCCTCTTAACTAACCCTGAACCCCGTAAGCCCTAAACCCTATAAACACTATAAGCCCTGTAAACCCTAAACCCGTTAAGCCCTAAACCCTAAAAGTAGCAGGGGTTTGGTTGCGTTGGGAAGCTGTGGGCCGCTCGACTCCCAAGTTGAAACTCGGGTGAAGCTACGCAGTACACCCCACCTAGACTCCATGGTAGTTCCCTTTTTGGGGGTTACGTTATAGGATCCTGAACATATAATTGGTTAAGCCAAGTAGAGGCCCAGTAGTACTCTTTTTCCCTTTTTGTAGTCCGAGGTTCCTTACAAAGTTACGCAATACCAAAAAGGGAGGCCTTTTTGTTCCACCCTACCTATAGCCTATAGTCTCCATTGTAGTTCCGTTTTTGGGTTAGCTGAAAGGATCCTTAATAATTGGTTAAACCAAAAAAGGAACTACAATGCAGACTATGGGTAAATCTTAACGTAGACCCCTGATGAATACACCCCTTTACCCTGCAAGAAATTTTGGTTGGGATCCGAAAGTCATGGCCGTTAGAGAAGAAGGGAGGTTAAAACTCAGGGGTCTACACTATATAACCCGAAATAAAGAGCACGTGCTGAAACGTCTTATGGAGCGTAGCTCCGAGTTCTGATGTCGATCGTGTAGCTTGCGCAGCCTTTTCCTCGGCGCAGTCATCCCGCAGAGTCTGAGCCTTGCACTTTTCTATCTAGGCTGGCCCCCTAAACCCTATAGAGAATCCGCATCATTCAACTTTTCACACCGACTCCGCACCTAAGAACCTCGCCTGGCTGTGTCCGAGTTGTGAGAGCGTAAACCCTAAACCGTAAACCCCCTACTTGCAGGATCATGGGACTTAGTAGGTAAGGTTATAAGTACCTTAATTGGGGTTATAAGTATAGTTACGCTAATTATAACCCTAGTTACTAAGTCCCATGATCCTTTAAGTATAGGGGGCAGGTACGATTTCAGAGCTTGGCTCCCAAGCCCGTCTTGCCTGTAGTCTCCATTGTAGTTCCCTTTTTGGTTTAACCAATCATATATATATATATATATATATATATGGGTACCCCCCTATATGGGGTCCCCTGGGTTTTTGCACGCACACCTAAACCATTAAACCATTAAACCATTAAACCAATCCTTTCCCCCAATGGACCCAAACCAATAAACCATTAAACCATTAAACCAATCCCTTCCCCCAATGGACCCAAACCAATAAACCATTAAACCATTAAACCAATCCTTTTGCCCCATACCACTAAACCATTAAACCATTAAACCAATCATTTCCGCTATAGAGAGAGACACATCCCTGTATGGGCCGAAAGCATTGGTTTAATGGTTTAATGGTTTAGTGGTTTAGGGGCATTGGGGGAAAGGATTGGTTTAATGGTTTAATGGTTTAATGGTTTAATGGTTTAATGGTTTAGTGGTTTAGTGGTATGGGGTAAAGGATTGGCTTAATGGTTTAATGGTTTAGTGGTATGGGGCAAAAGGATCGGTTTAATGGTTTATTGGTATGGGTCCATTGGGGGAAAGGATTGGTTTAACGGTGTACTAATTTAATGGTTTGTTGATGGTTTAATGGTTTAGTGATGGGTCTAGGGCTGTCTACTACGCAGGTGTCCTGGTTATAACCGGGGACAGAGGTTATAACCAGGCCTGTGCCACCGCTACTTCATCAACACCTAAATCCAAACGTTCGAAAGTTTCGGTGTTTCAGTGAATGTAACCGCAATGAAATTAAACAAGGACTAGAAGAATAGAGGGTCCGAGGTAATTGGCATGTATTCGGTTGCTGAGGCATGATGCAGTGCTCTGTAACAAACATAATTCCGGGGACCATGTGCGCATTCCCCAACTTTAGCGGAAAGGCTATATGGCGGACTTTACATAATGGTCTGTCCGTTCCAGTACATCGGGTTTATGAGATCAGTGTACACATTGAGAGAATAGCCGTTAACATGTCACTCACCCAGGAATCAAAATGCGGAATATGAAGGGGCTCTATCGGGATTACAGTAGGTCAGAAAGTGTTGTCAACATTGGAATATCACGGTACACAGAAAGTTGAGATACGACTGATGCGACGTCATTGTAGGGGAGAGACAGTATTTCAAAGTTTACAGCGTGGTCAGGTTTCATCACTTCGTACATAGGCAAACTGGTTGCAACGTTATGTTCAAACATCGTCGTTCCAAGGAAGCCGGATTTCGACGAGACAAAACTGATAAGAATATGTGTGGTGAGCGAAACAAAATTTGCAACTTGCAAATTGTTAGGTTTCCTCGCTCGGTACGTAGAAAATTCCTAGCGCTGCTATTTCCAACTACATGGATGAACCTCTTTCGAGGAGTGATTCGGTGTGTGGTTACCACTTTTTCTAACACGAGGATCACGTTCTGGACTGGGAACAATGGCTTCTGTTCGACCTTCAGTGAATATTCACAAGAACACAAACAGAAATTCGGACAAGCTAGATGTAGCCTTATGGTTTTCAGTCGGCTTTACGTGATGGTTAAAGTATGCTGATACAAAAAAACACAGGCTTCATCACTCAGCATATAGAGATAGTGCGCGTCCTAAGAAGCGACGCTTCATGTCGTCCCCCAGGATAAACACTATACAACGTCTGCTAAGCTTGTAGTATGCAAGTTTTCAATTTTGGCTTGGGGCAGCCGTCATACAGAATTAAGGAATGCACCACTCAAATACACCTACCGGATATACCAGTGTTTAAAAGCAATCACATACGGGCACAGGGATATGTCATTGAAAGCTATCAGGTTGCCAAAACGTCATGGCAATGCGTCCAACAACAGAGACTTTGGTGGGATTGCGGCATTACAGTACAAAGATGGAGAACTTTTCGTTCCAAAATTTAGTTCGCGATAAAGAATGACTGAAGCAGACTCATGACTACAGCGCGCTTGTTGGAAAAAACTGAAATACAGCGGGTTAGATACAGCCACACAAAGATGAACTACGAAGATATATCGACGGCTTCAAGGCAAGGATTTTAGCACATTGTAACAGGGTTTCGACGAGGGTGTCATAGAATTCTTAGCGTTGTGCGGGTTTCAGCATTCTGAAAGCATGGGTTGTTGCAACTTCCCGGGTTAGTCTTCAAACCGGATATAATACTGTAGTCGATGACGTACACCTGATTATAACCTAGTCGGCTGGTTATAACCTAGTCTGGTGGTTATAACCGAGTCAGTTGGTATAGCGAAAAACGTAGGGGACCCCAAATAGGGGTGCGCCCATATATATATATATGTATATTTAGGAGCCTATCTGAACCCCAAAAAGTATGTAGAACAATAGCCCTTTATAGGTTTTGGGCCATAATTTTACTTACTTTTTTGGGGGTTTAAGAAAGAGCTTCGAAATCCAAATCAACTGGCAGTAAGCTTTCAACCCCTCTGCCTACCTGCGACGTTTCAGCAAAGACCTTCAATAACTCTGGATCCCATGTTCGAACAGGTATACTTAGATAGTGAACGGGGGAACGTTAAACTTTTTGGCCCTATATATTCTCTCTATCTTAGACAGTTTGAACTTGTTGGGGCCCGGTTGTTGAAGAAGAGAGTATAGGGTTTGGGGTGTAGGGTTTAGGGTTTAGGGTGCTCTCTAGATCGCGTGTTCGAACAGGTATACCCGGAATATGCCATCATCTACAGAAGGCAGTATGACAAGAGCAAGGCGCTGCTGGTTCTCACAAGCTCAGGTGCTATAATTCCAAGGGTAAAAGGAGGGACCCTTAATAAGGACCCCTAGGCACATACCCTTAATATAGCTATTATATACCCATCATATAGCCCATTATAGGGTAGGGGTCCCCATTATGGGTCCTCCTTTTCCCCTTTGAAATGGCGATGGTTCGCTCCCGAAGTGGGTACGGGCATTGGGTTGGATTTGGGATTTATGCTTGGGGTTGAATGGAGTCTTCGCGAAGCTTTTTCCGGCAGCTCCTGTGGGGAAAGCAAGAATCAACAAGGCGGAGTTCGAATTCAAGGCCATAAAAACGGCCCGTTTTAGGGGTCCACCGTCTTAGGGATTCCCTAAGCCCCTAAGTTACGTAAACTCTCCACCGAGGGTTTCTTTGGGATTGTTGGCTTGCAGTCGTTTCTGCTATTTCCTGAGGTCACAACTTAACTTTCAAGAAGGTGTTTACTAGGGCTTCAATTTCATTGGACCTAAACCATGCCTCAAAGGTTCACGGTCGCCCCTGCAGGACGCAGTTTTGTTTTACCGAATCTGCTGGTGGAGGCATGAGCCTGCACAACGAACACTGCCTGGACACCGCAGCATGTCTTGTGTCCGCTCTGTGCTGCTGGTTGCCGCCAGAGCCCGGCGCTGAACACGCAACCGGGCCCTCTCTGTGGCATCCTTCTCCAGGAGCTTGGTGTGTTGTTGCACGGTCTTGCACTCGTCCTCGCTGTCCTCACCAGCGTATCCAGCACCCTCGAGCACCTATGCGGACATCCTGACCTGTGCAGCTCGCCCTCGTGCTCGCTCAACAATTGAATCTCCCTGCAGGTATGTGCGTGCTGGTCGAAGCTCCGTTGTTCACATCAACTCCTGCCTGTTGATAGTGCATAAAGTCCTTTCTTACGCTTCAGGCTTTGTAGTTCTGTAAGTTCCGCCTACGGGTAGGATGGTCTTGGCATCGGTGCTCCGCCTTGTTCAGCTCTATAGACGCTCAAGCTCTAAGCTGAATCCGAAAAATCCACCACACCCTCTTCGCGAGATCAGGCAGGACATCGCCCACTTCTGGGGGCCGGCAAACTTACTCATGATTCGGCCGTACAGTTGAAAGGCCTAGCTAAACCATCACCTAAACCGCCTAAACCCCACGAAGTAGGTAAAATCATGGTCCCAATACCTGAAAAAGGGCTATGATTCCACATAGGTTTGTGCTCCAGGCAAGGTTTAGGGTTACAGTGGGCCTGGAGCCCTGAAGTGCTTGGTCAGGTGCCGGAGGAAATGGTTCAGAAAACAACTGGCCGCGCCCCTGGTCGTTTCTGATGATCTGTACTTATAGGGCCTTATGTCCTGTGGGGTGTTTCGAAAGCTCACAGAAGGGAAGCGGTTCTGAAGAAGCTGCGCCAACTTCTATAAATAACCTTGTCCTTTAGAACCCAGACTTGCCGAAACGGAAGTTTGCCCCTGCACCTTTTCAGGAACAACCGGCCGTTTCTGGCAGATGAAAGCGCCTGACTGGAGGCAAGTGGTAGATGTATCGGACGACGAGTTCGGGTACAGGGTCTACAGCTTAAGGCATCGGGTGTTCTATGCATTTATGTAATCTCCAGGTTTCATGTGGTAGGGTTTCTGTCTCTTCAGGGTCTGTTTCAGGTTCAGGGGAACCATGGTAGAACAGCTGCTACTCGACCTTCGCACATTATGGTATTTGACGGATTTATGGCTGAAACGCTGCAACAAGCAATCGGAAACCGATTGTAAGCCCATTTCCGTTGCCAGGAATGTACCCCCAGAGCTGAACAAAGTCTTGCGCTGCCCTCAGATCCATATTCATAGGCGATACTGTATCGGTGTCAGAAGAACTCCATATTTGCCTGCCGTGAGCATGTATGTGTGTGTGTATATATATATATATATATATATATATATATGGACATCTGCATATACAAATACATATGTTTATATAACTATATATATATGTATAAACACATATACTTTTGAATGTATATGTGTGAGCGTATAAAATTTATGTATGTGTGTGTATATATATATATAAACATATATATATATATATATATATATATTAAATGTGTGTAAATCTCTTTTTGTCTCTCTCTGTCTCTGTTTATGTTTGTCTGTCTGGCCGTCTGTCTGTAATTATATGCGCAGTCACAGCATGTGACTGGAGGTGAAGGGCATGCGCCGTAGAACAGAAAACAGTTACGCTGTGTGTCCACTTGGTCGTGGCTCGGTCGCCTGGGTACTTTAGTTGAAGTAGGCATAATTGCAGGATGCGGCCTCCAACAAACCTCAACCCACACCAAGCCCAACTCAGCACTTGACCTACCCAATGTCCTTGTACACACGCACACACAAACAAACAAATCGGCGCATAACCAGATTGTCCACCATAAGAAACGGTGGTTATGCAACCTGGCCTACTGCAATGCACAAGACGGCCAACCCCCAGAACAATCAGCCCCCACCAGACGTATCAGCAGGCTCGGGGTTTAGGATTTCTGTTTCAAGGTTTGGTTTCTTCAGAACGCAAGTCTCTGAACGTAGGGTTCTTACCGATGTTGAAGCTGAGGGCCCGCCTTCGGAAATCCCTTTCATAGTGGAGGGACTGATTTTCCCTAGGGATCAAAATATCCCAAAAGCCTTATATAGTATGGTCTTTGGGCCCAAAAGCCTTAATATATGAGTCCTTAGATCCTTAGGGTTTGGAGTCTCTTGACTCGTTATTACAGCCTCTACATTACCCACGTTTGCGGAGTTCTGTCACACCGGTAGTCGAGGCCGACAATGACCCCCAGAACTTGCGGGGTCTTAAGCACAGTTGCCGCGATCACCGCCTTCTCACACAGTGAACCCATAGACTAGCTACGTTGGCCCTAATTTCCCATGCAGGGCCTAAGAGGATCGGCTGTACGGGTGGAATTACAAGGCCGACCTAGTCGAAGCTGTGGCCTCCATCAGTAGCTCCGCTGAGGATTCAAGCTATGAAGGATGGACAGGAGGAGGTCCAGTTGACGCAAGGGCCCTTGGAAATGTCCAGGGAGGTGTAAGTTTCCTGTGTGGAGTTTGGGATATTGGGAATGGTTGTAGGAAGGGCATCGAGAAACTAGGAAGTCCGGCTTGGAAGAAAGGAGGGATTTCACACCACCAGTCTGATATGCCAGAGCTGCCAGAGACCGACCGTGTAATGTTTGCCTCGTTACAGCATATCCAACTTTATCATATCAAACCACCGCATTCAATTGCAGGGACTATCTTGAATCCGCAAAGGTTGTTGCAAAAGGACCCAGCTTCTTGATTTGATTTTGAGGTGGCGCAGGGACGTGGGGATCCCAATAACGTCCCTCGGAATTAGGATCTGTAATTCAAAGATTCCCCCTCCCCAGTAAAGGACCATACCCCAGAACCATGTTGAAACCATGAAGGCCCCTACATTACTCTGGAATCCATCCTGAAAGCGAGGAGAGGTCTCCCCCAACCGGGATCGCTTAGCGGTTAGCTGGTTAAGCAATAGGTGATACAAGGATTACCGGAAAAGTAGACCAAACATACGATGTAAGAAACCTAGGTTAAAGCTGGGTGCCGGCAGGGCCGGGATACTGTAGAAGCTTAATCCAGTAGTACTGCACCTCCTCAGGGTTCCCAATTAATGTAAAGAATAATGAGTAGAATATACACCGAAACCCTATTCTAACCATCAAGGCCTCCAGTTACCTAAATAGAGGTTGCTAACCATCTAAACCCAACGCCTAGGTCACTGGGCCCTTGGGTTAGAGAGGTCTAGGAATGAGGCTTCTGAGTTTTCGGGGCTCGGCTCCCCATGCTTCCTACCACCGAGGTTGAATGGCACCGAGTATGTCAGCCTCTCAATAGTTTGCAGGGTTCAGGGCTGTTTTAGTTTTGTTTTTTATAGCTTCTAGAGCTTGAAAGCTTAGGGATGTGCAGCTTTTATGCCAAAGCCCCAACCCTTCGAACTTAAGTGCAGCTTTTGTATGGAGTTGCGGAGGTCCCAGTCCTCAGCCTCAGCCGTTTTCTCCCTCACTACGCTTGAAGGTGAGTTCTAAGTTGTATGGTCTTGGAGTTTGTCGTAGCTTTTAGTTTTGCGGGCCTTCGAGCGTTGTCTTCCTACTCGTGTACTTGCCTTTATGTGTCTTCTCTGCCGAGTGGGCGGACACTAAAACCGAAACCCTAAACCCTAAACCTCAACCCTGAGCTCTACGGCCCTGCTAAGTTTACATGTTCTCAATCTCCAAAAGGCGGCTGGAGCCGGGTGCGATCGTAATGTAGGGGTCTTTAATAACTAGAACAGGGTTTGGGTGGTTTTTCGGTATATTATATACTATGATTAAAGTAAGGAACCCCCAAATCCCTTTTCTAGTTATTAAGGCGTCTACATTACATTGTAAGCAACAGTGTCCTTTATTTCGAGAGCACGGCCCCCTCAGCGGACCAACCCAGGACTGTCCCAAGCCCGAAGCCAGAAAACAGTTGTGGGCTTAGGCTCAGGGCGGTTCGTGTTTCAATGGTTTCGGTTTAGGGTTTAGGGTGTTCCTGGCTAGGGTTTGGGGTTCAGGGTGTGGTGTTTTAAGAGCCCAGCTGCACAACGGATGCAGGGTTTTCATGGTGAGGGTTATGGTGAGTGGCCAGGCGTTCAACCTCACCGAGAAGAAGGGGACCAACTTGAGGACAAGGGGTCGGGTGTGGGAGCGTGACCAACTATCACTGGTACTATAGGGGCCGAAATAGTTTCTAATAAGTTTTTTGTGGTTCCGTATGATATTTATAGTAGAATGGGCCCCAAAACCTTGTTTTTATTTTCTAAGGCCCCTATATTAGGCTCCTTCTTGGACTGAAAGGGATATTGCGAGGGCCTAAGCTGCTAGTGTTTTCATTCCCAAGCAATACAGATCTTACTGTCTTAGTCTAATGACTTCGGTATTCTGCTGATGGTAGTGCGGTGGGCTTGGACCAGGAACCAATGCATCCTTCCTTGTCTGGTGTGGAGCAGCTGAAGGAAGAACATCGCCAGAGACGGATGGAGCTGAAAGAACAGAGTCGAGCTGAACGTGCTGACCGTGTGAAGAAGAAGAATATATCACATGCTGGCGCCAATTAAACGCTTAGGTATGTTGCAACTAGCTGCACTAGCTGTTCCTATAATGAACAGCTTGAGAGCGGGCCCGGTAGAGTCGCTGCAGACCGGATGCAAAAAGGCCGCTATGGTAGATGGCGGCAAGAAGGGCCCACACTTTCTGTTGCAATTTGATGATCGTTTGCCCACTCTTCGACTTGTCCACCTCTCGTCCGGAGTTCTTACTCTGTATGCTAGTACAGGCTGGCGCCCTTCACTGTGTCTGTTAATACTTGTATATACAGTGCATGTACCTATGTGCATGTTTATATATATATATACACACAGACGCACATACGCATATATTAATGTATATATATATATATATATAGATATATGCATATATACATATATATATATAGAGAGAGAGAGAGAGAGAGAGAGAGAGAGAGAGAGAGATATGCATCTGTGTGTATATACACACACACACACATATATATATATATATATATATATATATATATATATATGTCGAGGGATCGAGCGAATTCTATGTAGCTCCCGGTCCATCTATCATTCTCCTTCTAGCCATCATCCGTCTATCTATCTACCTATCTGTCTATCTGCCGGCCCATCCAGCCAAAAGCGAGAGAGATAGAGAGAGAGAGAGAGAGAGAGAGAGAGAGAGAGAGAGAGAGAGAGAGAGAGAAAAAAAAAGAGATGGTGGAACGCGTGAACTGGCCGCCCACCGGGGGGGAAGCCACGAGAGGATACGACAAAGCCCTCCAGATCCTGGGCATCCTCGAGCACTCGTTCCCCGACCGGCACAAGGGGGACCCGGCCCACGAAAACCCCAGGTGGCTGCAACAATGGGGGACAGCACTGGCGAAGCACGTGGGGGGGATGGCCATCCAACAAGGCAGCAGGAGGCGGCGGGCACCCAAAATTTCAATGGCAGAAAAGCCGGCACCCACAGACGAAAGTGCCTTGGTCCAAGGGGGGCCACCCGTCAACAGGAACGAGGCAGAACACCCAGCCCGCACCGAATTGCCCGGGCCCAAGCAGCAGCCTTCCAACGGGCCTTCAGCAACGAGACCGAAGCGGCGGCGGACCAGGCCATGGACAACACCGTGGGGTTGGGGGGGGGGGGAGCACCCAAAATGAGCCAGCGCAGCCAACATGGGGGACACAATGCCCGCAAGCCCCAACAGCGGAAGAAGCCGAGAGGGTGGAAAACCACATCACCGAAGCCATGCAGCTGGCGGGGGCAATAGGGCTGGATGCTGCCGCAAACCACCTGGCCGCGGCACTCACAAGCCTGCAGCTTGACCAGCCGGGAGGAGAGCACAGGCGGGGGAAAGTCGCCCCGCCACCACCCAACGCCTTCGAGATAGCGGCGCTGGTTGCGGGGGTGATGGATGAAGCACCGCAGCCACCCACCATCGGCGAGCTCCTGGAAATCCTGGAACTGGTCCAAGCGGGGGCACTGCCAGCAGACCCACTGGGCAGAGGATGCGGCGGAGAAGGCGGAAGCACTGTTGCACACCCTCATCACCACCATGGACCCAGAAGAGGGGATTGGCAGCCTGGCCACACTACGCAACCTGCTGGATGAGGCAGCAAAGGGGGTGGCAGTGCTGGTGGGGGAGTACCCATTCCGAGGTGGCGCAGACCAGCTGGGGAGGCCAACGCACCCAGCCAATGTCATAGGGCTCCAAGCACGGGGGACCGAAACGATGCCAAGGCCGGTGTATGCAGCCAAAGCCCGGCTCCGACGGCTCACCCCGTTCCTGGTGGGGGACGTTCCACGGGAGGTGGAGCAGGCCCTGCAGGAGCTGGTCGCGTGGACAGTGCAACACTGCAGAAAGTGGAACTGGTGGGGGAGAACGACCTCAACACGCCGGGCATGACACAGCTGGACGCGTGGGGGCATGGAGACCCAACCGAGCACGCGGGCAACGTGGCGGCCAGTTCTACCAGAATGCCTACCCGATTCGCCGAAAGCCCGCCTGACAGACCCACGCCTGAGTGGGGTGAACGCCGCCGCAGTTTCACGAACCCCAGCTCCCTAGACCAGGACGACTGACCCTGAAGCTGACCGAAGCGTAGTACGTCTGCGGTACAGGGGGATTACCAGGTTGTCGGGGAGCTAGGGGGTAGCAACTTTCCGCGAGAGCTGGGCACGACCAAGGTGATGCAATGTCGATGTTTGGCTAAGTCGAAACTTGTCGTGTGTCGAGTGTTTGCCGTGTCAGCAACTAGGGGAGACCAGCCGGCGACAGCGAAAGTAGGGGAGGTTTCAGGGAGGGGGTGGGAAGGTGAAGGCAGTGTTGCGCGAGGTTCTGTTCGGGCTAAGGTGGGAGGCAGGTTAGGTGGGGTTAAGTAACTCACCTTGGATGCTCGGGGACAAGGCCCGCAGCCAGCAGCAACGGAGCTTGTGAGTTTGGAACGTAGACGCACCACCTTGTTGACTGTAGGCCTCTAGTGAGTCTGTAATCGAGACGCTGTTTTCTAAGCCCTGGCCGCACGCTTCGGGGGGCTAGCTAACAAGCTCCGTGCTGAAGTAGGGGGGAGTGGAGCTCGCCCGCACTGTTGGAGAGACCTCGGATGACCCGACTTGAACTTGCAGGTTTCCTACGGTCAGGGTTTTAGCAGGTGTGTTTTGGGGTCGGGGTAAACAAGTTCAGTCGGGGGAACGAGTGATTCTCTCATCCCCGGAAGGGGCCGCACTGACTTTGGAGCGCGCGGACCGTGGGGGGGTAGGCCCTCGGGCCAGGGTTCCCCAGGGAGCCCATACCCCTACGCAAGCAAGCAAGCAAGCAAGAGAGAGAGAGAGAGAGAGCAAGAGAGAGACAGAGAGAGAGAGAGAGAGCGACAGAGACAGATCAAGAACAAGAGAGATGGAGACGGAGAGAACAGCGTTCACAAGACAGCACCATGAGCGCTCACATGAGCGATGCAGGCTGAGCAAGAGGTCGCTGCAAAACACATGTCAACTATGCGACAGCATTTCATACCCTGTGGATGGTGAAAAACCGTTGGGTGCCACTTCCAGTTGCATGTGCAGTGCCTGGTTTTCTTAGTTCGATTTACTTCAGTGGGCAGTGCAAATGTGATGTAGATTAATGCATCTCTTGCCACTTTGCAAAAATCCCATGCGTACCAAACTGCTACCATTGAGCTGCATGCATGCCCTGCAGCAGGACGGGCAACAAGGTGCCACTTCGTGCTCCCATGGTGAAGTGAGCTGAGCAGAGTGTGTTTGTGTTACGTGCCGGCTAAGCCCTTCCTTGCCAGAGCCCAGTTCCCCTCAAGCAAGGATTGCGGATTCTAAGAATTAAATCTGGGATCCGGATATCAAAAACGGCATGTTGCTACCCACGGCCGCACAAGCAGGCTTTTTTTGCGATTTCGCGGACTCAAGCATGCCACAGAGTCCACGGAGCCGGTCGAGCATTGCAAAGCAACGTGAAACCGGCTTGGTTCCAAAGCATGGAGAGACAGATGAGGCGTGGCTTCCAGGATGTTGGCCCCATTTATCCCCTCAAGCCCCAACTCGTGAACCCAAGGACCTAGCACGGCCCAAAACAGGGTTTTTTTTGACGCATCAGGAGGCCGTTGTACTCAATTCTGAGGCCAGGAAAGGCAAGTCAGGAGGTCGCTCTGCCGGCCCCAAGGGCATGGCAGCACCCTCTCTGCCGCCCGTGTGGCCATCGGGCCGGTGTATTTGGGTTGGCGAGGAAGCTTCCACATTGCAGAAGCCGGGAAATACATTTGATGTAATGTTTCTGGGTTTCCTGTAGATCTCGGTGAAAGTCATGTCTCCCTGGCACAACTCCAGCACCTGATTTCTCAGTCTGACTCACTTGAGTGATTCATGTTCAGGCAGCTTTCTCCTGTCTTAAGCGGAGCACTGCGAGGGTTTCGAGGTTTGAGGCGCGGCGTGAGGCTCCCAGCTTCCTAAAGCTCAGACAACCCACTGTAGCGCAAGACTGGAGCCGTTGGGCTTCATAAGTTCCAGACATAAAAAGGGTGATGCTTAAGCTCAGAAGGTTCTAAAAACATGAGTGTTCCGGATTAGGGATGCATCCCTAAGCCTTAAACAAACACCCGAATTCGGCCGAGCTCTTGAGGTTCATGGTTGACTCCTGCCCGCAGAAATTTCCAGGGCATGGAGAGGCCCTTCGGACCCTGTAGCAATGACCTAAACCCTGAACCCCTAGCAAGTTGATATGGGGAAATAAATAGTTAGAAGTTAGAAGTTAGAATAGGGTTTGCAGCCTAAATTTTCTACATCATGTACTTTCTCGTGCTGAGACATGCCCGGAACAAGCTTTCCAAGCTGTTTGTTTGAGCCGGGATACGGCCATTGAGGTTCACGGTTTCGCGGTTTTTTCGGAAGGTGTTTCTCTGCCACCCTAAACCCTAGACCCTGAACCCTGGCGAGAGTCGAAAACCTAGTGTATCAGGTTGTAGTTGGTCCTTGGCGGATGCAGACAGGATTGGGGCGCAGGGGCTTCTGCTGCAACGCAGATCCACCGGCTCTTTACGATTTCCTGCACCTATGGCTAAAGTTGCCAATCGCAGCCAGAGTCGAGCAAACGACTGCCGGTCGATTTGATGAGATGTGGGGCGGATCTCGGCTGATAATGGGTCGTAGGGCGAGTCGTAGAGTCCGAGTTTCGGATTTGGTTTGGGCTGGGCGTGGAGTTGAAGTATTCTTTGCGGCTTCTAAACTTCGATGCTGGGCTACACAATACCCTAGACCCTTAATCCTATACCTACTAGGTATGCCGACTGCAGCAAGAAGGAAAAGGGCCCCCAAAAGAAGTAATCCTACTTCGCTGGTTCGTTCACGGAACTGAAGGCTGGGCCGTTGTCTGGGCTCACAGCACACTGGTCGAAAATTCGTGGTCAAACATGCTGAGACGACGCAGCCCGGAGCTTACCAGCCTTACTCGTTTTCCAAGGCTTGAGACTGTAGACTTTTTTGGACCATCATGAGCTTTTGGAGGGTTCAGAATGTCATCTTTCCAGTGTTTATTCTTGGAGGCAACGACTAGGCTTTTCCGACTTCGGGCTTACGGGGTATTTAGCAATCGTGACCTCTCATCGGGTGCATACGTGGGGCGCACGCAAGCGCTGAAGTCCCTTGTTCCTTCCTGATGCTCGCATTCCCTACACCCCTCAACCCAAAACCCCTAAACCCCTAAACCTCCCAAACCCGAAACCCCTGCACCCCTAAACCCTCATGTAAGAATTGTTGAATTATTGGTTTTGAGGTCGGAGGAGTCTGTTTCATAGGCCTGGTGCGCCTGAGAGTCTCGCTCAGTGCAGCGTTACCTGTACTACTTGAGTTTAAGGGTTTAGGGTTTGGGGGGGCGTAGGGTTCGGGGTTTAGGGTTTGGAGGCTTAGGGTTCTGGGTCTAGGCTTTGGGGAGCTTAGGGTTTAGGGTTTGGCGAGCTTCGGGTTTTGGGTTTTAGGGGCTTGGTGTCATCTTCTTAGGTAAAGACAGCAGTGCCGTCGGAGTTACAGAGTGCTCTAAACACCTTGTAACAACATGATTCATTCTCGCACTTTCTATAACCCCCACCTGGGGCAGCTTAAAGCCCTGTATAACCCCGAAGCCTAAGTTGAAGCTCCTCATTATATAGCCGATAGTGTAAGGTATTGCAATATATTTCACTATGTATATATATATATGGTACCCCCCCAAAGACCAAAGTTTCTATATGAGCTTTAGATACAAGCCTACTTACACTAGCCGATAGTCGTTGGTCTTTGGGGGGGGCAGGGTGCCAATAACAAGCCTGTCAAGGTGTAGGGACAAACATGCATGACACAACCCCCTTCTGGTTTTCATACAAGCCTGCATACAAAAACCCCTATACCATTTCCTGTCGCACATTCCAGGAGGCCTATTGAATTCAATAGGCCCTATTGAATTCAATAGGCCTTCTGGATTGAAGATTGAAGATGCCCTCAAAAAGTTTCCGGGGAGATCTTCAATCTTCAATCCGGGAGGCCTATTGAGTTCAATAGGCCCTATTGAATTCAATAGGCCTTCTGGATTGAAGATTGAAGATGCCCTCAAAAAGTTTCCGGGGAGATCTTCAATCTTCAATCTTCAATCCGGGAGGCCTATTGAGTTCAATATGCCCTATTGAACTCAATAGGGTTTATCTTGAAATCGATCATGAGGGCCGTACGTGGAAGTGTGAAAATTGGGTTCAGGGGTCAAAGTCTACCGCTGCGTTTGCCTACTTTGGAGTACAGGCATATGGGTTTTAAGGGCTATGAAGAGAAAGTCATCAACTAGACGTATGATACTACCTTTAAGCTTCCCTAAACGTATTCTTTTGATTTACGCCCAGCTTAATATCAGATAACACTACTAGTTTTATGCAACAAATGCAGTTGGAATACTAAGAATATAATCGAGGGCTCAATCTATCGAACTGTATACTACTGAGGTATCAAAAGCACATACTTTATCGTCCATGTAGCTAGCAATCTATGCATGAATGTATATGTTCGATGCAATTATTGGAAAGACTACTAAATGCACCGTATTATTATAATACTTAGAACTGATTTGACACAAGAAAATAAACACTCCGCCTAAATAGGTCCGAGGATCTGGCCTATCCAGCTGTTTGCGTACTTGTGAAAATAATATTCTACAGCTATATACTAAGCTACATCTTCATATAAGTATAACGTTGTCCCTACAGGCACTACTGTGAATATATTGCTTTCTGAGATCTAATCGGCAGACAACAAACCCTCTATGCTGTTTATATATGTAAATCTGACGATTGTTAGCTCTTCAAGCCCTATGCTTGAATTGATCCGAGGATTCAATTCAATATACCAAATCATCTAATTACCAACATACAGAATAATCATGTTTCTGCGGTCAGTAATCCGTATAAGTATGTCATTATCCCTGGGTGTAGTGATATCATATGAAGCATTATAAATATAGTTTTCTGTCTGTTCGTGTTAGCTGGCAAGGCACTTCATGAATAGCTTAGTTGTAGAGAGATTTCTTCAGGCTGTTTGGCTCCTATTCAAAAGTATAGCTCCCAAGGTTCTACTATACTGCTACCATTAAGCAGCTATCTGGGTAAATCGCAACAAGGAATCTCAAGCCATATTTTTTGCAATTGGCAGTTAACAGACCCTGTAAATTCGATTGTATAACCAATTGCTGAGTACTTAACCTTATTTTTCCAAGAATGAAATGGTGCATGCAAAATGGTAACACCGAGGTCTTATACTTAATAGGCATGTTTAAACTATAAGACTATATGCTTGATATCTCAAACATATAGTCCAGGAATACATGTCTTTGTAGGGCCACATTTGTAGTAATTAACAAACCCTGGAAGTTCAATTCTTATATTCAGCTGGCAATAGTTAACTTTTTCTTTTCGCATACAATAAATGGTACACACTAAACGATGGCATCGAGGTACTATGCTTGGTAGGGGTGTTTTAACGTTACAAGTAGCTTGATTTCTTAAAACTAATAGTATAAGAATAAATGTGTTTGTGGGGTTGACCACATACTACAACTGACGCTAATAAACCACACGGCATGGGGCGAGTTTTCCATACGAAGTAAGCCGTCAACAGAATATGGCACTTGAATGGAAAACGCTTTGGTCGTGATCACGCTCAGAATGGCTCTAGGCGAGAAACCAAAAAACAATACCACCAAAAACACAAAACACTACCAAGAAAACATTATTTCAGTACTCTTCCGGAATAGCAATAGAATTCTATATTAATGGGAGCACCCACCAATGTTCTTATCTGAAAACCTTGGTCTTTGAGGGGGGGGTAGCATATATATATATATATATATATATGTTTATATGTTTATATATATATATATATAGAGAGAGAGAGGTAGATTGTGAGTATATATAGATATATAGATTTTTAGATATATATATATATATATATATATTTGTATATACATACATACATACAATATATATATATATATATATATATATACACATATACATATATGGCCCAGTAAATTGGGGATCCAGGGCTGCGATGAGCTTGCGGCCAAGCCGGCGCCGTGCCACAGGCGCAGAAACAGGTGGGTCCGTTTCTCGACAGTGTAAGGTTTTACCAGGACCCCCAAGTACCCTTTGATATAGCCCTTATGGTCCTTTAGTATTCAGAGGGTATTCAGGCTATAACAGAGATTTTAATAGAGGGTAGTTGGGGGGTCTCGGTAGAGCTTCAAGGTTTGGAGCTTCAGGATTAAGGTTTTGGGCCAAAGACCTTGAGCCAACATACTTGTTGTAAGGATCCTTGCATATGGTATTCGTAGTCGTTTTTCTGTGTCTCCCATTGAGGGTTTTGGGGGAGGGAAACCTTGCGCCGGGTTGTGGCTGTGTTGGCTGCATTGAAGATCATCCAATCACTTCTTTCGAAAGTGCACCTGGGGCATCCAGCCGAAACCCTAAGCTAGCCGTTGCCAATCATCCCCCTTCCATACGCTTTCAGGCCTCGACCCCCGTCCCCAAAGCCCACAATCCCTTGGCTCAGCTATGATCTTTCTTTGTGAGGGTCAAGGGTTACTTATTCTTCAGGACGTGCACCAAAGACCCTCGCCAAGCTTTGCCCAGCTGTGCGTGCTGAAATTTGAGTCCCCTAGAGCCTTTCACCTTCCGGATCCCTTGGGCCGAAGCCTGCGCCTCAAAACGGCCTCTTCGGAATATGGCATCCAAGTCTATTGAACCCAGGTTCACAAAACAACAGCATCAAACCTAAATGCACGTGTTTGTACGCATTCGCGGCATATGCTGAGGTAGCCTGGCTAAAGGGTTCTTACAAGTAGCAGGGCCAATGTAGGTTGGCCCGGACTGCACTTGGAGGCCCTTTTGACTTAGTAAGTCTACTTAGTATCCGTATCCCCTAGAAACCCTATTATAATCCCCATAACCCAGCTTACTAATCCTAGTTACTAAGTCCAAAGGGCCTCCAAGCACAGGCCCATCGGCAACCCCTGGGTTGTGGGCGTCGGTTTCAATTGCTTAGGGTTTCTGCCACGAGTGCAGCAGCTCTGAGATCCAGGCGGGCATGTACAAGTCTGTGCAAAAATGGCTTAGGGTCGCTAGGTCACGGTTTAGGGTTTAGGGAACCCTAATACCCGAAACCCTAAACCCTAACGCTAGGTTTCAGGGTTGGGAATTTTGGGAGAGGCGTGGCTTTCGTCTGAAGGTGAAGCGATACGTTCATGCCGGTGGTGGAGTTCGGTGTGGAAGATGCACTGAGGCCGTGAAAGCAGAGGGCATTGATGTAGAAAACTGCAGAGTAAGATCCTTTTTGTAAACTTTGTAAAAATGTAGAAAAGAAGCACTGGGCCCTAGTTTTCTGAGACTCCTTGTTCCTTCGTATGATAAACCCTATATTTGGAACCCTTGGATGCAAGCCCTTAAGCCTACTTTAGGAAAATGGCTGGACTTCGGAAGCATGCCCGAGTGGAGTTGCGCAGTGAACCCTACAGGGGTTGAACCCTACAGGGGTCGGAAGAGTTGCCAATAGTATTCCTTTGGGCTTCCTGTCTTAAAGGGTTAGAGTAGAGTGCACCCCTACGGCCCCTATATTACGGGGGTACTCATTGTTGGTGGCATTTACGGAGCCGGATTTGCAGTCGTGGTCACGGCGTAGAAAGGATCAAAGACGCAATCCCAACACGGACCCTCAAAAGACTTTGCAGATGGCACGAGGGGTCTGCCGAAAGCAGCTTACCCAAAAAAGGGACCCTTGCACCTGAAAACGGCGGCATGGCGGTTGAGATGTGATGTAGCACAGCGCTCGCTACCATGGCTTTCTAAGGACTTCGGAACTTGGCACTGCTCTTTTAAGAGAACCCGAAGCCGTCTGCATAGTTGTAGTATTGTTTAGCAGAGCCATAACCCACTGCATGCATGTTTGTTTGTGCATGTATGTGCATACATGTGTATGTGTATGTATGTGCAATTTGTGCTTGTATGTGTATTGCAAGGTTTCTTCGTGATGTCACGGGCCTGGCCCTTGTGTGCCGCAGCCTGCCCTTCCCAAGAGCTGGCATGGTAATCTGGGGTGTCGGTTCTGAGACCCGGGTGGGTTGTGACACAGGCTCGTGTATTCGATATAATATTATGCCAAGTATGGGTATACCATGAAAAGTGCGGAAACCCCAACAGGTCCAACCCTCCTGATCCTCCTCCGCCTCGTCTTACGACTCTTGCTGCCGCCTACTACTGCTAACTACAACTGCTGCAGGCTATATTACTGCTACTGGTATTGCAACGACTACCTTGGCCAGGGTGGCCGAACCGGCCACCCCACGAGCACCCCGTGCTGATGGACAACAACAGCAAGATGCCGATTCGGCGGAGTGGCCTTTTGGAGTGCGATGGTTGCTTTCTGGGGACTTAGAGTACTCGTAGCGTCAAAGGAGGCTTTAGGGATTCGGGTTTCTTAGCGTTTAGGTTTAGGCTTTAGGGATGAGAGTTTAGGGTTAAGGGTCTAGGGATTAGGGTTTATAGGGTTTGGGCTTCAGGCTTTAGGGATTAGAGTTGAGGGATTAGGGTTTAGGCTTGGGTGTTTAGGGTTTAGGGTACTTTATCTTGTGTCTTCGTGGTTTTGGAGCTTTCGGTCTTCGTGCAGTGAGGTTTCGGGCCTTGGGGGGGCGCTCCGCAGCTCGGTTTTTTGGTTAAGTTCTGGTGTTTGTACAAAACATGTGGTTTAGGGTTTTAGGGTCTAGGGAAACCCTATACCCGCTTCTGGGCTTGCTGCACCGTTAGAGCACTTTTTTTTTACGGATGCATGGCATTGTTACACTGGCGGCACGGGTTGTATTGTTCAACACGCTTACATTTTGGGATTGAACGTACTTGTATGTGCTCATGCAACAGAAGGTGAACTATTGATTCAATGATACGTTGTAATTGTATGCACGTACGTACGTATGATAGTATGCATTTGCGCATTTGCAGCCGCACCAGCGTATGGCGGATGCAAATCGTGAGACGCAGGTAGATGGGCCAGCGTGTGTGTGTGTGGGTGCACGGAAACAATCTCAACCGCATTCATCTTCGTCACTCATAGTATACTTGCTGCATGCCTGAAGCGAAAGTGGGGGATCCATTCGTCGTTAGTTACAACGTGAGATCTAAACTCGGATGTTGCACTACTGCACGCGAGCATGATGACGCTGAACATAGTGCGGCTACTGATGATGATGGTGATGATGATGATGATGCTGAGAACCGTGAGCCCTGCAGCCGTCGTGAACAAGTTTTGGCAGGCACAAAATGCAAACCTCCATTGCGTCATTGCAAGCCCTCGGTGTTCTCAAGGCTCATCCGCAGAACATTTTCGCTGGACTGGGGTTTAGGCTTCAGGTTTTAGGCTTTCGGGTTTAGGAAGAGTTCGGCCTGCTAGTGTTCAGGCGATTGCACAAGTCCTGATGCAAGAAGGGAAGCTCAATACCTCTCACGTGGTGTCGTACATGGGGGAACTGATGGGTTTAGGGTTGTCGTTTTTGTTGGCTGTGACATCCAACATGTCTGAAGCTTGAGAAACAGCCGCTCGAGCGATATGCCCTTCGACCCTGAAGACCCGCTGTTTGACTTTTGTGTGTTGAGGGCCCCGAAAGCTTTCGAGAATACAAGCGAAACCAAAACCTGTCAGCCTAAAGAGCCATACTACATCCAACCGTGAAGGACCTTGGACGCCCTTGCTCCCTAATCACTGAACCTAAGCCCAGCATCCCGAACCAAACCCTCACAAAAGGCACGCGATCCCGACGCTTTGACTGGGTTGTTTTCGAATGCCTTTCAAAAGCTGTCATTTGGTTCGTCTTAAGACTCTTTCTTATGCGAAAGCTTGAAAATTTAAACTCACAGACTACGAAGACCAGGATCCCGGCAAGCGAGGTCGTCGGCAGTCCTTGCAGGGAGCCCGGAACGGTATTTTGGGGTTTGTGGGCTTTCAAAGTGTCTCCTTTCGCTTGGCTTGTCACTGACTTTATGGTTGTGTGTAGGGCTTCGGTTCAGAAACATTGAGGCTTTTTCAGGGGTTGCGTTTAGAGTCTTTGGGGCTCCTTGTGTCGGGTGATTTGGGGTTTGAGGATTGCAGATTTAGGCCATGGGAGGGGGGGGGGCTGTCTCTACATGCAAAAGAGGAGAACCACCACAGCAGTGGTGGTGACTATGATCATGGTGGCCGTGATGACAACGATGATGGTGACAACGATGTCAAGTGCTATTGATGATGATCGTGATGATGATGACGATGCTTTGTGATGGTGATGATGATGATGCACGATCTTGAAGAGCTTGAAGGCACGTCTTCTGCGACGGACAAATGAAGAAAGCCACGCGTCTTCGCTTCGGGGGTTAAGAAGCGAAGAAAACAAATTGAAATGGCTGGAAACGTCGGAAAGCCACAGTCTTCGAATTGATGACGATGCTCGCTTTGCATTTGTTGCTCATGTTGTCATGCCTGCTTAATAATCTAGTGTCGTTGCTAAGCCCTTTGTGGCGATATGGGGCTACTTTGTTTCCTTTCTAGTGTCGTCCTGCTGATGATGGCATAGAGCCTGGGTTCGCAAATTGACGTTCTGCAATGGTTGCACCCAGGCCAGCGATTCCGTCTCAGGAAAAGAATCGAGCAGCTTGGCCGGTATTGCTCGTTGTCTCTCACTTCTCTTTCTTTGTCTCTCTGCCAGCTCTCGCCCACGTTCTGATGTTTCTTTCTGTTCGTTCTGTTCGTTTGTCTCCTTGTTTTTTGTTTTTCTCTTTCTCGCGCTCTCCCTCCATACCTCTGCCTCCCCGGCCCCTGCTTAAGGAACCATGGCATAGGACAGCCCAAAAAGCGCAGGCTCCTAGGAAAGTGTAGTTAGCCTTTTTGAAAGACATCACGATCGTGATGACTCGGCTTGAGATTTAGGATTACTTCTTCTCTTATTGCCGGCATTGCAGGGGGCAAAACACGAAGGCCCTTTCCTCGCCCAGCAACGGCTGCGGCACTACTACTAATTGAGCATCTGCTGACCCTTGCGCTGGTTTTCGGACCGACCTGTGGACACTACGTCGAGGTACCTTACCGGAGGTCCTTTATTAATCATCCTAGCTGCGAGTTGCAAACTGTGGTCTATGTTGAGGCCCAGTGTTTCTTCTGGACCGGCTACATGTCAGACCAATGAATGAAGTGAAGATTCGCAGTATAAGGCTTCAGCACGCGTTTGTGGATTCATGGGCACCGTTGTCGCTGACAGCCTAACCAGCAACATGGCGTCGAGTCAGATCTGTACTGTATGATAGCCTGGATCTGGAAGAGAACGGGCAGACTTAAGGTAATATTCGCGAAAAGAACGCCTGCAGCAGTGATCCGAAAAGCAAGGCACTTCTAAGCAAAACAAGAGGAACATGGCTCCCTCGCCTTCATCAGCACCTCAGCATCATCATGATCTTCAGCTTCATTTGTGCTGTGATCATGTTCTGGAATCGTCCGTTCGTTGTGAACGTGAGTAAGATGCTATCAACCGCAAGCTTGCATCAGCAGCAGCACTAAGAAAGCTACGGTGAATGTGTTGCCGTCTCTTGCGACACGCGAGAAGGATAGTATGGGCAGTTGCTGAATTGCTCTAATGACTGTTGCCACACAGCCGGCTGAAACGTAACGAACTTGAACCAGTTAGCCTCAAGAGTTGTCCTCGTCTTTGTTGCTATTGTTTTGCAGTATGGCCTTGGCATTGAATCGTAGGCAAATTGATCCCTTAATCGTCTCTCTACAGCTATACCATGATGTTCCCCAAACCTTATTCTCACCCCAAGGCCCTCCTACATTAGTCACATGCTCCTGCTGTGACCGAGGCCACGACCGTTCCGCCGGATCTCAATGTAGAAGATATACTGGAGACAGAGGACGGGCTACCGCGTAGCTTGGCTCTGGCTGTATAATGGCTGTGTTGGACATAGGGTAACATAGGGGTTTAGCGTTGCATATGCACGTTGGACTCAGGCCATGGGATGGCGTCCAAGGGCTCGCACAAACCAACACATGCAGCCATCTGCCAACTTACGAAGCAATGGTCCTCTTCTCATGCCGGCTGCACTAAAAAGAGGAAGCCCGAATCTCTGGGTATCGAGGCTGCTCTTGTCAGGCCTGGAGAAGTCCGCCGAGTCAGCGGTAGACCATATTGCACGCATGCCATTGAATGTATGTTAGTCCTTTTCTACATTTGCCAGACATTGCAAGACTTTGTCAGATGGTAAACGGCTAAACCCCAAACGTCTAAGCGGCTGCTGAGGTCTGGGCACGGCGAAGGTGGGCATGCCAGCCGGCATGCCCACACCGCCGTCTCGCGCAGTGCTCAAGACACCCGATGCTTCGAAGTTCATGAAGATGTTTGAGCAGAACCAGCGGCTTGACAGAAACTGGGGCCGATGATCTGCCAACCGTTTTCGATTGGGTCTCGGCCCTGGCAACCCCATAAACGCAGACAGGAGATGGCGACGACTGAACACAACACATGAAACCCCAAACCCAAAAAATCAAGCTCGAAACCCCCCTGAAACCCTACTGCTGCTACTGCTGCTGCTACTACTACGACGATGACGACTACTACTACCACTACTACTACTACTACTACTACTACTACTACTACTACTGCTACTACTACACTACTACGACTACTACTACTACTACTACTACTACTACTACTACTACTACTACTACTACTACTACTACTACTACTACTACTACTACTACTGTACTACTACTACTACTACTACTACTGCTACTGCTACTGCTACTGCTACTGCTGCTGCTACTGCTTCTGCTTCTCCTTCTGCTTCTGCCGCTGCTACTACAATGTACGTACGTACGTACGACTACGTACTGCTACTACCACTACTACCACTACTACTACTACTACTACTACTACTACTACTACTACTACTACTACTACTACTACTACTACGACTACTACGACTACTGCGACCCCACTGTTCGATTATCTGTTGATCTACTAGTGACTTTGCGAGGTACCGGCAGCAAGCTGCACAAACCTAGTTATGTGCCCTAAGGCGGCCGCCTACCAACAACCCAAAACACTAAAACTACAGGCACTCGGCCGGAAAAGCTACACCCTACAATTCAGAAACCCAGCGAGGTCCCTTCAGCAGGCTGCAGAAACTGCTCCCGGAGCTGGTGGCTTTGGCGGACGGCGAGGCCGACGGTGGACGGTGGTCTCCAACCAGGCGCAGGGTCCCAGGGTGTAGAGGTTGGGGTTTGAGGATGCAGCCCAGATACACGAGGAGGGCTGAACTTGTTTAGAGTTTTGGAGGTTACAGTTTAGGGGGGCTTGTATGACATTTCGTGTCTGAGATGGCCAGTACTGGGGTTAGTGGGGTGGCTTGAGATAGTGAAAAGATGTGTTCTTCGAACGCGTGTGTGTTAGATGAGCATGTTTTTGCTGCTCGTTTTTAGTTTCTCGACCGTGGCTATCAGGCGCATTGCTTACGGTTTTGTCTATGCCACGATATATTGTGTGATACAATCAGGTACTACCAATCCCTAAGCCCTAGACCCTACCCCCTAAACTCGATGGTCTTTTTTGGATGATGCAATCATGTACTACTATTTAATGCCGAGGCTTCCTGACTCTCAGCCGAACTTTTCATACCCTACTAATCCAAAACCAAGTTCTACGATGGAGGGTTTAGGTCTTCAGCCAGCAAGCAGTATGTTTTAGGACATGAGAGTATATGACAACGTATTATAGTATATGACAGTTTCTTTGAGCATTGTGTAGTTTGTATATATATATATATATGTATATATATATACATATATATATATATGTATATATACACTTGTATATATCATTATATATTACAGCGTTGAAGTCTTGTGGAAGCTCTCGGCGCTGAAATCTGCAGGTGCACAACCTGGCCAACATCAAGCCGCCCGAAGAGGACGCAAAGCCCACCCCCTCCGAGCGCAGCATCAACCGAAATTCGGTTCGATTGAGCAACCTTCCGACTGGACAAAGAGCTAGCACTGCTCTGCCCACAGGAAGCAGAGGCGCTGTGTCAAAACTTCTCAAGGGGTCTTGCATAGTCCAGATGACGGTCCTTGCGTCGGCTTGGCGGTTACGTGTATCGGGCTTTGTGCTTTGCCTCTGCTTTGAAATCCCCGCAGCCTGGAAGTAGTTGCGAGAGCGTAAACCCTAAACCCCTAAACCCTAAACTTGCTGTTGCGTGCAATGATCGCTCCTCTTAGTGAAGTCTGACTTAGTATGACTCCGAACCCATATGCCTCGCCTGGATTGTCCGAGTGTGAGCGCCGAAACCCCTAAACCCTAAACCCCTAGAACTTAGTATGACTCCTAAACCCTAAGCCCCTAAACCCTGAGCCCCTAAACCCCTAAACCCCTAAACCCCTAATCCGAGGCTCCTCAGCTCTTACTCTAAACCCTGAGCCGGGAGAGAGCACAGAAAGGCCACGACGGGTTCCCCCAGGTGGCAAAGTCGGGAATCTCGACGACCTCTTTGACGATGAGGAGCTCGGTCTAAAGGTGGGTGGTTGTCAAAATTGTGGTCTCGTTTTGGGTACCCTAAATATTAGGTGCCGTAGTATAATAAGGACCCCAAAAAGGGACCCTAATATAGATAACCACCCAGGTAGGGGATGTTCTTGAATGAGGAGGTTAAGGGGATCCTGGCTAAACCACGAAGACTCAAAACCCAGAAGTGGACGCATCAGCTGAGCAGGTGCATTAACCCTCAAACACTGATGTTCAAGACCCTATAATCGAGTTATGTCATTAGTTTAAGGGAGGGTTGAGGGTTTAGGGTTTTAGGGTTTAGGGTATCCCTATAAGCTGTATAAAGAGCACTAAGCCCCAGAAGACCAGTTTTGCTCCTAAAGATCTTCTGCCAGGTGGGTGGCAATGCCACCGCTTCCAGTGACGCCCAGGCCATTCCCCTCTTCCGCAAACCCTATTCCCCCAAAACCCTGAACTCGTAAATCGTAAACCCTAAACCCTTAACCCTTAAACTCTAAACCGGCCCTAAGCTCCTCAACTCTAAACCCTAAACCCCTAAACCCTGAACCCCTAAACTCCTAAGCCCTAACCCCTAACTTACCGCTGGTTAGTAGGGAATGGAAGAATGGTAGTAATAGTAGTCAGAATTATACCCCATTCCTCCATTCCCTACTAACCAAAGGTAAGCTAAAGCACCTTCCGCCATCCGCTGCCCTACATCCTAAACACCCTAAACCCAAACCCCCTAAACCCCTAAACCTTGAACCCCCAAAACCCCTAAACCCCTCTCCCTAAACCCTAAACGCCCAGGCCTGGAAAGGCTGGTATAAGATCAAAAGCAAGGCAAAGACTGCTGACGCAGCGGAGCTGGAGGCTGCCCTTACTTGGAGGGTCAGGGGACTTAGTAATTAAGTACCTATAGTCTCCATTGTAGTTCCTTTTTTTGGTTAACCAGTTTTATGGGTAGGATTCTATACTAGAGATTTTGGTTAACCAAAAAAAACTACAATGGAGACTATAGGTAGGTAATAAATACACTTATGAGTACCATAACCCCAATTAAGATCCCTTTTAGGGTACTTATAAGTCTACTTATTACCTATTTACTAAGTCCCCCGACCCTCCAAGTAGTTGCTGAGTGGATACACTTTGCGCTTTTTTGGGAGAATAGTACCCACCGTAGAACTGAAAGTGTACATGTTTTGGGGCTTCTGAACTCAGCAACTATATAAGGGCCCAAACCCAAGGTTTAGGGCTTTAGGGGTTGAGGGTTTCAGGGGTTTAGGGTTCAGGGGTGTAGGGTTTAGTTAGGGGTTTCTCCGGTGCTTCTTCACATGTCCGGCCCCACCCCGTGACTCAGAAAAAGGTTCAGGGGGTTTAGGGTCTGGGCGTTTAGGGTTTAGGGGTTTAGTTGACGGGTCTGGGGTTGGTGGTTCAGGCTTGTTTTCCTTGGGGCATATGGCTTACGGTGAGCAAACCCTAACCCCTAAACCCTAATCTAACTTTTTGAACTCAAAAAACCCTAATCTAACCCCAAACAGGTCAAACCTCTCAACGAGAAATCCCAAACCCGATCTTTCCGGAGGCTGCAGCCTTCGGCGCTTCGCGTCCCACTTCCATCCTGGAAACTCTCACCACTGCGCCCGCCGAGCAGACTGGTGCTTCGAAGGAAGTCATTGAAGCTGCTGGAAAATGGCAGGCTATTTGCGAGGAGAAGGGCTTTAACAGGGTGCTATGATCTATGAGTGTTCGTTAGGGGCTTTGTTCGCGGCAAGTTATCTATTCGGGGCTGTATAGGGTTTAGGGTGCGGGTATATTTGGTTACAGCTGAGAACGTAGGGTTTAAGGCCTATGGTGGGCGTTGGAGCGCCAGGGGTTTTAGAGTTGAGGACTTAAGCATACGCACTGCGATGGAATGTGTTAATTATGAGAGCTGCATAGCTCGAATATCGGGGCCTAAATAATTACCAATACTATTGTGGGGGGCTCCTTAATATGGTGATAGTATAATGTACCCCAAAATCCTATTCTAATAATCAGGCCCCTATGTGATGTGTTTTGTTACGAGGGTCTTGGCACGCCATCGAGGCAACGACATGTGAACGAACATTTCATGTCAGCAAACCTCTGGACACCACGTGTTTTGGCTGTCGTAGTTTTGACCATGACACTAGGGCTTACTTACGGTTTAGGGTTTACGAATTATACGTTACATTAAGGTTTGCTATTCATCGAATTCAGGGCACCATTGTGCCAGGAGACAGAAGCAGAGACGGAAGAGAGCTCCAAATTCGCCGACGACCTGCCACCTGGGATCGGGAAGCTTGCGGCCGTGTTGGTGAATCGCTTTGGTTCTTTGGAGAACCTTGCCATTTCAGAACTTAGTAGATTTTTCGTTGTCGTTCCCTCGGCTACAGACTGTCTTCATCTGCTCCTAGTCCCACTCCTACAGCTCCTGCCTCAAACACCTCCTACAACTCCTCCTGCTCCTATTCATACTCCTCACCCTGCTCCTACTGCTACTAGTACTGCCGCTACTGCTACTGCTGCTACTGCTGCTGCTACTGCTACTGCTTCTACTACTACTAGTACTACTACTACTACGACTACTACTACTACTACTACTACTACGACTACTGCTACTACTACTACTACTACTACTACTACTACTTCTTCTGCTGCCGCTGCTGCTGCTGCTGCGACACCGACTCCTTCTACTGCTGCTGCTACTACTGCTACTACTGCTACTACTGCTACTACTGCTACTACTGCTACTACTGCTACTACTGCTACTACTGCTACTGCTGCCACTACTGCCACTACTGCCACTACTGCTACTCCGACTCCTACTGCTACTCCCACTCCCACTCCCACTGAAAATCCTCCTACTCCTGCTTCTATCCCTACCCATGCTCCTACTCCTACTCAGACTCCTACTCCCTGTCCTACTCCTCCTACTGCTACTACTACTACTACTACTCCTGCTGCTACTACTACTGCTACAACTACTGCTACTGGTACTACTGCTACTGCTACTGCTACTACTACTACTACTACCACTACTACCACTACTACTACTACTACTGCTACTACTACTACTACTACTACTGCTACTACTGCTGCTGCTACTACTACTGCTCCTACTGCTACTGCTACTGCTACTGCTACTGCTACTGCTACTGCTACTACTGCTACTACTACTACTACTACTACTACTGCTACTGCTACTGCTGCTGCTGCTACTACTACTACTACTACTACTACTACTACCGCTACTCCTGCTGCTGCTGCTGCTGCTACTACTACTACTACTACTGCTACTGCTACTGCTACTGCTACTGCTACTGCTACTGCTACTGCTACTGCTACTGCTACTGCTGCTGCTGCTGCTGCTGCTGCTGCTGCTGCTGCTGCTGCTGCTGCTGCTACTGCTACTGCTACTGCTACGACGACTACTACTACTGTGCTGTCATTGGGCTGGCACTCGAACCCCTGTCAACAAGGCTTGGCACATGCTTGCATGTCTTCTTGGCACATGTCGCCACATCTGCTTGAACATATATATATATATATATATTGTCTGTACCCTTGATACGTGCATTTGTGCGAGGAGAGCTTTCTACAACTTCGATTACAACCGCAAGGGCAAGATCACAAGAGGTCAATGGCAGACCGTGTTCGCCACCGTTCGCATTGACGTGCAGGAGGTCACGGGCATTCCACAGAAGAAAGCACCTCAGACGGCAACCGGTTCAGGAGCAGGACTGCTGCAGTTCGTGGCAAAAAAGCAGCCACTTGAGCCCGAGGGCTGCCAGCACATTGTGGTTTAAGAGGGTAAGAGCGACAACCCAGGTCTTCCGCATGATTGCTGCTTTTGGTGAATCCACATCGACGTTGGAGATTTCATTTGACCAATGGCGCCTCTTCTTCGATGCCGAGCTCGCCGGTGGTGCCACCTTACAGCGTTTCAGATTCGGGCTCAAACACGCGGCTGTACAGCGGTATTGATACTATAGGTGGCCGAACATCTACAGATATTATGTGTTAGGTCCCTAAAAGATAACTGTAGTACATGCCCAAGCCCTTTCAATTAAATGCCCTTGTATTCCCTGTATTTCGGTGATGGAGGGACGGGAGAACCTGGGGAGAGCCTGGGGACCTTTGGCCTTGCCTTGTTTGGGGGTTTAGGGTTTTAGGGTTTAGGTGCTAGGGCAATGTTAAAGACCCAGAACCTTTGTCACTATCCCTGCCATGAACTAGAATCGTTTAGCACTGAAAAGCAAAGAAGTGGACGGCCATGCCACGAAAGTTCTACATCCCGAGATTGCAACCGGACACCTTAAAGTATTGCTGTATTATGCCTCACTCCCAAACCAAACAGTCTGGGATTTATCTAATGTGCTGGAAGTTTCTGGGCCTCACCTGAAGAGCAGGAGAGGTTGGCATATCAGTAGATCTTGCTCGTAGGGAGGAACTTCAGAGAGACCGCGTTCAGAAGGTCCATATTAGGGTCCACTCTTTCTGAAACCCCTTTTTGAAGCTGAACAAGTAAGAAGTTGGGGTGTCGTTGAGTTAAGGCGGTTTAGGGTCTTCCACGACAAGAGCTTGTTCTCCAGCTACACTCTAAGCCCCACATCCATGGTGGAGGAGCCCGGTTTCGGCTTGAAGGGGGAGTGAGGGGAAGTAGGACCCCACAGCCTGAATCCTAAAGCTGTCAACATCCTTTTAAGCCCTTCTCGCCCCCCCCAACGGACCTTGAAAGGGTCTTCAGGCTTTAAACTTTAAACCTTAGAGCGAGGAATGTGCCTTCCTTTGCTCCGAAGATCGTGGAAGCCAAGCGCCAAAGCGATGGGAGAAGGCGACGTGGTCTTCAGCAGTGCCATTTCACACTTTTTTGGGTCACGTTACGAAATCTGTATAATGAGATAAAGGGTGCACCATCCGCTATGAAGATGAAACGGGATAATTGCTGGGGAACCGACTTTTCCAAACCATTCATACAAACTCGTTCTCTGTCTCTCTCTCTCTGCCTCTCTCTCTCTCTATCTCTCTTTCTCTCTCTCTCTCTCTATCTCTCTCTCTCTCTCTCTCTCTCTCTCTCTCTCTCTCTCTCTCTTTGTCTCCTTCTCTCTTTCACTCTCTCCCTCCAAGCAATTTGCAAAAAAGTAGGAAATTAAGGATCAGAATAGGCAGTAATACTACCCCCTGTTCCACACATGCATTATCGTGTAATTGCCCCACAAACGCGCTCCAATTGCAAAGATCATGGAATCCTCATGGCAACCCCGTGCAGATACCTTGCAAGAAGCGCACTCGACTGATCAGCCAGTAGTACACAAACCCATCAAGGGGATACGAGTGATCTGCCTACAAATAACCTGAGGAAGACTTCACCCAGCCCTTACACCCCCAAGCGCAGCAACAAGAACACACACTAAACCGGCAGGAGTCGTCCTTGCGATTTAGGAGGCAAAAAAACCCACGCCCTTGCAACCGATACATTGCATCACTCGGAACCAAGGTCAAAAAGATTCCCGGAAAGGCCTCGAGACCTTGCCTATGTTGGGCTTCTCTTGGCTTGAGAGTTTGGAGTTTTGCAACTTTAGATGTTCGGATTTTGGTTTTTTGTTTTAGGGCTTTTGGGTGTGAGAGTGTGGGTTGAGGTGTTTTCGGCTTTGGGTGTCCAGCATTGGTGGGTTTGGATTTTCCCGGATTTGTGGGTCGATTACAGGTGAAGCTAGATGGCTGATGCAAGAACGGGGGAATGGATTACGGAGACTATTATTGGGGATTATATATGTATATGGACTACTATAGGGATCCATTCCCCCATTCCCTACTAAGCACCAGGGGGTAGTTTGCGAAGCTTTGTCAACTTGACCCTGGGATGCTTTGCTGGCTTCCCCTGAGAAGTCGTGCTTATGAGGGCTGTTAAGCCTCGTGGTTGGGTGGTATACCTGTACTGTAGTTCCCAACACCGGACTCTTGCCGTATCTGAGTTGCAAACAAGCAGGCCCTGTAGTTTAAGAAACCTAGAACTGCATCTTTGGTTTCGCGCGTGTAGCCGGGTGTCAAGAAGTTCCTGCGCTGTGAGAAAAATAAAACACTACGTAGCACGCAGCGAATCCCTGATCTGCCTGTGTCCTGCGCCAAGAACGTCGTGTTCTCTACAGCAGCGTGAACCGAACTTGGTTGAGACGTTGTAGATAATCAACTGAGAGCCCTCAACCCGTATTCTTGAGCAATGAGCACAACAGGCCCTCAAAGCTTTGGTCGAGCACGTCGATGAGATGGATCTTCAGCTCTGACTTGAGTGTTGTTGTCCCCGACATCATGGCTGCAGGGGCAGTCCTAACTATTCTATTTCGCCAGAAAGCCTGTAGAGAACCCGAATTCAAGCCTTACCGGAACCCTGAATAACATACCCTTTTTTATGTTTCCTTGTTATGGTTTCCTTATATAGGTCCTTAAAACGGTAGGTTATTCCGCGTTAAGGTAACCCTGTCGCAGAGGAGCCATGGTCGAGCTCTGTACCCGCGGCCCCCAAAAGAACGAGGCTTCTGACGTTGGCTTCCCTACTCTGGCAGAAAACCCCCCGAGGTTCAAGGTTGCTGTTTGAGAAGGAAGCAGGACTAGCAACCAGCAGGAACAAACCGGGTAATTCATCATCATCACCATCATCATCTCCTCCATCCGCGCGGGTACACGCTCGGGAATCTCAACGCAAAGAAAGCGCACCCACACGGAAGAAAGAGCTGCCGTAATCACTTGGCAGTGGGAAGGGTGCTAATTGGACGTGCTCGGGGGTCCTAGAGCATTTAAACACCCTCCTTGATGGGGACGGTGCCACACTTTATTCGGTACCGTCCCACGGCAGTAGGCCACACTGTTAGTGCTGCCACATTGCAAGGGATGGCCTTTTTCATTGGCCATGGCTGGAGGTGGCCCCTGGTAACATGGCGGTGTAGTGTGATAGTCCTTACTTCATGCCGGCGTCCCTTACTTAATAGCTTCATGAGAGATCATGTCGGGAACCGGTTTGGGTCCGTGAAGTGGGCTGTCTTGCCAAGTGTTGCTTCCATTCCTTGCTAGCTTGCCCCTACAGTTTCCATGCCCCTCCTAACTCAAGCGACCGTGCTTCTGCATTGCCCTACATTGAACTCGGGGCTTGGACTGTGTCATTTCGGCCTAATGGAGCCTTCAACCCCGAACTTGTCGCAACCCTGCAAACCCTAACAACCACGGCCGAGGAGGCACAGCACACTGCCTTGCGCCGGTACATAAGCGGGGAGGCCACTTGACTGCGGGATGTTGCAGATGCCTTTGCGGTGGTCTGATTCCTAGTCCAGCTGCTACAGTTAAGGTGTATGCATGTATGTGTACGCACGTATTAGTATTCAGGTCGACACGTAGGTCCGTCGAAATGCGCGAGACCGTTAATTTGCATTTCAGGGCGTTGGGTTTGAGCCAGGGGTGTGGGTTTTGAATTTCAGGGCTGCGTCTACCCGCAGGATCTTTAGTAAGAATTCAACACCTTCGTCAGGAGGTTCCTTCCAGCCGGAACGGGTTCTAAACCTATGGCTGCTGGCAATGCCTCGACCCAACATCCGGTGTGTAGACCTTCGTGCTCCAACAAGCCAGGCGTCCGAAACAATTCGGACGCGATGGTCTTGCTACGGGAATATGTCATATGAGTATGTGTCAGTATATCATAGTTACCCTACGTGCGACACCGTGCCCGCGAGCTTCCCAATCCCGCTTAAAACTAAGCTGCACTTGACATTCCAAAGACCTAACCGCTAAACCCTAAACCCTGCGAGCCCGTCAGGATTGTGCAGCACCTCGAAGCCCCAGAGTTCCTAAGCCCCCCTAAAGCCTAATTAATGTAGGAACCTGATTAAGAAACCTTGGGCCTTTATTGGGGTTCCTTGTATGAATCCTACTATTTTGAGGTTAATTATAGGCCCAGGGTTTCTTAATCAGGTTCCTACATTCTCGGCCCTACTTTCGCCAAGCCGACTCGTGACCACATGTCTCGGCCGGATTATCCGAGAGTGTGCGCCGAAACATTACTGAAAATAATCCGCCGGCCACAAACCCCACACCCTAAACGATCATTGAAGTTTGAGCCGGGAGCAGGAAGTGACCTTAACTTGCGTTGTGGTGTTTTCTGCAGCATGCCAGCTCGAACCCAACAAGTGGTGACAAGCGAACCGAGAGACCTCGTCTGGCAGAGTCCAAGTTGCAGGACGTCCCTCCGGATGCTGCGCAGACCGGAGAGAACCTTTGGTCTTCGAGCTCTGAGCTGCTCGGGAGATAATCCTTACCTTGGGTTAGTAGGGAATTGAGGAATGGGGTACAACTATAACTACTACCCAGACCCCCAAAAGTAGGTAAAATAATGGCCCAAAGCCTATAAGAAGCTCTTATTCTGCGCAGTCCAGGTATTGCTACCATTCTTCCATTCCCTACAAACCAAAGGTAAGAATCAGGGTGTGAGCGGGGTTATTCGCCCTAAGGGTCCATGTATCCAAATAGTCAATTCTTTGGCCTTAAAGTAGTGTCTATCTATTTAGGTACTTTGCGGCCAAGGTATATACTATTTGGGCACATGGACCCTTTAGGGTAGGGGCTCAGCAGGCAGAATTTGTGGCTGCAGTGCCGGTGCTACTGCCATTACCCTTCCAAGAGGCCACGGTGTATGCTAGTCCTAGCTGCTCTTGTCCGCGCCTTTAACGCTAGCGTTTATACCCCAGATGCTGCACCCGAAGCTTGCTTCGGTCGTCAGGGTCCTGACGCCCACAACTCTAACCACTCTAATCTCTCAGCATAAGCCCGACGAATCTGTAGATCAAAGTCTGAAATCTTCACACTCAACCATGAACTACAAAACCTTTCGACTATATGACTACATGGTCCTATACACCCCAAAGCCCCAAACCCAAACCTCCATACCTCTGCTCCGACAGGGATTCTAGCGATTCTAGCGACGGAGATGGGGAGTCCTCCAAACGCCACCGCAAGGGCAAGAGGCGCGGCCGAGTGTTTGCACGGTGGTTTAGGCTTCAAGGCTTGGTGGGGTGGCGGATCATTGACTTCTGCGGGGTATTCCTCGTGTTCGGTGAATGCATGGCCCGAAAGTCTGAGTGCTTTCGATTTCTGTGTTGGCCTGGAGTTTAGGACCCTGACTTTGAGAAACCCCAGGGTGTATAGGGTTTAGGGCAAAAGTGCCCAACTAGCCTCTCCAGTGTGGATTGACGATTCCGTCGCTCATGCAGAGTTCGCGCTGGTCATAGCAAGCGTCTAGCTCCAGGTCCTACGCCTCGAGAGCAATGTAGACCACGCAAAAGAACCCGGACCCCTCCTTCGTCTTCGCGGATTACAGTAGTAAGGATCCCAATATCAGGGCCTGTAAAACAGGGATTTATGCGACCAACGGGTGCAGTTATCGGGGGTCTATAGTATACGATACTAGGTTACGATGACAATACAGGATTGCAGGGGACTCGGCTGTGCGGAATAGTCCAGGTTTTCAATAAGGAAGACGGAGATTTAATCGGCATTGGTCATGCAATGGTACTGTTACTAGGGCCCGAGCAGACATGTACTGCTGGTGGTGGTGGTGGTGGTGGTGGTGGTGGTGGTGGTGGTGGTGGTGGTGCTGCTGGTGCTGCTGGTGCTGCTGCAAGTGCACTGCTGCCCATTACGTCCCTTTGATCGAGTCCGCAAAGACATCTGGAAAACCACGGCGAACTGCAAAGGACCAGGTGAAATCCCGGGTTTCAGAGTCCCCCGACCGAGGCGGGAAGGCGATGGAGCTCAGGGCGATACTTCCAGTGACGAAGAGGGTGGCTCTGCTTCTCACAGGTCCCTGAAGCCAACGGAAGATGGGAACTCGGCTTCTGCGTCCAGTGCTGTCGGAGACGTGCAAGGCGACGGGGACGCCGACAATACGGCGAGCTCCGAACCCTCTGCATCGAAAAGCGCTGCAGATTCCATGCCCTGGCCCAAAGACGATTCCAGCGATTGGGGCAGCTCAGATTCCGATGCTGCAGAGGATGATGCGAAAAAGACTGCCGTCAAGAAGAGTCTCGGCGCGCATTCGGGCGTAGATGCACGCCGGGTGAACCGAGACAAGGCCCGGGGCAGGGTCTTTCGTAAAGTTCAGCCTTTAGACATCCTTCATCTTCGTGCTCGAGCTACCTCAAAAATGGGTTATAAGCAATATGTCATGTAGCCCAGTAGCTCATTAGGCCCTTCCGCCTACACCCAAGATTTCTAAGCCGGTGAAGCCCTGGAAGTTTTTCAGGTGATGAAGGCTTTCACTGAGCGTGATGATACAGCCATTGCTCAGCTGAACGATGACGAGCTACAGGCACTGGCTGAGCAGGTGCAGCTGCAAGAGGAGATCGAACAGCTTCCCGGCGCTTTCGGGGTTTCGGGATCATGGCTAGCTGATGGTGCCGCTGACTCTCAGCAAGGTGAGCCAGTGGTTTCGGGTTTACTTTAGGGGATTAGAGTTGAATTTGAGGTTCTGACACTGATCGTGGGCCCAGAGTTGAAACCCACACTCATCGTAGCAGTAATTCACGAGGCTGCAGATTGAACCCTAAACCCTAGCCCTAAACCCCCAAAAAGCCCTAAACCCCAAAACAGCCCTAAACCCCAAAAGCCCTATACCGTCAATCGCAATTTTTTAGATTCCCGACAAAAACCTCGAGGTTCGATTTGTCGAGCATCGATGCCTTCGCCTACGTCCTCCTTGCTAAGATGGGCTCCTTCAAGAGGGCCTTCAATTGGTTCGACTCTAGCTTTTAGGGTTTAGGGTTTAGGGTTTAGGGTTTAGGGCTGGCACTTTGGGAAAATTGATAATTTAATGTTATGGTTCCGGCAGAGGTACCTTTTCATAAATTAAATACTTTTGGGGGCCCTAAAGCTACAACTCAGGATTTCAACTGTTCCAAGAAGATCACGAATGTCACCTGGGACACAGGCAGGAGTCTGGAAGAGTACAGTGGTAGTAAGAGGTGCTATACTGCATATTCCATGAAGGTGGTCAAGTTCTACCAACTTCCATTATTTATCTTTCAGTGCGTTAACTTAATATGTTACTGGTATGTTATATTGGGTGAAGTGTGGCTCCACTAGACTACATAGTTGGATCCGATTCGGATCTGTTACATGTTTCTTATCTCGTGTTATGCCACACCATGTTATATCAAATGGTTCATGTAGTATCTGTAACTAACAGCATAATTCGCAAGATGTTCGCGAATTTCAGGCTGGTAAGATGTTCGCGAATTTCAGTGGTGGTCAGCAGTTGACCCTGCCAGGTATCCTGCTGCTCCATGTGGATACGGAGAAGCTGACCGGGTTACTGGGTTATTGCTAAGGGATTTAAATTGAGTTACCATAACAAGGGAACCTCTTTCTATTTACCGTAGATCAAGATTATGGTAGCTTTACTCGAATTCTTCAACCCGTAAAGGAACCTTTATAGATCCCTTAAAGTGTTAAAGGAACCTTTATAGTTCCCTATTACTATGGCAACTTATTTTGAATTCCTTAAGCGTAACCCAGGTTAAAGCCGAGCAACATCTTCTATCGCATGGACACCTGCACAGAGGATCCACCGACCGGAATGATCACCAGAACCTCGGCGACGAAGTGGTTGAACTATTTTAGGGATTAGGGTTTACGGTTTAGGGGTTTAGGGTTTAGGGTTACTGTACCTGGGAGGACCGGAGGCACAGGTGTAGCACGCTCAAGCTTGTAAGAATACTACCTCTATCGTCACGGCTTCGTGTTTCACACCCCAGATCCTCGCAGAAAAGACTCAGAAGTCCCATGAAGGCATGTGGGTAATTAGTTTTTTAAATTTGGGTCTTTTTCAAGGTGCCCAAAATAGTACGGCACCCCTTAAAAAAGGCCCCCAAAGGGAACCTAATTTAGAGAACTACCCATATCAGCCAATCTGTTTGCTGCACCCGGAAGACCCATAGTATGCAGTCTGGAGGACACCTTGTTTCCAGCGCCCCTATTGCATGCTTGTCCGATCCAGTCTGGAACCATCGCGATTGAATCTACCAAAGCATTGGCATACGCCATCTCCCGTACTATATCATAACAGATACAGTAACACATATACTGTTACAACCCCCTCTGTCAGGCTACTGCCTACAGCTTTCGCACCTGAATTGCCTGTGACTTCCGAATGGGAGATTCGCAAGAAAATAATGTCAAAGATGTAATCCGGAGCGCACCTTGCAATATACGCCCTGCTACCAAATCCCTGCACCCTCAATCCTAGACGTACATCTGCTGCAGTTCGACTGCCCAAAGGGAAGAAGTGGAAGCAGTTCTTCAGCGGCTTCCAAATTCCGGAGGAACTCAAGAAGCAGCTCGAGGAGATTGCCCGTTTGGGTTTATGATATTAACAACAATAACAATAGGAGTGCTAACGACATGGGAGTTTCCGAAATTCGGGGGTACCGTATGTTGGGTCCTTCTACCTACTATTTAGGGTACTACATCAGGGTCCCCTGTTTTCGGAAACTCCCATGTGTCTCTCTGGATCTCCCTGGGATCAGTCCCAAGGCCTCAGAGTTTGCAAAGCGTTTTGAAGCACCCAGACGGTCCCGGAACTTTGACTTTCTGCCCTTGAGGTCGTGGTTTAAGGGTGGCACCGTTTGCCCAGTCATGTCTACGAAAGGGTTTGGTTATTCACGTTGGTTTTTGGTGCTGAGCAGGTGCTGCACTGCTGGTGGGGCTGGTGGTGGTGACGGCGGTGGTGCAGCAGCGCCGGCAGTGGTGGTGGTGGGTGACGGTGTGGTTGCTGTCACTCTTGTGATTGCGTCTTTGCATGACGTGCATCTGTATACGTGCATGAGTTTTGTCTGGTCTACCTGATGAAACGTTCTGTGTCCTTGTAGGATGGGGCTTGTGGTCTTTCTCTTGTCAAGATTCCTTTGACGTGACTGATCGGACTTTTGAAGAGTAAAAGGTTTGCCGCCAAACCCTAGACCCTATAAACCGCTTGCAGGAGGGAAGAAGTTTACGAAAGAGGGCAGCCGCTCGAATGAAGCAATACCGGAGAAGAGGAAGCCTCTTCCGAGGCCACTTCTGGCGGGTTTAGAGGTTTTAGGGTTTGGAGGGTGACGGATTCTTTTGCGAGGCTCAGACCTCTGCGGGGTTTAGATTGTCGGCGTTGGGGCCGTCTTGAGCTGTGAAAAGTTTCGCTGATTTTGCGTCGAGGTTTCAGAGCTGGCATTGTGCACTTTCTTGTCTGTAGGCTTCGGCATTCGAGGATTTCGCGCTGAGCTTTAAGCACTTCTTGACAGGAGACAGGGGACAGCGCCTGGCAGTGCAGAGGAGGCTGCACATCCTTTGGGAGGGGGGCTGAATAAAAGCTCGTGTTATGTACTGGATTCTGAGCATTCTTCTGGTCTTTGAATTCGCTCCTCCAAAGCCTCAAACCCTAATTAAGCTTCAAACGCAGAGCAACCCTGAAATCGAAGGACAGGGGGGGGCGTTGTTAATCGATTGGCCTAAGGATTGCGTTGGATCTCTCTCATAGCAAAGAACCGATCTGTGTTTGATGCGCGGCTCACTAGCAGCGGTAACATCTCCGTTTTGTTTTCCGTGTGGTGCACCTGACGAGAGCAAACGTGCTACACACTGTGTCGGCAAGATGACCCGAACAACACTTGAAGAACAGTGATTAGCACGAAAGCGGCGCTAGTACTGGTCCAGACAATATTGTGACGGATTGCCCTGTATTCTTGGGAGTGTCGTTCTCCGGTAGCCTGCATCGGAGAGCCGCCAAGCTCCCTTTGCTGTCTCAGCACAGCAGCCTTTATCTCCGGCTGGCGCAGGGACTCTGACATTGACGAGGTGGAAGAAACGGAAGAGGTGCCACGTGTCAGATATAGATGATATAGGTTTACCTTTCGGAGGCTGCAAGTGGCTTCTTTGAGCATAAACCCGAAACCAAGTTTGTCCACTTGCTGCCAGGAGAAGCAGCAACGCCTGGCACAAGAACAGGACCCCCGGTTTGACCACTGCGGTGCATCATCCAAGCGTAGTGCGTCGGGCTAATAGAATATCGAAGGTTTAGGCCCATTGGGGAAGCAATGATACTCTCCTTCGGGTTCCTTCTGCAATAGCACAACATGCCCCAAACATCTTTCATGGCCCCTGTACTCGGTTTCCTGTGCACTTGGTCGAGTTTCACAGGCTTGGTATGTGCGGAACTTCACAGGCTTGCGGATAAGCGGCCTCAATTTCATCACAATGGAAAGAACAGGTTGAAGTCCAGCTACTGCTAGCAGGCATTGAGAACTTTGAGTGTTTGTGCATATCCGAGAGCTACTTCCCTGTTGCTTCCGATCGGCTTCTCACCGAATCGGCAGGCAAAGATGTGGTGATTGTACATACAGTGCTATAGTAATATATATATATATATATATAAATAGAATTAGTAGTGTATATATATATATATATATATATATGGAATCCTGGTCTTAGAATCTCCAATGTAGAGCTTCGGCTAGGCCAAAGGCAGGCCGGGTAACGACAGAAGCCGGGGTAAATTTAAGTTACGACTTCTACATGCTTAAGGTTTCCAGTTACATTTAAGTACTGTAATAGCCATATAAATTCACGAGTTCTACATGCTTAAGGTTTGATGTATAACCCTAGGAAAACCGCATTCTATTTGCTGAGGACACTGTATTTCTGAACCCCGAGATTCTACTGCTTAAGGTTCTTAATGAAATTTGTACTGCTTTTAGCCATACATTACCTGGAACTTTCCGGCGGGTTCAACTCAGTGAACATGGTTTTATCTTTAAGCCCGTAGACCCTAAACCCGAAACTTCTGAACCACCAAACGCCCTAAACCCTAAACTCACACCCTAAACCCTAAACCCCTAAACCCCTAAACCCAAACCCCGCCAGGCTTTGTCCGAGTGTGAGTGTCAAACTCAAACCCCTTAATCATTTATCGGAGCTCTAGGGTTCTGTAACAAATCGCAAGGCTGGGTACTTAAAGGATCCTGGGACTTAGTAAGTAGGGTTATAAGTAGGTTATAATTAGGATAACCCTACTTAGGGGACTTATAACCTACTTACATAATAGTAATAATAGTAATAATAGTAATAATAGTAGTATTAGTAGTATTAGTAGAGTACTAAGTCCCATGATCCTGTAGGTAGAGGCCTCCTAAGGCGCCTCTCCGCAAGTGGTCCGAGCACATGCATCTTTGAGTTTTAGCTACTATAAATATGTGGTTTGGGGCACAGAGGGTGCTCGTGCATCTTTGAGTTTTAGGGTTGTTATATAGGGTTTAGGGTAGTAGTGAGCTTGAGGGTGCAAAGTGTTTAATGGTAGTCAAACACGGAAGGTATGACAGTTCAGTAATATCCCCGGGCAACTGGGTCTTCTATTCGAGGTGGGCGCTCACGTCTAAGCAGCTATCTCGCAGACCTTCATAATGGTCATATTTGAGTCTCTTAGAGTCTAAGACATTCCCCAACCTGTGGCACGCCCCGTGTCGCCAACTCGCGAGGAGAACTACAGGCGCGGCGTGCTGCGAGTCCCTAGGACATTGGGGGTCTTGAGGACTGAGATGGCGATGATCATGATGACGGTGATGATATGTGATGATGCTGACGGCAGGCACATATATCTGGTCTGTGATCATGATCATACGAGTTTTCGAAGCGGAAAGAAAGTAGCCCCAGCACGATGACTGTATGCAGGTATGCACATGATCCGTGAGCCCCCCCGCCCTTGGTAGCCCTTGTAAGAGACTACGCTGTTTCCTACTTAAAGGATCATGGGACTTAGTAGCTAGTGCTACAATTAAGGTAACTATACTTATTGTTACTTATAACCTCACTTCGGGTACTTATAACCCCACTTACTAAGTCCCATGATCCTTCAAGTAGACCCTAAACCCTAAACCCCATAGATCCCGTTTAAGGAACCTTTATAGATCTCTTTAAGGAGCCCTTTTAAGGAACCTTGCTACCCAGTAGATCCGACCAGAACTGCAACTGGACTCCGCCAGGGAATGGGTTGAGCGCGAGCTGTCGTCTATCGGCGATGGCGATTACAAGGATTTCAGCGATGCCGTCTTCAGAGGTGGAGCTGTCGCTTGGATCCGGCAGTTGGGAAAGGGTTGCGAATATGGTTTCGTTGGCGTTATCACATAGTAAGTTAGTATTGAAGGTCTTCTGTACTTTCCATGCTATAACCCTGACTGACATCGGTATAGTTGCTGCTGCCCTTGCTGTTGCCACCGCGGTCGCTGCTGCTTTTTGTGCCTGCCTGACTCCTTCAGATGACGCATGCATTCCTGCTCCTAGCAACACTTGACCCTAGGGATCAAAATAGCCCAAAGGCCTTATATAGCATGGTCTTTGGGCCCAAAAGCCTTATATAGTATGGTCTTTGGGCCCAAAAGCCTTAATATATGAGTCCTCAAGCTGTAGGTTTACAGCCTTTGGGCACAAGATTGGGTTGAACTCTGGGGGTCGGTCAAGACACGTCTTCTTTCCAACCCGAAACCCTAAACCCTAAACCGATGCTTGTCCTTGACCGCCTCTCTTAGTGAAGTTTCACTCAGCAGACCCCGAACCATATGCCTCACCGGATTGTGCGAGTGTGAGCGCCGAAACCCTAAACCGACTTCCCAAACCCCTAGCCTAAACCCTGAATCGTGTTTGAATGCCGATGTTGGGTTCGAGTCGCAGAGATCGGTAGAATCGCAGATTTCCGTCCTCGGCTCCTTATGTAGGCACGGGCGATCCGGGGATCCTATGACAGAGGTAGAGGAAGAGGCTCTTGGGTGCGAGACGCTCCCAGGGCCTCCAGGGCCCTTCAATGCTTTTAGGGGATTAGAGTTTAGAGGTTTAGGGTTTAGGGCTTGACGTTTCGAATGCCTGAGAGAGAGAGAGAGAGAGAGAGAGAGAGAGAGAGAGAGAGAGAGAGAGAGAGAGAGAGAGAGAGAGAGAGAGAGAGAGAGAGAGAGAGAGAGAGAGAGAGAGAGAGAGAGAGAGGGAGTAGAGAGTTCTTCTTTTGGGGTGTTTCGAGAGTGTCTAGACTAGGGTTCCATGACTTCACTCAGGAGAGCCTTCTGAATCCATTTCGGCGCCGTCAGATCATGATGGAAATTGCCGAGGTCGGGTGGTTTGAATTGAAATGGCAATTTTATACCCGGAACCCTAAGCCCTTACAATCTAAACCCTGAACTTGGAGGGGGGTGTCGCGTTCTTAAGGCCCACAATCCGCAGGGCTCGTCCATTTGCCCGGACAGTTTCACAAGAGATCCAGTTTGAGAGTATAGTCCTTGGGGCTTATTCCGTTTAGGGCAGAGGGCTTCCAGAGTCAAGGTTTACGACGGAGAACTTTACATGTCAGGAGCTCGACATCCCAAGGTAGGATCAGTGAACACCCCAAAGCCGTGCTTGTGCAGAGGAGCGCAAAGCTCTGAGTTCATTGAATAATCGCAGCCCGAAAGGAGATTCCCGGATGCACAGCTCTATCCCAAAGCCAGACCTACAAGTCAGTTCAGGGTGCGTCAGGTTGCTTTCGAATCGCCGGCCCTTTCACCGAGAACTTAGCCAAAGCTCCCACCGTCCGCATCTAGCGAATACTTATTGTACCTCGGCTCAGCATCCAACATGAATTCCTGGGCTTGGATGCACAAAGAACCGTCCGCGGAAGCTTCCGGTTTATTGGGCCAGAGGCACCCTAAACCCTAAAGCTTGCAAACGCTCTTGTGCAAAGAGCAGCTCGGGCCGGGAGCAACTCAAGTTCCTAACCTTGTGGGGTTTGGGCATCATCAAGCGCTTCCTAAGCCCCACCGTCCACTTCTTGCGAAGATTCCAACAGATAAGCAGCTTGAGGTGTATGGCCTTTTCACGCTCTCTCCGGCGGGGCTGGGAAGGATGCCACCACGTCCCAAGGCTTCAACAGCATTGCCAACACCATAATCAGGACTTTGTTGATCATGTTGGTGGTGAGAAGGATGGTGCTTGTGACCACGTCGATGCTTGTGGTGAAGGTGATGCTGCTCATGATGGCGATCATCATCAGCATCATCTCCATTGCCATCACCAGTTTCGCCATCATCACCACCACCACCATCATCATCCGTGTCATCGTCAGACCATCATTGGTGGAGCCATGTCATTGATCCAACCGTTTTTTTGGCAATGACCTTCCGATCTCCTAAGCTCCTGCTTCTCCCGGGCCTCCAGGAGCAGGGGCCGAACTTTTGACTGTTTACCTTTATCAATTTATCAATGCTCATGGGAGTAACATTCCAACCCCATAGGCTCTAAACTACATCGGCCCTGACCCCGAAACTCCTCCAAGGTCTGGATGCATAGTTGTGCTTGCCGTGTTGTGGGTGGTAGTGTAGTGCTGGTGCAAGTGCCCATGCAGAAGGACAGCTTGGCGAGTTTGGTTGCGGAAGGGGTTCCGTGACTTATGTTTGTGGCTTGGTGGTGGCGTGTCTTCGTTGGAACCCCTTTTAGATCCCAGGACTTGCATAGCATTTCAGTGGCTAGTTTCGGAAGAATTCCCTGCGGTGCGACTCTGTCAGCCCGAAACCCTAAAGACCTCCTTGCTTTGCTTGGCGTCCGGCTGTGGGTCACCATGCAGCAACCTTAAATCCCTCCGAACGTGAGCGCCGAAAACTGAAAACCATGGACCCAAACCCGAAAGAACGTTGGTAGATCCCTTTGTGGAAAACCCATATAAACTCTATCGGCAGCAGTTTGGTAGCTTCTGAGGTAACAGCAAAAGCCTGGAGCGCGCCCCGGGAGTCCTTGAATCAGCTATCATGCCGGAACCTGGGTGTGTCTTGGAGCAAAGTTGTATACATACATATATATGTATATGTGTGTATATATATACATATACATATACATATATATATATATATATATATACATATTTATATGCATATGTATGTGTATATATATATATATATACACACACACGGTTTCGAGCTTAGGGTACAGGGTTCGAGGCGTGAGGGTCAAAGGGTTTGGGTTTTCGAGTTTGACGGATCAGGATTTATGTAGGGTTTGGGCAAGAGTAGCTACATAACCGGATGTTAATATTTATAATAGTTTCCGCCTATGTTTTATCAGGATTGGAGGTTCTGGGGTCTACGGTCAGTTAGTTGAGGGAATGAGGTTGCAAAGTTTGAGTGTGAGGATTGCCTTCGCCTCTTGCGGGCCTCAGGGCTTCAGTGAATTTTGGCACCCTGAGCATTAAGAGCACCCACCATGCTGTTGCTCCGAACTCAAACTTGGGATGAAAGTCTTCAACAGCGCCAGCCACAAGCCGCAGACAGAACCTTGCTCGTATCCTAGCCGGCACGTGCTTCGCAGGCATGAGGATCTACAACATGAAGTCGTTTTCGGGAGCTGCTCGTCCGGCAGAGCAGGGTTCGGGGCTGGGGTATGATGGCCAGGCTGGGCCGACAGCTTCTTGAGCCCTGGATGGGGCTTACGGTTTTGAGGACCGAGCCCAGATCCTGAATCAAAGTCAAATCTGACATACATACAGATTTCGCGTTTCGCATCTGTGGGCACGTGCCCTTACATGGGTCTGATCCCCGTGGTTCCCTTCACCCTTTGCAGGCACCCAACGAAAACTGCAAAAAGCTGGCACTCGCCCCAACCCTGAAGCCCCGACGAAACCCTGAACCATCCCATAAAACGTATTAAAAAGTCGCAGCTCCGATGCAGACCCAGAGTCCTCCAAATCCTAAACTCAGTAGCTGGGTAGGTAACACTTGACCTTTTCGGGGTTTGGATGGTCCTTTGACATAGTTCAAGAGGTCAACCTTTATTGTGCTAAGGTTCTCGGCCCCTAAATAACACCCAGTCTCTAAACCTCGCAAGCAATCTGCGCCATTGGGTTTTCCTTGTCTATCAGACTGACTGGGTTCTAATGATCTCAGGCTCACCTCTAAAGGAGGTGTAGGGCCCTATAACCCCAACATAGTAGGATTCATATAAGGAACCCTAATAAAAGCCCAGTGGCCCTTAATCAGGTTCCTACATAATTGTAGCATGTAGAATTGTACGGAAGCTGACATACTTACCATAAAGCAAGCTAGGTACGATCCCTCGTATGGTATCCTAGGTTCTGTTCCTTACAGGATGAACGCAGGGCCGAAGTTCGGTAAGCAAACCACAAACCGTGGTCTTCAGGGTATAGTTACCATGGACGATGGAGTCACACACCACGGCTGGTTCTAGAGCTAGGTTTTTTAGATGGCCCGAATCAGGCACCCACACAGCTTTGGGTTGGAAGGGGTAATTGGCACTGAATCTCTGCTACAGCTTTCGAGTCTAGGCTCGCATAATTTTCTGACATAAGGTCACATTTCACAATCTTGTTCTGGACTTGCCATACCCCTGGTTTGAATGCTCCACTGGAGCTCCAAGCCCACCCACTGTCCCAACTCCAAGCTCGTCATTGGTTTCTGTTACTGGTATGGTATGGTATGGGAACCAGATGGGGTGTGCCAATGTCGTGCAATATTAGCTGCCCCTCCCTGACCACTCACTAAACCCTAAAGCCTGAACCCCATAGCCTAAGCCCTAAACCCCACATTCCCACCTCCGAGATCATGATCGACAAGTTCGAAACTATGAGATCAGGGGGTCGCCTCGTGATCAACGACATGGGCTTCACCGCGGCTTGCGCAAATCGTCGTTTCCTGTAGTGACCGTGATCATTTGGGATCCCTGATCACGAGACACCATGTTGCTCTCGTCTCAGACAGGTGGGCGTTCGGTTTAGGGTTAAGGGTGCTTGAAAGGGGGGCTCTTGCTGTAACCGGGCTGCTGGACAACGAGGCCTGCTGCATAAGGGTGCTTCCGATAAAGGTCTTGGGATTGATGCCCAACTGGCCCCTGAGAGACTCTTTTCCCTCGTTTGCATCGTCCCTGCAATGCTCCGGGGCCATCCTTAATAAGGACAGAGCTGACTTCTTTGCTACCTTTCGGGAGTGGGGGGGGGGGGCTCGCCCTTCAGAGCCAGTGTTCCTGTTTCACAGTATATACCCCTCATGCTACTGTATGCCCTGTCCCTGGCGCGCGGTACTGGGGTCGTCTGAGGAAGCGCAGAAGGCCGTTGCACACCTGCTGGCACTGGATCGGACGCTCGTGGCCGTCTTTGAAAGACACTTCGGAAGCAATGTATCCTAATTTTAGAAAGCAACCAAAGGTTCTCCGTCAGGTAAATTATGCAGAGGTCATGGAAGTACGCCCAAAGTGCGGGATGAGGATCATCAGAAGGGCCTGTCTAAGCTGCACGAGAGGCACTATGAACTGGACGGATTCTCCTTTGAGATACCCTCAGACTTTGTACTCGTAGCGTCGTAAAGATCCAATCCCACATCAGCCTCGCCCCGAATCCAAAGCTAGAAAGCAATCCTTGCAAACCTACACCTCTATAACCTTTACGACACAACCTCTAACCATTGTCAATATTCAAAAACCTCACTCACAGGTTAAACTCTGTAAGAATTCAACTGCTGGATAACATTGTTCCAAAATGCCGGCCCCAGCCCGTGACAAAAGTTCTTGAACCTTCGAAGAAAACACGCTCAGAATGGGGTGCCGGCGAGCGCTTGGTTGTTCACCACACTGGATCCTTCGCATCGGGCTTGAACTCTCAGTTGGACGCCCTCAACGAAGGCGCAGGGGGGATCCGGGGGAAGCTCCATCCATGAACAGTGGGTTTATTAGAGTTGTGGAGTTATGGAGATTTAGGGTGAGAGCGGTTGGAGTGCAACGTTTATCCGTTTAGCTTGTTTGGAGTCATCGGGTTCTATATCAAATAGTTTCAAGATTTTGGGAGTAGACGGGGAATCTGTGCAAGATTGATGTGCTTTTGCCCCGGTTGTTAACCCGGTTTGGCGGATCAACGACACGTCTTGAATCTGGCTTATTTGGCATGTATGTGCATGCCATGCCATGCCACTCTTCTTCAATTTTTTGGTAGGACTGATGCGCAAGAGCTGTTGCCAGATCTCTATGAGTGTTGGTAGGCAATCACTGCGGGGAGCAAGGGTGCTGCAGGAAAAGTCCCACCCAAAACTGACCTGAAACCCAACTGGCGGTACAGCCTGAGACTCTCACCTTAAACCCCAAACCCGAAACTGACCTAAACCCTTAACTCCACCAATGCCAGGCGATGCCGTGACCCTAGCCGCCAATCTGTCTAACATCGAGATGAGATATGCCCGATTCTCGATTCGGGGGGACTCGTCGGTTTAGCAGAGTCTGGGGCTTAGGGTTGCGGCCCTGGGATTCCGGGATTAGGGCTTAGGGTGCTTGTTTAGGGCAGTTCAAAGCGTAGGTTTATGGGCCCAGGACTTCTCACTTCTGCTAGTATCGTTTGTATGAAACTATGTTTTTGGTGTTGTTGACACTTGAGGGCGGTTCACGGGTTGTGTCTCATGTGATCCAAGAGTTCTTGGGTGATGGCATCTTATGTGATGAGGGGCTTCACGGTAGAAGTCCAGTTTCGGATTATGGGCCATAGGGCATTGATTACAGGACTTGGAGGATCCACCGCGAGCAGGCCTTTGTTTCTTTTGGTCTCGGGCACGAGACCAAGAGGCCAGAAGAAGAAGGGACGAGTTGCGCCTTGACACCCCCGCAGTCTCTCCCGCTTATTTACATTTATATGTATATATATATATATATATATATACGTATATGCAAGTGTTTTTAACTCCAACGAAGACACGTACAGAAGATGACCAAGGCAAGCGTGTGTATATGCACAAGGTTAATATCGGCATACGCATGCAGAAACACAAACAGAAAGAGCGTCCTCAGCACCCAGCCGCCCCATTCAAACCAAAGGCTTCAAAATCGCAAGCCCTGAACCCCGAACCAAGCCCCCTGAAACATATGCAGAAGGCCTCTCTGAAGCCGGAGTCATCAAGTGACTCAGATGTCGGAGATGTTCAATTGGCTATGAAATCTTAGCTGCTTTCAACTGTTCAACCAATGTACCCTGCAATGCGGGCTTCATCCTTTGCTAGGTAGGAGGGAAAATATGCAGAACATTGAAACTCGGGTTGTTTTGAGTCCGGTCGGGGTTGGGAGCTTGGCTGCGTGCTCTTAGAGTATATAAGGTCAAGGATTAACCTTCAACCATTCGATTATGATGCCATCAATCCTCAAACCGCAACTTCCGAAAAAACTCAGAGCGTTTGGCCCGGCATCGCGAATCCTAGCGTTTGAAGCCAGGTCCAGGCACAAGCGGCCAAGATGGGGATGACCGTCGTTCGACAGAAGAACGAGAAGGGGGAGGAGACTCTCAAGGCTTTGAAGCCTCCTTTAAGGGATCTTAGACAGAGTTACTTTCAGGGGTGCATACTTATACAAGGGTTCTATAACTGCGTTTGGGAATACCCTGGGGCTCCACTGCCCTAATAATGACCCTGTAGCCCATGATCAGCTACCTGCATCCCTACAGTAGGAGATCAGAATGCATATCTTATGCATCCCACTGTTGGTGATGATCTTGTTGGGTCTTGCTCATTATTACATATGCATGTGTAGAGGGAGGGAGGGGAGCAGGAGCACTACTAGTAGCAAGACAACGAGAAAGAAGAGAAAGAACGCGACAGAACCAGTTTCAATATCGCCACATCGTCGTCATCACCTTCATCACACCCGCACCACCGTCATCATCGCCTCCACCATTGTCATCATCATGACCATCACCACCATCGTCCTCATCATCGCATCGTGATGTGCCGTTTTCGCCGACGTCATGACCACCACCTCCTCCGTCATGATGGTGGTTGATGATGATGATGATGATGATGACCTTGCACGTGGTGCAAAACACTACCAACATCACCCGGTGCAGCTACTTCACTATGCTATTGCGACTGCTACTGCTACTGCTTGCTACCGCCATTTCTGCTCCAACTGCTACTGCCACTGCTACTGCTACTACTACTGCTGCTGCTACTGCCACTGCTACTACTACTACTACTGCTGCTGCTGCTGCTACTACTACTACTGCTACTACTACTACTACTACTACTACTACTACTACTACTACTACTACTACTACTACTACTACTACTACTATAACTACTATGTACTACAGCTGCTGCTGCAACCACGTTGCGGAAGGCTGCTACTGCGGATTATACATACAGGCAAAGAATAGGACACAGTCTGGGGGAGTCTAGTCTTGAGTCTATTGTGCCCAGGTAGGGTTCGAGATCACCCACTTCCGAAGTCAAATGATTCAATGATAGCATGCTGTCATATACCACTACACCACCCTTACGAATTTACCGCCTAGTCCTGCTGGCAGGTCTTCAACATGCCGGGTCCTCAGACTTTGAGTTTCAAGTGGGTCTCTGGTCTTTACTGGCAGATCCCTGAGGAACGAGTTCGCAAATACCGTCCGGGAGAAGCTCGCCGATGTCGGTGTGGGCAATCGGGCCGTCTTCAAGAACTTGTGCATCCAGGAGCAGTTTGCATACAGCACACACGGAGCACGCATCAATGAGCAATCTGTACAACGTCTGACATATACACACAATACCAACTGTTTGTGTATGTGTACATATATATATATATATGTATACATACACACATACCTACACATAGTCACCTAGCTAGCTCAATGCTGATGCCGGTTTCGTGCCTGACCGCACGACCACTCGCGCGCCCGGAGTCGCCACTCTCTAATCTCCACACCCCCAAAACCCTAAACTTCAAAACCCTAAACCCTTGAACCCTAAACCCCAAATCCTCGCCTGGATTGTCCGAGTGCGAGCGCCGAAACCCCTAAACCCCTAAAGCCCCAAAGCCCTGGCCAAGTCCGAGCTGGAGACTTCGGAGACCTCGAGCCATCAAATCGGGCTTTGGCCGGAGTCAACAATAGCTGCTACGGCTTATTAAGTCCTTTGATCATACACCCTAAACCCAAAACTAAACCATAAACCCCATATGCAACCCGTACAGTATGAAGCACACCCAGAAACCTTCGGCAGGAGCGGAAGGTCGTCCACAGTGTCGCAGCTGAGATGGGCTTGCATTCCATGGACGGAGAAGAAGGTCGGCACGAAGTTTCAAACCCCAAGCTCCATCATACTATTATTATTGTTATTATGAAATACCTAATATTTCTGTTTTTCATACGTGTAGTATCGTATTACTAATCTTGCCCCAAACGCCATATCCTTCTGGAATACTCGTAGAACTATTGTAGTCGTCGTAGTTCTTATATGACTCTTGCAGCGCGTGAAAGGCGATGACCTCAAGAACGTGATTGTGACGTCCGGCTCCTTGGCAGCCTTTCCGATCACTATCCAGAGAGAGTAACGTGACTAATCACTGACATGACTGGTGATTACCCGGTTTCAAGATGTAACATCGCACTCTGCGGCTTGGAGTTAGATTCTTCACCCCGACCTGTGCAGAAACCATGAAACCTGAAGCCTCAGCGCTGACCAAGCCCCGCCTCCGATGCCTGTATCGGAGGCCTCAAAAGGTGGGATGAAAGTAGGTGGGATTCCCAAATAAGAGTCCTTATATAAGGGATCCTTAATCCTACCTACCTTCATCCCCCCTTTGAGGCCTCCGACTGTAATCTATACCCTGATAGCTAGCTAAATATGGCAGTGCTGCGTTCCCAAGGGTGTAGCAGAATGTAGAAGCCGGTATACATTTTGGCATAATTGGGCGGTACATAATCAGAGAGAGGAGAGTTTAGGGGTGTTGTAATTTCTTATGTATCCCTGCCCCAAAACGTCTGGCTTTTCGTTTTCTCGCTCCGCCGACTGCACACCGAACTGAGATGTGGAGTTCCAGGCAGAGCAGGCTCGACAAAAACCCTACCGAGTGCAGTGAGATGTGCATGCCAGGAGGAACTTTGTGGTTTGGTGTCGCATTGGTTTTCCTGAATTCCATCTAGCGGGCGCAAGTTGGCAGTGGTCCCGATGGTAGCTTTTTGGAGGGAAGGTGCATAGATCATGCGAAGGAGGGGTGGTTCGGGAAGGGCCATAGCAAGTTGTGGACGCGCTTCTGCCACTGAAGCAATCGAAGCACCGGACGTGGGAGGCGGCGCGGATGTCCCAAGCAGCAGATGGAGGTCCTGCTGGGTTACCAATTGTTTAGGAGTTTAGGGTAACCTGACATCCAGGCGGGTATACACAAGTCTGTGCAAAAGAAGGGTAACCTGACATGTATTGCGCGTGCAGCTAAGAAGGCTCGACATGCAATCAGCTGGTGCAGGGCATGCCGAGGGTGCAGTTGAAGTAGCTCCGATGTCAAGTTCCGAGTGCCTCGGCTGGTCATTTTGCACCTTAAGACTTTAAGATAAGAGGACCAGGTGCCAGGCCTCCCTGCGACAGGCAGTGGCAACTTCGTCCTTCCGCAGACTGCCCAGCAGCAGAAGGTCGGACTTACCGAAAATTCCGGTTTTTGACGCTGCGTTTCCTGGTTTGCCGGGTCTGTGGGCTTCCGGCAGAAAGTGGTAGGTTGTTGCTTTTCGCCTTGTGAAGCCCTGAACTCTGAGCCTGGCGGGTCCGAGCAGAGGAGTCAAGCAGCCTGCTACTCGTAGGACTTCTGGGCAATGGCTGACAAGAACGGCTTGTCACTGGATGCGAGCTTCCATTCCGGCAAGAGCATCTCGGATTTAGGGTTATGGTGGCATGATGGCTAAACGTCTTACTAGTACTGCAGCCCTGCAAGTGAGCAGCGACTCGGTCGGCTGTTCTGGTTTTGTGCGATTGTCAGAATCGCTTTGCAGCTCAAGACCCTGGCCCATCAGACTTTGACTGTAACTCCAACTTCTACTGCTAAGACATATGAGGCTCGTTTCGTAAACGGCCTTCCTACCAGCAATCCACGGTATATTTCTTACTGCGACACCACTACCCGGCATGCCCATCCACCCACCCGCGTCACCCAGGCGTAACGGCACCACAACCACCATTTCTCGCCCGCCCGAAGCGCAGGATCCCGGACCCTACATAAACCCAAAATCCGTAACCCAAAGCCCTTTTAGCCCTAAGCCCGAAGCCGCATTGAGGTCGGTTCGATTTCAAGGGTGGTGATGTGGTGCACCTGGCGGGGGTGAAGTCGCGAAGCGGCTCCAGCGCTAGCGATGGCGATGCGTATGACGAGAAGCCTGGTGCTGCTGGCGCAGGGGGCTTCAGGAGGTTTATAGGATTTCAGCTTTATGGTATCGTAAGGGTACTATTATAGGGGTTTATAGAGTTTCAGTTTTTTTCGGTATCGTAAGGGTATTACACAAGCGTTCCATGAAGGTTTAGAGCTTTTTGGGGCTGGATGTTTGAAATGTAGGTTTTGGGGCTCAGAGTATCGAGTTTGGGGTTGACGGTGCGGGCTGTGCAATTATATATTTGTGGAGGTTGTAATGTAGGGACCTTAAAAGTTAGAATGGGGTTTGGGGGTACATTATGCTATAGTTATGGTAAGGAACCACCAAAACCCTAGTGTAATTATTAAGGCCCCTACATTATGCTATAGGACAAGAAAGTCTCCACCTGCCCGTCGGCTTCCAGAACATGATAAGCATTTCTTATGTGCAGTTTCTCGGTTGCATCGAGGACTCTGATACATACTCGTCCACGGACCACGACATGGATTCCTGCTTAATGCTATTAGGCAGGCTCATCGATCCAGCATATCAGACCATGCTGTACCCACCAAGACAAAGCATCATGATGGAGCACAAAAACTGGCGGCATCAGCAGTTAAGCACCCTCTTCTAACTATTACGGCCTATATTAAGTGTGCGAAGGGACGCCATCAGCAATCATCCATCCACCATCCGATGGACTACCGCCTGCAGCGGGCCCGTAAACTTCAACCCTTTCCCTAAGGGCCATGGACCCAAATAGTATATACTTCGGGCCCAATGTACCTATATAGGGGTTACATTAAGGCCAATCTATATATACTATTTGGGTACATGAACCCTTAGGGTTTGCCCAAACGACTCGGTACAAACGCACGACAAGCGATTCGGTCTTTCCCACGAAGCCTGTTAAGCCTTGTAGGAACCTAAAACGCAAAACGCAAAAGCCTGGACGCTATGCATAGCGTAAGAGCCTGAACCCCAAAAAGCTTACATCCTGAACCCCTTGACCCTAAACCGCACTATTGATGAGTTCTTGGCCAATCGCATGTGTAACTGGGGCATCCAGCTGTTCATGGCATCTGTTTCTTTTAATGCCCGAGCCATATTTTCTGATTATCTTGGCAGAAACATCTGAAAAGTGTTGAAGTCCTTAACTTAACTAGTCAAATGCGCATCAAACAGCTCAAGGGAAGGATGTCTGTTGCGACTGGCGGAGTTGTTCTTAGCGGCCTTGGCGGGTTGTATCTGTCTGCGGTCTTGTGGTTATGTTTCGGAGGCCTCAAAAGGTGGGATGGAGGTAGGTGGGATATTCCCAAATAAGAGTCCTTATGTAAGGGATCCTTAATCCTACCTACCTTCATCCCACCTTTTGAGGCCTCCGAAGGTTGAGCCAAGTCCTCTGTGTGTTCACCCATATGCCGATACCCCACCGTTTCTTCCTATTCTTTACCCTAAACCCAAAACCCAAAAAACCCTAGGCCCGGAACCTTAAGCCCTAGACCCAAAACACCCCAAAATCCTAAACCCAAAATCCTAACCCTAAACCCTAAGCCCTAAGCCTTCAACCCTAAGCCCTAAACTCAAAGCCCTAAGCCCCAAACCCAAAGCCAAAAAAACAAAGGCCTAGACCCTAAGCCCTAAATCCTAAACCAAAACCCTAAACTCAGAGTGATTGTGCGGCCAAAAAACCCTAAACTCAAAACCTTAAACCCTTTGTGCCAGGTGTGCGCTTGGGCTCCATCGAGCGGGCCACTGAGGCCACGGCTGAGGAGACGTCCGAAGGCAGACTGGCAGAAGTGAAGTGAATGTGGGGACTTCGGGTTTAGAAATAGAAGTATAATAGGATTTAGGGATTGTATACGACTATGAAGTTTGAGGATTGGGATTCAGAATCATTACGATACTATAGCATCGTTTGGGTTTATAGTTAGTGAATGTGCGGACGTGGGGTTGATCTTATTGTTCTTATAGGGTTTAGGGATTACTGTAAACTTGAAACTTGGGGTTTTGTTTATGACTATTATAGGGTTTGGGGATTCATTAATGACTTCGGGTCTGGGGTTCTGAGATCGACGCTATTGACGAGTGTGCACTGGCACGCACGAAGCCCGTGCTGAAACAGGATAGTGATGTACGCTTGATGGGTCAACCCTCGCAAAAGCATCACCGAAACTTGCTTTGCGGTTTATTCTTCGGGTCATGCCTGATGCATGGACTCGGAGATTGGCGGGTTTCGTGTGCAGGCGTCTAGGCTTCAAAACCAGGGCTTAGGGTTTGTTAGGACTTCACGGTATTTCAGTGCAGGCTCAGACGCCCACTGACCAAGCCCTCAACTGTGAATTTGCTTCTAGAACCTCAACCCTCAGCCTTTCGAATCGCCTCCGGTGTAGCTGCAGCTCGGACGAATTTCCCTGCGGTGCGACTCTGTCAGCAGGCTCGGGTGGAGAAAAAAAGATCCCATATCCTAAGCCTAAAGCCCAAACTCCAGCTCATACTATGAGTACACCCTGAACCCCGACACCCCAGTTCCTAGACCCTAATCCTGTCAGCCCTGAACTTCAATCCCGATCAACTACTCTAAGCAACTAACCCTTTCAGCTCTAGAAAGCCCAGGAATCGACGTCGACATCCAGAAGTCCGCGACAGTTGCGTCGCCGACGGTTGAGACCTCCTCCGAGCTGATTCGGCAGGTGAAGTCCTAGCAGTATTGGGGTTTATAGGGATTTAGGGAGTATGGGACTCATGATAGGTCTTTATGGGCTTATGTTTAGCAATGTAGGGGCCAGGGTTAGGTGTTTCGGCTTTAGGGGTTAAGTTTAATTCTTCAGTGCTTAGAGTCTAGGGCGGTTTATGTGTTCAAGGTTTTCGGCTGAGCGCTTTAGGGCTTCAGGCTTTCGTGCTTTAGGGCAAACAGGTATAGAGGGCTTATCTGCTCATGTAACCCGGCTCCCGTTTCCGACTGACCGACCGGTGATAAAGTACTGAAATATGGGGGATTCGTTCTGTAGTTAGCAGACTTGGCCAGACAGTTCAGGGCTCCCGAATTGAGTTGCAGCTGTTGTGTAGAAAAACACGTCCCCCCCCACACCCTCCCCCTCCCCCCCAATGTTTACGGGTGCAGGAATGTTTGAGGGCCAAGCTCTGAGGTGATTTCTGAGCTCCGCAAGCCTTAAACCCGTAAGTACCGTCAGCCCCGGAAGCGTAGAAGCTTTCGGGCGAAACTGTAGAAAGGGCGGTCGAAGGGAATAGCAAAGACCCCTGAGCGCAACGATGGCCTCACCTCCAGGTGGTGTGCAGCAGCGCTAGACGAGCAGAAACTCCAACAAGTGTAGACCGTATAGAACCCTTATATCACCCCTAAAAACAGAAGCCTTGCAGAACCCTTATACCGCCTTTAAAAAGAAGACATTGACCATCTAACGCCCATGAGACGGAGCATGGTTGCATAACAAACCGCCTATCTCGACTCTAAACCTGTCTGTGGAGATGCCCGTGGTGTCGGCAAGAGTCAGGCCAGATCGTAAACCGGCCCAGAACCATGCTGCGCTGCAGGCATTCGATGCTTATGCCTCGGGCAATTCCCGCGGGGAAAGAATTTTTTTGCGCTATGCCACTTGACGGCATCCAATCCTTGATGGATGAAGCCTAAAGACCACTCAGACCCAACAGGCCCGAACTTCTGTACACCCAGTGTATCAAAACAAATCTAGCAGTCTAGCAGAAGCTCTACAAACCCTGCAAGCCCTCTTGAAAAGTGCTGTTTCAGCCGTGCAATCGTCGATACTGAGCATGGCCAGGAGTCAATGATTGTGTGAAGGCTTCGCCCCTGCACACGATGCTGATCCGGGCCTTGAACCATGCCAACAGCAAAACCCTAAACCCTAGATCCTAAACCAGTCGTAGCTCGGGCTAGGAAGCGCTGAGCTGGTTCATGCCCAGTTTAAGTCCCCGGCTTAGGGCCAACTCACTGTCAACCTGTCGGAGCAAGTTTCGGATTGTACAGCTTCGGGTTGTTGGGATTTCGAGTTCGGGTTGGTTGAGGGTTTGCCTTCCCTGTACTCAGGTTGCAGGCGGGAAACGGTATATGTGGTGCCGAATGGTTTGTATCAAATCATGACGATCATGCCTGAAGACGACATCGGTCTCTAATGCAGCCTGTACTGGGCTGAGGCCGAACCGCAGGTTGAGCCGCAGCCTCCTCGAACCCGCAAACCATAAGCCCAGTTGCCTCGCCTGGATTGTCCGAGTGTGAGCGCCGAAACCCTACTGGGAAGCTTCCGCAAGGTGGACTTGAAGGAGTTCGCAAGTGATTTGCGTTCTGCGATGCCTGGAAGGCCGCGAATGGACCAAAGCTTCAGCTAGGGGGGAGGTTCCGGATTTTGGGGTTTAGGGCTTTGGGTTATAGGCTTTCGGTCCAAGGTTTAGAGCTAAGACTTTAAGCTTGTTAAGGAACATGAGTTCAGTCTACAGCCCCGGGTCTGTCACCGGATTCGTCCTCAGGGTTTGCAGGGCAAAGACTGAACAACAACTCACACCGTTAGGTATAAACTGAGGGGTTTTGTTAGTTTAGAAGCCAGAAGACTTACCCAGTATTTCCTTGTATTCTTTCTTACTCTACTCGCCTCAATGCAACAATATAAGGACCCAGCTGAAGTACGGCCGGTGCCAGAACCGGCGAGTTGAGGTTACGAATTTTAGGGGTCTACCGTTGAGAGCAAGATTAGAACCTCTTGCATCAAGGATGGGTTTAGGGTTCAGGCCCTAAAGGCTAAGGGTGCAGGGAGCCATAACCCCCAGTCACTATCTTTGCCCGGCCTGGCAGAGACATAACGCAAACCTCTGCAACCCCGTGCCGGTGCAAGGAGCAGAACACCCGAAGCTGCAAGCTGTCAACCAAAAGCCTTCGATTCGACCCATGCTGCATTCCCTAACAGCTACACCCTAAAAGCCCCCAAAACCCTCAAAATTCTCAATTCGTAAACGAGCGACCTAGCTCAACACGGCAATGCCAGACGAAATTAGGCCCGGAAAAGGGGAGTTGTATTCTCGAGCGCAAGGGCGTTGAGCAAGGGGCATGCGGTCATAGATAGGAGGAAGCTGCCGTCCCTCGAAGCGCAAGGTAGCTCAAGCAGTTCGGAGACCTGACCTGCAAGCCTCAAAAGGTGAAGCCAAACTCCTGACCCCGAACCTTAGTAGCTGGGTGGATACACTATACACGTTTTGGGATACTACAGGGCTGAAAGTGTGCACTTTTTGGGATTTATAATTTTTTGTGAACTCAGCAACTAAGGAACCTCACATACCGCAAACTCTGAACCGAAACTGACCTCAACTGCAGTGGCAGGAGGAACTCCTTCCGCGATTTCAATGTCATTTTGGAACTTTGTTTCGCTCCTTGCAGATATGGCGCAGGGCTTTGGAGCACAGCCGATTTTGCAGGAATCAAGGGAAACATTGCTGCGAAAACAGGAGAAGACGGGTTTTGATTGATTGAGCTTTTTTTTTGTTCGGGGTTCAAGCGCGAGGGTACCATACCTAAGGCCTGCCTATGCCAAGCCCTAAACCCTCAACTCCTTGAAGGATCATGGGATTTAGTAACTAGGGTTATAAGTAGGGTAACTATACTTATAACCCCAATTAAGGTACTTATAACCTTACTTACTAAGTCCCATGATCCTCCAAGTCAGCTAAGCCCTAAACCCCCAACTCAGCTGAGGATGACACCATGCAGTTGCAGTCCGATTTTGGCCTCCGCGTCGGTCCAGGCCATGTTTCTCTCGCTTTAGGGTGGATCCGAAGCCCTACATGAATTGGTTTGATATGATCTATGTGTGGCTGTGTATATATAAATATATACATATATGTGCACACTATTTATTTGTTTACATAACATAATACATATACCAAGGTATATAGGTACATATACAAATAGTCTGGTGTGGTATGGTATGGTATGGTATGTGTGTATATATATATATACATATGTAGACATGTGTAAGATGTTTCTACTTGCAGTGTCGTCTTTTGATTCGGAGTGAAAGAGCACGGCAGTAGGATACAACTACTTTGTTTCGTGTGCACTGGCGCGAGTACCGCAATACTTGGCCTGTTCTGCTTCGAATCCGACGTGCACTTGTGGGCATGTTTTCTGACAATGGCGCTTCATGCGCTGAGAAGGGTTTCTTGAGCATCCCGTCGCCCAGTCTATATGAGTATATGTATTTTTGGTAAATCGCGGTTACAAGGGGGATAGCTTTTCCTTTTCTGGTCTTTATGTTTTTTGTTCTCAGGCCTTTCGGCTTACTGCGGATTCCCTTTTCTGGACTTGACACCCTCAACACACAGCAATAGCCCAAGCCCAAATCCTAAGCCCGACAAAGAAACAAGAGAATCAGAGATTCTAAATCCTACGCCCTACCGTAACCTCGAATATCCTACCTTTTTGGAGACCTAAATAATCAAATCATATTAAGGAATCCTAGAAAGGTAGTTTGTGGTGGCCTAGACTGTAGGATCCTTATTATGAGGGCCCCAAACCCTGAACCTTACTTTCCGGAACCTCCAAGTGGCGCCTTGGCAGGACTCACCCATCAGTTTTTCCAGGTCTTCATTCAGAAGGCATCAGAACGGAAGGGAAGAGGAGGTTGGCTTTCCCTAGGGATCTAAGGACTCATATTATATTGAGGCTTTTTGGCCCAAAGACCATACTACAGTATATAAGGCTTTAGAGCTATTTTGATCCCTGGGGTGTGATGATTAGGATCTAGGGGTTGGCTAGGGTTGCAAGCTTGTAGCTTCAAGTTCCTATGCGTTTAGGTTGCTTTTGCTGATGGTTGGCAGGAAATCAAGGTCGTGAAGGGCGCAGGGCCCCCATCCTTTTCGACTTAAAGTTAAGCTGTGGCTCTGGTTTTGAAGGAGGTAAAGCCTTCCGGCCTTGGCCCATGGATCATGGATGCACCTGGAGGTTCACAGACGCAAAATCCAGGCTTATGGCAAGTGCATCGGCCGGTGTAGCTGTGACGACAGCAGCGGCAGGAGCAGTTGGTGTTGTTGATGTGAAGCAGAAGTAGCAGTCGGTAGCCGCAGGAGTATCAGCAATAGACATATCAACCACTGTAGTTAGTGCTCTCAGTGGTTGCATCGATGATAAACCGGCAGTGGTGCGACTCGACAAGCAACAGCGTGAACATTTCAGCACCGAAGATCCCAACCCGAACAAGGTAAACCCAGACCCTTCCAGCCGTGCGAAAAGCCGAAGCTTCGCTTCAAGAAGCCCCGAAGCTGCGGTAGCTCCTAGCCAGCCCTGAGTCCGAAATGCTCCGCCCAGAATCTCCGATACCCTAAGGCCCCAAAGTAGTTCCTTTTTGGGGTTCATATATTTTTCCTTGCAGGTAATCCCAAAAAGGAACTAGTTTGGGGCCTATGGGTAACCCTAACCATCTACCACAGTGGACAGCTACGTAATGTCACAGTTTCAAAACCTAGAGTCGTTTATAGCGCAGGAGCAATTCAGGCACGGGAAACGGCCTTCACTGGCTGAATCTAAGGCTTAAGGTCAGTGCCCTTAGCACTTGGCACTGAAATTTCTGTCAAGGCTATGACGCGGCTTGGGCTCCAGGTTGCGTCGGTGCTTTTCGCAGCTTGGCCCTGTGTAGTAGGTGGAGGATTTAGACGTACGCCGAGAGGTGTCGTTCATTTAAGGCTGTGGGGCTTAACGATAGCATTTTGCATGTTGTTCTACACACATACATGCATGTGTATACACGTTGCATGTTTGTAGGCATGCTCTTGCATGCATCAACACTTACGATGCACATGACGACACTAAGTTTGAGAGCATCCTTTTTCGTTGACATACTCAGCGTTCTGAGGAGATCCTCAACGAACACAGCTGAATCTCTCCAGCATCTCGGAGGTGACACTCTTTAATGAGCACTGCCGCTTAGGTAGGCATGATCACTTCCTCGGTGTGCGAGGTTGTCCGGTTTGAAGTGTGGGCCATTAAGGACCTGGGGTTCACAATGATCCGTGTAAGAAAAGAAGCTTGGAGCCGATTCCCTTGAGTTTCATCGCCAGAAGCTTGCTTTATAAAGTGGGTGGTTGTCAAAATTAGGGTCCCTTTTCGGGACCCTAATTTTGAGAACTACCCAAGTGTTTAGGATCGGTTTAGATAGAAGATTTCGAGTTCCCGGGTCGCTCAGTGAACTCCGCCGGCACCGGATGGCGAAACAGCTAGCCGTGCCGGTGTCTGTGTTTTTTCTGCTATTCAGCGATGCGCTGTCCATTAGCGCTGCATCTGCAGCTGTGAACTACGCATTCAAGGCGGCAGAATCTGCCTTCGATGCAATGCTTCCTGTAGCTGAATAGGACAACTATAGCCAAACCTTTCCGGCCATAACCCTGTGAGCACAGCTCCATGGAAGCCTGCAAGACACCAGGGCGTCCTTGCCTGCTATGTCGTGAGCCGGTTGCCTTAACCCTGCAAGACCAACTTGGCTCTGTTTCTCATAACTGGCTTAGGTTGGTTGACAGCTAGACGGGTGCGTTCACATGTCGTCCTGTACAAGTGTGAACACACATCTAGTTACCTGGCAAGATTGCTGTACATGCAATCAAGGGCATCGACATGACATAGATACAGAGATATGTACCATGAAGCCGAAACCCAACACCCGGACCCCAAGTTCAAAAATGGCACATTCCAAACCTGAACGCCAGCTTACCTGCATCCTGGGTTGTACATAAACTGAGAAGGTGCATGGCACCGTATGTGTATATATATATATATAAAGATATACACACATACATACCGTGGTCAGTTGGGTGATCGGCTTCTAGCCAAAGTTATCTCATCTCTGAAACTCGGAGACGGGCCTCTTCTTGCAACGGGCGGTACTCGGAAGCACCGGGGCTTGGCACGAAAGGTGCGGCGTTTCGGGGCTAATATTAGTATACGCCAAGAAACGGTTTAGGGTGGGTGCTTGATAGATCTGCAACTTGTTTCAACCCGTACCTACCCGCATTCCAAATCCCGTCCATACAAGAGCAAGCATCTAAACCCCTTAATGCTCCTGAACCCCTACATAAGCCCTTAAAGCCCCGCAACCCTTGCCCCCAAGCCCACCGCCCCCTCAACCCCTCAACCCTGACAACAAAAAGCCCGTGACCACTCCGATCCCTAAACGGAGTTCTCCCCTTGTGGCTCAGACTCCTGGGTTTCGATAGTCGTTTAGGGACAATAACAACAGTAGTCATAATCATACACATAATCATGGTCATAATCATAATAACGGTACTCCAACGTGTAAAACTTTAGGGTTTTATGGGTTTCGGGCTCGGGGTTTAGAAGCTTCAGGGTTTAATTGAGGACGTGAACTTTTGGGTCTAGGTTCGATGGTGTTGCTTTCTTTTTGGTCCTGGTACCTCCCTTGCTTTTGTCATGGCAGCCCTCCAAAGGCTTGCATCTGTGGGCACAAGAGGCTTCACCGGCAGTCGTTGACAGAATGCCCTCGCACATATGATGCCCCTTGGGGTTCAAGCTGGGTCTTGGGTTGTTTGCCTGGCTTTCTTGCGGCTCCTTGTCATCCGCCCACTTCCAAAGATACCTCACTTGGCATGTGAGGTCGCCAGTAGCATTATTCCTGAGGCTTCCCTTAGCATATTTACACCGTAAACTAGTAGCATGGTACAATGGCGCACTCCCCCCAACCTAATTCTTCAGACTTTACAAAGAACATGACCCTGGGATTGGTCCAAACTCATCCCTGACTGCGAGCCTTCGTCTGCCATACAGAGAGTCACGAAGTCTGCTGTAGGGCGTAATTTTAGGGTTTATTTAGGGTTCAAGGTGTCCTTAACCAGACGTGGGTGCAGTAGCAAAACGGGTGTTCGAAATTAGAATGCAAGTTCTCGAAACTTCTAACGGGAGCTGAAATGCATAGCGAAGTAGCTTTGCAATGGCCAGGTCAGGTAAGCTCTTTGCAGGCCGAGGAAGTTTTGCCAGCCACGAAAAGCTTCAAAAGAAAACACCAATAAGCACGAACAAGTGGTCACCCCAACGAGCAGCGAACGAACAACACCGAGAAAACAGATCAACCAAGCCAAAAACAAGAGGAGCTCTAGCTAGGTTGTTTCTTTCTTTGGTTGTCGTTCTGCGTGCTTTCTGCTTACTCTCGGTTTTGCGTTGTTGCCCTCGAGTCTTTCAACTGCCAAGAACGGCACAGCCAGAGCACACAACGTAAAGGCTGCAAAGCAAAAAATGGAACGTAGCGAACACAAATCCAGAGCAACGCTATCTGATGTTGCTTTTGCATCTGTTCTTCGTGGTCTCTCTTTCTAGCCCTTTTGCAACGGTTTTGTTGTTGCTGTGTTGGTGCTTTCAGTTTGCTCGCTTCTTCCTCTTTAAGATTGCTTTGTTTCCACCCTCCCCCGCCCTTTGCAGAAGACTGTGTCTCCGAGATCTCTTGGACCTATGGTTATTGTTACTATAACCGGTTACAATAATATTAGTTTTATTCTTATTATCGTTGTTATTAGTTGTTCTTGTTGCTATTTGTTCCCCACATCACTGTGGGTTTTTTGTTTTTGCGCTGCACCGCCCCCGCTTCCGTCACGCTCACGCCCACACACACGGCACACACAACAACACACACAACACACAACACACACAACACACACACACACACAACACACACACGCACAACAACACACACAACACACAACACACAACACACAACACACAACACACAACACACACACACACACACACAACACACACAACACACACACACAACACGCACAACAACACACTCCTCCGAGGGCTCTCGGAGGCTCTTGGAGGGCTCTTGTTGGATCATGCGCGCGCTAAAGGAGTCCTGCACTTAGGAAGAGTCTCCCGCGACTCAAATCCTCTCCTCCGAGGGCTCTCCGAGGCTCTTGGAGGGCTCTTGTTGGATCATGCGCGCGGGAGAGCCCTCAGAGGAGAGGATTTTAGTCGCGGAAGACTCTTCATAAGAGCAGGAACCCTTTAGCGCGCGCTTCATAAGAGCAGGAACCCTTTAGCGCGCGCATGATCCAACAAGAGCCCTCCAAGAGCCTCCGACACCCCTCGGAGGAGAGGATTTGAGTCGCGGGAGACTCTTCCTAAGTGCAGGACCCCTTTAGCGGCCAGTCCACAGGGCCTGTGTGTGGACGGGGCCCGTCCACATGCGTCCTGGGTGTGGACGGGGCCCGTCCACGGGGTCCTGGGTCCTGTGCGACGGGGCCCGTCCACAGGGTTCTGGAAAAGACGGGGTTGTCTTGGGTGCGGACGGGGCCCGCCTGGTGCGGACACGGGCCCCGTCCACAGAGGTCCTGGTTGCGGACGGGGCCCGTCCGGTCCTCGGTGCGGACGGGGCCCGTCCACGGGTCCTGGGTGCGGATGGGGCCCGTCCGCATGTTTCCTGGTGCGCGTCCACTGCTTACGGTCCTGGGTGTGGATGGGGCCCGTTTACAGGGGTCCTGGGTGTGGACGGAGGCTCTTGGAGGGCTCTTGTTGGATCATGCGCGCGCTAAAGGGGTCCTGCTCTTATGAAGAGTCTTCCGCGACTAAAATCCTCTCCTCTCAATGCCTCGTTTCGGCTCCTGGCTGGATTGTGCTCGCTTGTAGCACAACTTTAGTACTGGAAATGACTCGTTTCGGCTCCTGGCTGGATTGTGCTCGCTTGTAGTACAACTTTAGTACTGGAAATGCCTCGTTGCGGCTCCTGGCTGGATTGTGCTCGCTTGTAGTACAACTTTAGTACTGGAAATGCCTCGTTTCGGCTCCTGGCTGGATTGTGCTCGCTTGTAGTACAACTTTAGTACTGGAAATGCCTCGTTTCGGCTCCTGGCTGGATTGTGCTCGCTTGTAGTACAACTTTAGTACTGGAATGCCTCGTTTCGGCTCCTGGCTGGATTGTGCTCGCTTGTAGTACAACTTTAGTACTGGAAATGCCTCGTTTCGGCTCCTGGCTGGATTGTGCTCGCTTGTAGTACAACTTTAGTACTGGAAATGCCTCGTTTCGGCTCCTGGCTGGATTGTGCTCGCTTGTTGTGCAAAATGACGTTATCGTTTTTTCCTCCTTATCGTTTTGCAAGTCAATCGCATCATCGCGATCACCGCGGGCAAGTGCTTACATAAATCGACCACGCGGGGATATTATACAACCCCAACTGGAGCTAGCGAAAGAGCTACAACTAGAGCTAAAGCCTGGAGCTGAAGCTAGAGCTGGAGCAGGAGCTGGAGCTAGGGAGAAAGCTACAACTAGAGCTGGGGCTGGGGCAGGAGCTGGAACTAGAGCTACAGCTAGGGCGAGAGCTACGAGTAGAGTTGGAGCTGGAGCTAGAGCTAGGGAGAGAGCTACAAGTAGAGCTGGAGCAGGAGCTGGAACGAGAGTTAGAGCTAGAGCTAGGGAGAGAGCTGCAACTAGAGCGAGAACTGGAGCTAGAGCTGGAGCTAGCCAGAGCCAGGGAAAGAGCTACAACTAGAGCTAGAGCTTAGAGCCAGGGAGAGAGGAGAGAGCTACAACTAGAGCTGGAGCTGGAGCAGGAGCTGGAGCTAGAGCTCGGGAGAGAGCTACAGCTGGAGCTAGAGCTGGAGCTCGGGAAAGAGCTACAACTAGAGCTAGAGCTGGAGCTAGAGCTACACCTAGAGCTGCAGCTGGGGCTAGAGCTGCAGCTGGGGCTAGAGCCAGAGCCAGGGAAAGAGCTACAACTAGAGCTAAAGCTCGGGAGAGAGCTACAACTAGAGCTGGAGCTTGAACTAGAGCTCGGGACAGAGCTACAACTAGAGCTAGAGCTAGACCTCGGGAGAGAGCTACAACTAGCGCTGGAGCTGGAGAGGTGGGCGAGAGCTGGAGAGAGCTACAACTATATAGAGCAGGAGCTGGAGCTAGAGCTAGAGCTGGAGGCTGGAACTAGAGCTAGAGCTAGGGAGAGAGCTACAACTAGAGCTAGAGGTGGAGCTGGAACTAGAGCCGACGACAACATGTACGCCATGTGCTTTGCCGCCGGTTGCGACCGTAATAGCAGCTTCTACTTCTACAGATGCCAGGAGCGAGGAGTGTGGATGGGTAGGAGGGTGGAAGGGGGGGTGGAGAAGGGGTTCCAAGCGGGTGCCCGTGCGAACAGATAGGAACACAGACGCACACACACACAGACACGCGCACACACACACACACACACAAAGACACACAGACACACAGACACACAGACAAAGACACACAGACACACAGACACACAGACACACAGACACACAGACACACACACACACACACACAGACACACAGACACGCAGACACACACAGACACACAGACACACAGACACACAGACACACAGACACACAGACACACAGACACACACAGACACACAGGCACACATGCACACATGCACATGCACACGCACACGCACACGCACACGCACACGCACACGCACACGCACAACACACACAACCGGCGCGGACACCCACGCGGAGTGCGCACGCATGTTTACATATCTAAACCACTCTTTTTGGCACTGCTTTGATGCTGACCAGAGTATCGCTGTCATGTGGGGCTATCCGGTCCTTTAATTGTTCTTGCTGCTATTTAAATAACATAGTGTGTAATTATGTATGAATGTGTATATATATATATATAGAGCTATACTATTATTGGTATTAGTATTTTTTTATACTGAAAAATTCACCGGCTTTCAAGGTAGGCTTTACATGACCTGGTTATGGCGGTGAGTGGCGAGTCAAGTTTCATGCAGGATAGCTTTTGTTTGAGAGGGGGGTAGGGGGTCGGGCAGGGCAGTACACGACAATCGGGGACCCTCTTGCAGTCACTTCTGGGCGAGCCACATTCAGGACTCAGGGCGTTTGTATGATTCCATTTCCTAGGGCGCAGTCTTGAGCTAAGTCTGATTCGATGCCCTTGCCGTCGTTGCCCTGGCAGCCCTGGATGCACAGAACGCGCGATTCCTCTTGCACCCTAAAGGGGTGCTTGGTCTGAGGGGTCTTCTTCGCTGCCGAGCCCTAGCCTTCGTTCCCTCTAGGGTTTAGGGGTTACTGGGAGTGCTTCGTCTGGTCGGGTCTTGTTGTTAATCTTCCTGTGGTTGCGTTTCTGGTTCGGGTTCGTATTGCGAGCTCCAGGTTCTGGTCGAGGCTTTAGCTTGGCTTGGTCAGGGCGAGTCTTAGGTCCCCAGGTTTAGGGTTTGCAGCCCCAGAAGCAGCGATGGGGTTGCTGCTAGCCCTACATACATAAACCTGGGAACCCAAAGGTTCGAAGCCCTAACTCTCAACACGTCAAATGACTACTGCTTCCAACCTGCACGAAGCCCCAACCAGCAATCCAATGAGTTTGGAATTAAGAGAACATGGCCGAAGCGGGGCTGACGCACTCCCCGGCAAGAAGAGTTAGACGGATGCTGCCAGCGGTTGTTCCCATCCGTGAGCCCAAGACCCGTTTTAGGCTGCATTGCTTGGGTTTAGGTTTTGCTACAACTTCGGCGAAAAACTTTTCACGGCATACATCCTAGCCCCAAGCAGCCGCGCTTCAAAGATTCGTAAACTGGTATCGAACCTTGTTGCCCCGAATCAAGATCGAAACCGACAGCCCTGCCCTAGGGCTCCATTTACCCAAGTAGCAGGTTGAAAGGCATATACCGTGTAACCCACTAACCCATTATGTCGGCAACTGGAGCCGTAGGGTTAAGACTTTAGACCCGGATGTCGTAAAGACAACATAGCCCCATAGGAATTGGTGCCTTCCGCTCGAAGAAAGGAAGGGCACGTGCATGGGATTCGATAGCTGCAAACAAGTAAGCGCTCACAGCCCAGAGGTGTAAGCATTGTATAGTTCAAGAAAAGCCTTGTAAGCAGGAGAACTGATGGGCAGGAGCCGGACAGGCACTATCAACGCACAGTCTGTCACATGAGTTAGGACACAAATGCCGGAAATCTCACGCAACCTGTCGCTTGAACTTTCATCACCTGCGGTGTTGGTAGGTTTCTATTTGGAACCCCAATACATAATGTATTGGGACCCTACAAAAACAGACGACTGTGCATATGTATATATATATATATATATACATACATACATACGAACATACATACACACACAGAGATGCGTATGGTAGCTGTTGGTAGATGCAGGTATAAATAAATGGTCACCCCCCCCCCATGACAGACCATGCCCTTTCGACTCAGTCGTAGTGCATGGTCTGTGATCGGGGGGAGGGGGCACTCAGCTTTCAAAGCCTCAATTCCAAAATTTCCAAAATTCTCTCCCCTAACTTTCCGGATTTCCAAAATTTCCAAAATTTCTGAGATTTCCAAAATTTCCAAAAAGTCCGCCCTTATGTTTTGGAAAAATCCTGTCGACTAGGTCGGGAAATTTTGGAAATTTTGGAAATTTTGGAAATTTTGGAAATTTCGGAAATTTTGGAAATTTTGGAAATGCGGAAAGTTAGGGGAGAATTTTGGAAATTTTGGAAATTTTGGAAATGCTGGAATCTGTTCTATATATGACTCAAGTAAGATTACTGTGTAGTGCTTACTATGTAGTGTATCAGCACAACCCTCATCCATACACGTGTGCTCTGTAATTCCTTTCTTGGTAGGACACCCGCGCGCCTTGTCGTGCTAGTCTCCGCATCGGACCAGATTACTTGCAAAGGCAAGGGCTGTCAATACTCATGCCCATATTTACACGAATATCTCTCTATCTATCTGTATATCTATATATACATATATGTATTGATACTCCTACATATAGTATTGCCATTGAACATACTGACATTGATCATTTGTTGAATGCTCAAGCTAATACCAGCATTACTACTAATATTACACTTCTATAAAGCTTAGTACGAATATGCATAACACAAATACTAAGATTGATTAGTATTGCTCTTAGTACTCCTACGCATATCAATAACCATATTCATATTGATAATAATGTATAATAATACCAATACTAACACACACCTGTATGTACTAATGTACATAAACATGCATACCACCATATTAAAATACAAATCCTTTAACTCACTCATGAATTCAACTGTTAGAATTTCACGTGGTCAAGAGTAATAACAATACAAACATTCTTTCGAATGTATATCATCAATAATATGATAGTACTAACGCTAACACTACTGCTAATACTTAACACAAAATCTATACTAACATCAATATTTACATAGCTATTTATACTCCTACGAATACGAATACGTAAACCCTTGTGCGTTAACAGTAGTGCTATCACCAACACTAATACGGACTTTGATAATCTGCTGCATATTCAAGAATGCCACTAGTATTACCAGCATGAACACTCATATTATGGCTATTACGAGTATAAATAGTCCTACTTCTACTAGTATTGACATTAATACTCCTACGAATACCAATAGTATATTCATATTGATATGAAAACTAATACCATTACTAATAGACACCTGCATATACTCATGTACATAAAATACGTACCACTATCTTAAGATACAGATATATACATCAGTGCATTCATGTATTAATGCTTTGGCATAGGCATATACCCATATACCAATGTATCAATATACTTCTCGTTGTTGTATGAATATACTATACGAATATGTGACTATAATCATATACGGCTACTGCACTATGCAAGAATACCGACATGACAAGTTCGTATACTAATATGCCAACATACTGATATACTTATACATGATTAGATAAAACAGTAATATAGTACACATATTCGTACACTAATATGCTAACGTACGAATATACTGGTATGTCAATATACTAGTAAGCTAATACAGCAGTATAGTAGTGTAGTCATGCACCAGTTGTACTAACATGTAAAATATACTAGTATACAAGTATGCAAATATTTTGCTGTCCGAATACATTGATGTGTTGATATACTCATCTGCTAATATACGAGACTATCAATATACTAACATATCAAAACTAACTAGTTCTAATATTGATACTAATACTAGCACTTCTGCGAATATAAGCTGCTGTTAAACCCAGCATTAAGACTGATACTGATACTACTCGTAGCAGTGGTGCTGTATTACTGACATTGACACTGGCACTAGCGCTAACTCTAACACGAACATGAGCACTAACACTAATTTATAGTTGGCAATATTGATACGTATACTTACAGCAAGCAATAGTACTAATATTAATAACAATACTCACCCTAATACCGATACTACCACAAGACTATTACGTAACTCATGTGCCGCACGTCTGGTGCTATACTATATACCTCATGTAACGGTTTTGCTTCACAGAATATCGTTGTGCACGGTGTTTTTTAGACCCGTGGTCTGTCACCGGGGGGGGGTGAGCTAAATGGTCAAATATATATATATATATATACACACATGAAAAAATATATGTATATATATATACACAGAGAGAGAGAGAGAGAGAGAGAGAGAGAGAGAGAGAGAGAGAGAGGGAGACAGAGAGAGAGGGAGACAGAGAGAGAGAGAGAGAGTAGGTAGGTACTTTAGAAAGGAGCTCGAGTTCGGAACAGCCGCTGCTTGCCAAAGGCATAGGAGGCGAAGCCCGTCGAAGCTTTTGTGAAAAGGGACAGACGCTGGGTTTTAGCATCTAGGCATTTAGGCTCTATGAGAACTGACGCAGGATCTGAGCCTGGTTTCAGAGGGTTTAGGATGGTTTGTATAAGGGCTTTTTTCAGGGCTTCTAAACACATTCTTAATTTTTCGGGGCTTACACATGTAGGAGTTTGTTTTTGGTTTGAGCGGTTTCCGGATGCGCGGGATCTTGAGGGCTTACTGGTGCAAGTTAGGGAGTTGCCGTGATGTTGCGCTGGAGCAGTGGAAAGTGTGCAAGACAGTCTCCGCGCCATGCGAGCTGCAGCAATGGCCGGAAGAGTCACTCACGCAGGCAAGCCACCCGAATCAACTCAAGGTGTAAGCCTACAGTCTTTTAAGCGCAGAAGCCTGAGGGGCAAGGCCTAGGTGCTGCCTTGTTGTGTTGAGGGCAGGCACCCGCCGAGGCACCAAAGGACCCGGTCAGAGCGGAGAGTTCTACTTGCAGGGGCCCTAATGGTTTCAACAGGGTTTTGGGGTATATTATACCATAGTTCATAATCAGGAACCCCCAAAATGGCATATAGGTCGCAGAGATTTCGAAAAAGAGTCACTCGTGGCCTCCTAGCCTCTGGCTGTTGCATGGAGTGCTACAGCATTCTACCTCTTTGTTTCATCGCACAAGCAACGGACAAGAGTAGCAGTAGCAGAAGCATCAGCAGGACCAGCAGGATTGCTGCTAGTGCCCGTCAATTCTTGTCGGCGAGGATGTATGTAGAAGAGTGGAGCCTGTGGACCATTAGGTTGCGAAAGGTGAACCTTCTGCAGGAGGCCCAGAGTGAGGCAAGATTGGGTGGAAGGATTCAAGTGCAGCCCTAAGGCTCGAGAGACCAGGGTGAATGTCCTTGGACATTGAAACTTCGACATGACCATTCCTGAATCCATGGTAGCAGTCTAGGCTATCACCCCGACGAAAGGGACTCGCTTCAGCTCATCCCATGAAGGACAGACATGGACTGACCTTATACCAAGCTACTACTCAGGGATACTTTCGGGGCGCACCTGCTTGACAAAGCCTTTGATGTCGCGTCTCCGCTGTAAAGCCAATGACAAATACCTCTTGGGCGTGTGCCTCGAGCTGCACTTGGCTTCAAGCTGGGATTTGGATGTTGTGTCGAGGTACATGGTTGGGAACCCTAAACCCTATAAACCAACCGTAAGCCTGAAGCCTGCACCCCTGCAGAAGTTGTCCGAGTTACTTCAAATCTGAAAAAGAAGACACGGACGTTTTAATGTTGGCCCGTTGGGCACCGGGTCTGAAGGCATGGCTTCGGGCTCAGGATTTGGGGGCTGGGGTCTTTAGTCGGCAGTATTTCTGCCTTCAGCTCTTTCAGCCGGTTGACTTAGCAGCCGACTACAACTGCGTCTTTGCTCTCGTGTTAGACCTTTGTATGCACCCGAAGGATAGATAATTGACACCAAAGTTACCAAAGGTTGCTGTTGAGGAGAAGTCGTTACTGTACCACTTTCAATGAATTTGCGAGGTTGATCGGTCTGGACACATCTGCGCACCAAACAGCCCGGAAAACGAATCCAAAGAGTATGGACCTCAAAACCATGAGACGGAGAGCCCCCACAGATTCCGCAGTCTGAAGCGCGATGCCGAAATTCAAATATCAAAGCCCTAGCACCCAACACCCTGGACCCTTAAACCCTACCCGGAAAGGCTCGCAGTTTTCGAGAAGGTTTTCATAGTATGCTGTTCAGCCCAAATTTCCTTAACACATGAGTCCTCAGAGCTCGTGCTTTTGATCCGAGGAGGAGCGACAGCTGTGTGAATGGTGGATGGGTAGGCTCGCACATTGGGTGGAGTAGCGCTGCAGGCGTGTTGCTGCTTTAGTTGCTAGGCTTTTCACCCCGAAGGGTAAGTATTGTAACCCGTGATGCCAGATGTTGAATATAAGAGGAGTTCCTACAACTAGTGGACGAACGGTGCTTCACCCAGTGCATCCCGCTTATTACCTACATTCGCGACTCCCATAGTCAATGCCGGATTCTGTCCGGGCTTATCCTGGGCCACTATGCTCACAGACCCCGCTAAAATACAGTTTTAGTATTAAGAAGGGTTGCAGTGTGGATTATCGCCCTTGCCCTGTGGAGTAAGTGTGGCTAGGATTCGGGCCGCCCTTTAGTCTTGCGACGTGGCCTCCTTGATTTGGGACCCTAATATAGTACCCTGAATAGTAGGATCCTTATTACAAGGACCCAAAATAAGGTACCCCTTCGAGCGTTGCTTTTGTCAGTCGGTGCTAAGGGGGGCTACGCAGTACTTTTCATCACGAAGGCTCCGTGGATTGGACAGCCCGACTAAAACCGCAAACGTTGAAGTGGCAGCCTTAAACTTAAACTGTCTTGACGCCTAATCCCCAAACCCCAGAGTTGAAACAAGGTCTCATGTTGACCCTGCTACTGGTATCTCCGAACAGCAGGTAGAGCTGTGACACATGGGGTGCCAGAACCTGCTTCTTTTTTTCGGCTGCCAGCCCCGGTTTTGCATTTGCCATCATGTGGGCTAGCTGAACCTCGGTCTATCTATTTAGCTACCTCGAACTGCCATGACCTACTTGTTCGTAGGTTCTTATCATAAACCCCCGTAGGGGCTTAGTAGCGACCCTACCAACACAAGTTCGTTCTGGTAGGTTAGGGTAGCTGGCCGAACCAGGCTTCTGCCTCAGAACAGCACTCATCGGAAATTAATCCATAAGCAACACCCTGTCAAGAAAGGACTAGCGGAAGCCTGAGGGTGGACGCCTTAAGCCCACCTAGACCCACGAAAGTAGGTAAAATAATGGCCCAAACCTATAAAAGGTATAAAAGGCTATAATTCTACATACTTTTGGGGTCCAGGTATACCCTGGTTCCCTGAGCCTTACAGGACTGGTGGAGGATGGAACATCTCCGAGTCTCTTCGTGAGTTGGGAGATCGACGGAGGATTTCTGCGGCCATCGGCGAACCCCAAGTACGCCCTTTGCGTCGTGGATGCCCGGCCTGGTATGAGTAGCAAAAGCACTTGGCATGCTATAGTGTGTGCTGCATCAACCCAAGCCCTAAACGTTATTGTGAGCGCCGAAACCTTCTTATAAGAATAGTAGAATGGGCCCCAAAACCCTGTTCTAATCATTAAGGCCCCTATAGTACTATTATTATGATGATTAGTATTAATTAGTAGTATTATTATTAGTGTTATTATTATTACTACTGTTATTCTAAGGCCCCAAGAGTCTCAGATTTCAGGAGGACGGATGTCAGGATGGCGGGTGGGTCCATCTCTGGGAGTCCGAGTCTGCGCCGCCGGCCTGTTCGTCACTGAGCTGCAGAAGTGGCTTAGGGGTCTAGGGCTTAGGGTCTAGAGTTTCGGGTTTGGGGTTTAGGGTTTGGGGGTTCAGGGTCTAGAGTTTAGGGTTTGGGGGTTCAGGGCTTAGGGTCTAGAGTTTGGGGTTTGGGGTTTTAGGGTTTGGGGGTTCAGGGTTTAGGGTTTGGGGGGTTCAGGGCTTAGGGTCTAGATTTTAGGGCTTGGGGTTTTAGGGTTGGGGGGTTCGGGGTTTAGGGTTTAGGGCGCTGGCCGGCACCTCAGTCCGTGCTGAAAAGGGTTTAGGGTTTGGGGGGTTCAGGGATTAGGGTCTAGGGTTTAGGGATTTAGGGTTTGGCGTGATAATTACAGAAGCACTGTAGATAATCTATTCCATGGGGTTGCTGAAATTATGTATGCTATAGTATGCCCCAACAGCTTATTCTAATGATGTGGCCCCTGTAATGATGTACCGATACTTCGGAGCGCAGCTTGTGTCATGGACCTCAGTTTGGGGGGGTAGCGCTATCATAACAGAGTGGGCTAACTTGGGGCCGGAACTGGATCATGGCTATTACGGGCTCCAGGTCGGGTGAGGGATAGGATTTGCCAGTTTACATCCTTTCAATGAGGATTTCAGACCTGTGTGTCCGACAGCGAGGGGGTTTAGAAAAAACGGGCTCGGGAGCCTTGAGCTTAGTGGTAGATAGGGTTTGACAGAGATTGGGAGAGGGTTTAGCAATTTGTCTCTTGAAGCTGCGGCCAGCACTGCCTACTAGCAGACGTGAGTGAACGCCTGAGAAATGGTTGAACCTGAAGTTGCAAGCATCGATTGCCCCAATATGGGACTGTCGAAATGGCTGACCCCAGCATAGAATCTAGTCTATAGAACGCCACATAACCAGATACTTATCGCCAAAAGAAGTGACCTTGATTTAATTTGTTAAACCCCCTTTCCAAAAGAAGCAACCCTCATGAAGCCCTCGTGTGATCGTTGAATATACAGCTTCTACAGCAACCTCTCCCCAAGGCACCGTAAAGCCAAAACCGTTGGATCGAGGCAGTGGGTCGACAGCAGCAACTGCCTGCGCTCCCGAGGGAATCAAGCCTTCGTGCTCTGTGCAAGGCAGGTTGGCAGGTTTAGGGTCTACCTAAAGTCTCCATTGTAGTTCCTTTTTTCGGTTTAACCGTAATATATACTAAGGATCCCTATAAGGTAACCCTTAAACGGAACTACAATGGAGACTATAGGTATAATATAGGGGCCCAAATAAGTACCAATACTAGCTTGGAGGTTCCTTCTTCTGTTTAAAAAGTATTAAGGAGCTCAAAACCCCATTCTAATTATTAGGGCCCCATATTGGGTTTGGCGTCCTTGGGCATTAGAGTTAGGTTGAGGCTCAGGGGTCGGTAGGTTTAGGGTTTGGGTGTCCCTAATTTAGGTTAATTACCTAGAGTCTCCATTGAAATTCCATTTTCTGGGTTAACCATTTTTACATGTTAAGGATGCTATAAGGTAACCCAAAAAAGGAACTACAATGAAGACTACACGTAGGCCGGGTTTCATGCTCTGCAAGGCAAGATTTCCAGGGCATCCACATGTGGTCCTTTGATGGGCCTCCCGACAGATATGGCCACTGGGAAGCTTGGCCAAAGGAAGCAAGGTTTGGGAGGCGGCTTCCCCTTCCTTGCCACGAACAGCCGGAAATTTGTTGTGGGATCCGTCGAGTTCCTCCCTGATTGAACAACACTTCGGTTTAGCTTCTACAAGTCCAAAGACAAGGATCACGAGATTGCCAGACCAGCGGAACGAGCGATCCTGGGCATGACCACGCACGGAGTACTCAGACCCGTCGGGTGCCCAAGTGGAGCTACACAGGGCACTGAGTTGCAGTGAGCGGGGCCTGCTTCGGGAATGGTGAGGCGTGTTCAGCGTCGTAGCATGTAGGACAGGGGAGGCAAAAATTACAGTTCCGCGCAGGAGCTCGACTACTGCTTCTTGAAGAAGCCAAATCAATTTGTGTATTGCCGTGCCACTTCTGGGTATTTGTCCCTTCCATACTGCGCAGCTGCGCAACCCGTAGTAATCCGAAGATGGGAAACTGAAGCAGCATCCCACCTCGCACACTACCGCAGACCACGTTGGTTGTTGCGCACCTTGCTGTCTTATGAGATAGCAGAACAAGCTGAGACTTTGCTGGAGCTGCTTCGGATTTGCTGTGGGGAGGAGATGCTCTGTCTTGGAATCCCTTCTGAAGGGCACGGGCTGTCAAATCATGTTGACATAGCTTCCTTGGCACCATGGTATAGGTGACCATATAGAAACACAAGTATCACTTTCGCCCCAGGTCATTGCGCAGCTCAAGAAAGCGGTGAAGTTGGATAGGGAGCAGGTGACAGACCTCCAAAGTGCCGATTTCTTGGAAGGCTTGCAGCTCGGCAACCCCAAGAAATAACTTTGCTTTATAGCGCGTTACTGCAGTGGATGTTCATACTGCTAGTAGTCGCGTAGTTGCTGAGACTTTCAACTAACTCCCCACATTCTCTGATATGTGAAGCATGAACGTCCAATCATGAGAAATCGAGCAGGCCCCCATGTTTTTTCAAATGTTGCTGGTTCAGTCCCGCCTATGCCCAAACATCACCTTCATGTCTGCAACCGGTGTATGCCATCGCAACCACAGGGACTGCAGTCAGCTTGATGAGACAGCAACGCTGTACTCTCTATATGTCCCAGATCCCTCAACCCAATTTACTTGAAGGTTTCGTCACTAGTCCTGACTCGCCCATCTAACCCTCGCCCGAGGATGGCCGCAGCCCCAATCTACCAAGCAGAAACAGACGCCCAAAACCTGAAAGAATAGAAGGTTTTAGTTCCAGCTAGGTAGCTAAGTAGGTAACCTTGAACCTTCTGCGGTTCAAGAAACCTTAAACCCTAAACCCTACCAACCTAACTCAGGCAGGGAGAGAAGAGGGTTCAAAAAAAAACCTACCATAACTGAAAAGCTTACCCCTTTTGGGGGGCTCGAGATCTCAGCCCCTCAGTTCCGGGTAAAATAAGGGCTTAAATATAATTATCAATTCTATGTTTTTCTTTTTTTTGGAGGGGGGGGGGTCCTCATTATAATGACAATATAGCGGGCCCCCCCAAACCCTTTTTTTAATTGTGAAGGCCCCTAATTTCGAGTGTTTCTTCAGCTCAAGACGACCGCTCTCAAGCCCTCGCCGAGCGAGGCAAGCCTTTGCTTTGGTCCTTGAGCTGGTGGGTTGGCATGTGAGCCTTTCACGAAAAGTCGTGGGTCTTGGGGTTAGGGTTTTTGGGGGCCGTGATGTGAGCCTTTCTCACAAAATTAGTAGGGCTTGCGGGTTTACGGTTTTGGTTTGGGAGCTGTGATGAGCGCCTTTCAGAAAAAGTAGTAGGGCTCAGGGTGTAGGGTTTGGGGTTTAGGAGCTGTTTTCGTGTTCTCTTGGGTGTTGGGAGGGTGGGGTTGAATCACCAGCACTCATCATTTTGCCCGTACATCCCAAGTGCCTTAAAGCCAAAGACCTCGCGCCAAAAAGCGCCAGAATCCCAAAACTCGACAGTCCACAGCAGCCCTGAATTAGGATGTCCTTAAGGGGGGGTGGTCCAAGGGGGGTAGGTAACCTAGTAATCCCCATTATTCCCCAATACTCCCTAAGCTTCCCTAAGGTTCCCCAAAGCTCCCTAGTACCCTCCCCCCTTGAACCATCCCCCCTTAAGGATCCTATAACTGAAACCCGAACCCGCCGGACCAACAAATTCTAAAACATCCACACTTTTCCCGAGTCTTTTGACTTTAAACCCCTGAACCTAGACCCCTGTATCCGTTTGCTAGGTTCACTCCTCTGTGACATACGCTTGCAGAGGCACAACCCCTATGATTTGCGCAATCTGCAGCCGTAGCATAACGCAGAATCCTCTTCCAACCGTGGCACTATCTATGCCGCCCGAATCTCACAAGCCGATAAACCCTGAGCCCGAGAGAGTGTTCGCTACCCTCTGCAGAGTCCTAGAGTCCTAGAGCAGCCCTCTAAGGAACGATCTTCTCACGACGGATTTAGAGAAGCTGCGTCGCTCCATGGCGAAGTACGGGAAGGCGGGAACGGCAAGTGACGTCCGGAGTCTGCACTTCTTGTACTATCATGGAATATGGAAGAAAACATACTCGGCCATAGCTAAAGAATCAGAATGTGCAAGAAATGCCTATGATACTCTCTACATGTAACGATGTGTTGCTTTTGTGGAAACTCTCAGCCGTTCCTTGCGGTAAGGCGAGCTACCGGGAATGGCTTCAGAACGAGATCCCTGTGCACGCCGAAAACGGCTACAAGGAGTCGGACTTTCGAAGCTCCTCTGCGGGCCGCAGTAACAGCAATAAGATCAACAAAAGCAGTAGTCAAAATCATCGAAATGGTAAGGGTGTAAGAGTAACAGTTCTAGAAAACGGAATAGTAAGAGTAGCAGTAGTAACAATGGGATTAGTACTGGCAGTGCGAAGAGTAATAAGACATGATGGCAATAGAGCTGTTTACGTGTATTACAGTATCGTTACATGGAGACTGCTCGGATTTGCCAACTATGCAGACTCGTATAGTACTCGCATACAGCAGGGTTTAAGGTTTAAAGGTGTTGTAGTATCAGGGTTTGCCGTTTCGTGTTTCCGACTTTGGCTGCGTGGTACCGGAGTTGAATATAATACAGGCTACCAGGCTTGCTTGTGCGTCTCAGGTGCTTTCTGACATTTAGTTTCGATGCGGGGCTCGAGTTCAGAATCTCGGTTTTGTGATTGATGATCCTTGGGCAGTTTAGAATGTGTATAGCTTGAGGACCATCAGTGGAAGCCTGTAGGTTTCTGGGCAGTTCCTCAGACCCTCATAAGCTCTAAGACCCTAGGCCGATCATTGTGCTAACGACACCAAAACGGGGACGCTGGGTGAAAATCATTGAGTAACCTGTACTTATGCTTCGAAGACGCAGGCTGGCAGCATTTCGGATGAGGGAAGTCGTGGTTAGTCGGGACAAGGGATACGAAGGCAATGCGACGTGTTTTAGCCCGCATCCATTGTGTAGTACGTTCTGCCGGAAATCTAATTATATATATTCATAGAGAGATATATATATATATATAAGTGTAGAACGAGAGAGAGAGAGAGAGAGAGAGAGAGAGAGAGAGAGAGAGAGAGAGAGAGAGAGAGAGAGAGAGAGAAAGAGAGAGAGAAAGAGAGAGAGAAAGAGAAAGAGACAGAGAGAGAGAGAGAGAGAGTAAGTACCTCCTTGGTCAAAGTATACTTATCTTATCAAGGCTTTTCTTGACCAGCAGACCTATGTACGTAGCCTGGAGATTCCGAGTGGCAGAGCATCGGGCCCGAGATGGTTGCTGCCTGACCACGCAGGAGTACGCGGACGAGTCGGCAGCCATGGCAAATCTGTGGGTGGCGAGGCCAGGCAAGGAAGCTGAACAGTCTAGAAGCATTGAATCACATATCCCGGATCCCCTCAACGGTATGTAGACTCCGAACTTGCCTTAACAAAGTCTCCCAAGCCCTAAGGCCCTAAAGGCTAAAATGGCCTAATACAGCCCGCCGGCAGGCAAACAGTCCAGTCCGCCTTTTGTTCTGACCTCTTACAGCTTTTTTACATTAGTCAAAGATCATTTTAACCGGCAGTGCTGCAAACGCCGAATTTACGAGTTTTACTATATAGAATGGCTTCTTGAAGGGTTCTTCAGGCTTGCTAGATGGGTTACGCGTAGTGTTCTGTACGGGTTCTATGATACAGGGGCCTTGACAAATCGAAGAGGGTTGCTAAAGGGCGTGATAATGGTCATATGGGGAGATCCTGAAGCCGAGGTCTACTAGCTCGACCATGCCCAACCTCAAGCATTTAAGAGTGCAAAGCCCGAAGATCCCTTTTAGCCACGCCTGGGAGGAATCTTCGCTTCTTTGCGGAGATGTGGCTTGTCCTACGCTGAAGCTGCAGGGTTAAGGCTTTCGGATTCAGGATTTCAGGCCTTCTTGAAATTCGGGTTTGCAAGTTTGCCTTTGCCTGTCAAGGGTCCATTTCGCTGTTTGTCGGTCAGCGAAGAGATGCTAGGAGTTCTTATAGTAGATCAGAATTAGCATTCTAATGCTTCCTCAGCTTAATTAGGGCCTAAACTGGAGCCCTACTAATAAGGCCCAGAAACCAGGCCCTAAACCGAGCCTAAACAGGAACCCTACCATGGTAACGCCCAGAGCTCAGGCCCTAGACCGAGCCTGTGCTTCAGGTTCGGCCTTCTGGCAGATGGCCACGAGACGACCGATGCTGTGCACGTGGCTTATTCCAGGATCGGAGACCTGTGGTGTTGGACCAAAGATTGCAATCCAGGCACGTCTAGGCAGGTATGTATGTCTGCCTGCCTGCCTGCCTGGCTGGCTGCCTGTCTGTCTGTCTGTCTGTCTGTCTGTCTGTGTGTATGTGCGCCTGTCTGTTTGTACATTCGCATGTACGCATGCATGCATGCACGCATGCATGTGTAGAGGGATGCATGGAGGGATTGAGGGATGGCTGGATGGAGGGATGGCTGGATGGAGGGATGGCTGGATGGATGGATCGATGGATGGACGGATGGATGGATGGATGGAATGTAGGTAAGCAAGTAAGTCGTTATGCAACGTATGCCATGTTGGTCATAGGTCATATATCTGTGTATGAATGATGTGCGAATGTATGCACACGTGTATGTCTTCATGCATAGATTTGAGCAAGGTAAAGAGGGAGGTAGATGGGTAGGTAGGTACGTAAGTAGTAGATCGACAGACAGATCGTTAGATCCGTAGCTAGCCAGCTAGTAGCTAGCTAGACAAACAGCTAGATCGATAGGGTAGATGGACGGAGGTTAGGTGAGCAGGTTCAGATAGATAGATGGAGTGGTCGGAATGGTCGATAAGTACATAGACAGGTAGGTTGGATGTGTAAACCATAAACGTACCCGAGTCATTTGCAAGGTGCGGGTAGGCATGGGAGCAAATGTGTCTGTATCGATGAGTTGCATGCAGGAGACAGCTGTGTACAGCACGCAGGGTAAGATTGCATGGATGGATGGATGGATGGATAAGCAAGGTACGCATCCTTTGCTGGATGCGTGCCTAATATGCACGCAGGAGATGGCTAGGTACAACATGTAGGTTAACAGTGTGTGAATGTGAGTTGACCTGAACTGGCTCGTAGTGGGCGTCTGCTCCGAAGCAAGAACGATGGGTAGGGAGGGAGGGAGAGAGGGAGAGGGAGAGGGAGAGAGAGAGAGAGAGAGAGAGAGAGAGAGCGAGAGCGAGAGTTACCACCTGGCAAGAAGTGGATGTGGAAGTCAACATGCAGGAAGAGAAGGGGCGAGCAACATCGAAGCAACCTTATTCTCGTCCTCTACAGCTGGCTACCGACCTCCGCGTTCCCCCCACGCCTTGAGGAGGACCACAAGAAGAGCCGGGAGCTGATGGTTCCAAACCCGAGCCAACCTGTGACCGTTGCCTTTTCTACCAAGCCTGGGCAACGAACTGCCACCTTTCCGAAGAAGAGCCGGGCGCTGAAAGATGCCTCCTGGAAGGCATGAAGCCAGGCACTTTGGAAGAGAGTCCGGAGTACTGGGAAGTGGTGCGAGTGGCAGACCTACCTGGATCACTTCAGAGAGGACCGGAGGAGCAGCGAGGACGTGTGGAGCTCCTGGCGTGGCAGAACCAGAAGTCCAAGTCAGCTCATGTAATTGCTTTGAGAATGAATGTAGTAAGAGAGAGAGAGAGAGAGAGAGAGAGAGAGAAAAGAAAGCATGGCTCTGAAGCCCAACCGGAAGCAGATTCATGAAACAGGACGCTGCAGGATCACCATGGCTTCATACAGCGCCAGGCAGGACAAGCCAGAGCTGCAAGTGTCGAGCGTAGCTGCGGCTGCGGCTGTTTCGGGGTGCGTGAGCGGGATCCGCGTTCGGTAGACGGTAAAATCAACAAAGCACGATAGGATTGCAATGTCTTGATCATGACACAATAGCAGACCCCCTTCCAATTGAGCTTGTTCAGGTATTGATATCAATCTATTGATCACCCTCTGCTCGTGTGTAGGTTTTGCATGCCGAAGAAAGCTCGACGTCGACGCCGTTTGTTTTTGTGCTGGTTGGCTGCCTACCAAAAACTCCCAGCCCTCGACATTTAGAGTCGCTGGAGTTTAACGCAGCACCCAAAATTGGAAACCATAAAACCCTTCGCGAGCTCTCAGCGAAGGATGCTATCAAGCTCAGCTAAACAACCGGAAATACCCGAAGGTACCAGCAGCAGATGTTGTTAGGACGAGGTAAACATGCAGCCTTCTACATGGCCCTGCACCCGAAACTATCAGCAGTAGCATGTGCATCTGCAGGCGTTTTTCCTGGTCATGGCCCAGATCCCCGACGGAGCGAAGTTACTCAGGGTTCTTGAAGGCCCCAAAGGGTCGGGGAATACTTCCCCAAATCATAATAGTAATTCTTAACATAGAAACCCTACATTCTACTATATCGGTACTTTGGACCCTTTGGGGGCAGCAGCGTCCGGGAAAGGAGATCCAAAAGGGATTGGGCGGGCTTAGGATCTTGTGCACTACCAACGTCAATATGGTTGCTGCTTCATTTCGCCTACCCTAAGGCCCTAAAGTAATTCCTTTTTGGGGTGCATTTTTAGAATCCTATTAGGTAATCCCAAAAAGGAACTACTTTGGGGCCTATGGGTATCTTAAGGTTTTGCAGTCAGGGTGCTTCTGGGCTTTCTTTTGCGGGTTTACTTGCAGCTGGCGCACCCCATTCAGAGAGAGAGAGAGAGAGAGAGAGAACCAGTTGATTTCCGGATCTCAATACCGTAGCGACCCACGGGTTTCACGGTTGCAAGCTTGTAAGGCCCAGGCCCCATGGTAGGTATGTTTGCACTGTTGTGTATGCTGGTAACCCTGGACCCTGAGCATCCCTAATCCTACAGGTGAAGTTCTGATCGGCACCGAGAAAGTGGTACAGGCCGGGATGGTTGCTTTTCGGACTTAGGAGTTCCTTTATGTAAAGGTATATAATATAAACCCTAAACCCTAAATCATATTATGGTTTAGGGTTTAGGGTTTATATGGTTTGGTGTTGAATTATCTTGGCGGATTTGGGGGTTCTTGTGGTCGTTGTAAGGGTTTCCATGAAAGCCATGAACGCTTACCTACTCGTGGTGTGTGCGACGAGCACAGGGTTGTCTAGCATTGCAGGAGGCAGGGCTCAGGATTATGAGCTCGACGGTTTGGGGTCTTTCAGTGCTTCAATTGGTTTGTGCTCCAGCGCTTAACTAGGATTCAGAGTATCGCACTTCGTGGCAGACTGCTTGAGGAGTTGCTCGAGCTCTCAGATGTTGGGACCCGTATCTCCGACTATTTGTTCCAGATGGCTCCTTGGCGGACCTAAATGTGCAAGCCCACAGAAGATGCGCAAGGTTTACCTCATTGTTTCCTGTGTCTTGCCGTTCAGCAGTTCAGCATACCACGAACCAGGATAGGGAAATCGTGATGGAGAACGAGACGCGCCAGGAGCAGTTTGAGGTCGATGCAGCGTATGGCAGGGCATAGTGTGGCCTGACTGCCGTTCCGAAGGAATGGTTGATTCCTAGCTTTTGCCACTTTCAACAGGGATCCTGATGGAACTGCCGCAAGCTTGCCGCCTCGACCCAAATCCGCGACGCGCGTCCAGTGTATCATGGCTTGTACTGCCTGCAATGCCCAAAGAAAAAGTTGCAACATCAAAGCTTGTGAGGGCCGGCACTGGGTCGGGCAATTCTAATTTCGATGAAGCTGATGATGACCGTGTGGTTGCTGTTGGTGATGACGCAGCTGAGGATGACGGAGGTGCTAACGATGTAGTGTGGAGAGACAACGGGCATCGAAAAACTCAGCGATTGTCGAAACGCCTGCAGACTGACTTTACTTGCGGCATCAGTAACGTTCTCTTTCTTGCACCGGCGTAGGCTCGATTTCGACATAAAACAGGGTCTGGACCGTTCTGGCACTATACGGGCTTAAACTAATTATAGTACAACATACCCCCCCGAACCCTATTCTATTTATTATGGGCCCCCAGTACGTCTTTTCGCCCGCTCTTTGCGAATCCTTCTCAGCCCTTTTTGCTCATTGTGGGTTTAGGGTCTGAGAGACCTCGTTCAAAAAGGGTTTGAGGTTTAAGGCTTAGGGTCTTTGTTGCCGTTTTGCGCGGGGTGGACGGGGGTAGCTGGAAAGGGAACCTCGTTGTAGCAACCGTTGGCATTGGCTTGGTATCAGTTCGGCTCCAGGCGTTTGACGGAGTTCCTTGTCTCGTTGCTATGCTATGAGTGGATGCCTCTGCTCCTGGACAAAGCCTGCAAGGTCTATGACTTGATGTACAATGTACAGTCCTTTTTTTTACTATTGCGTAGACCAAGGAACCACTCAAAATAGCATTGGTAATTGTACAGTATGATCATTTTCACATCGATGTAACAATCATTACACTGTATAGCTTGGTTGAGATTGTGTTTGCTCGGGCTTGCGGCCCTGTTGGCTCAGAGGGGGCGGGATCGCCCGGCATGATACGATCAGAGCGGCTGCTGGCTTTGAATGGATCCAGATGCCTTCAGGGTTTAGGGTTTAGGGGTTTCGACTTCCCAAGCACGGATGCAAGAAAGGGGTTTAGATTTCAGAGAAACATCGTTCAAAAAACGGTGTTTAGGCCCTTTCCAGGCCCAGAAGAGCCGGGAGACCCGACCAGTCTTGTACCTCCTCAACCCTGCACGGCGACTCGACCCAGAGAGGCTTCAAGCAAGTTAAAATGTACCAGCGCAGGGATACCTTCGCGAGGGTCCCTGTGTTAGGTTACGGCGTTACAATCATGACCGCTTCGCAACTTTCACAAGTCTTTCCTTGTTTCGTAAATGGGGTTTCTGACGGTGTGGGGTGCATTATTCAGGGAGTCTTAGTATCTATTCTTTCTAGCGTTCTGTATGAGCCTCCCCTACTGCCATCTCGGCAGCTTCATTTCAGTCTTCAACAGCTTCGAGTGTTTACCAAAGAGCTGTCCCATGCCTCAGGACTGTTCAGTCTTTCATACTCGAAGGCTGCTGCGGAGCGAAAGGAATTTGGAGACGTTTTTCGATTGAAAAGAAGCGCAAAAAAAAACTCCTACGCAAACAAACTCCTGTGTGCAAGTTCATCAACCAGTAACCCCTGCGATGTCGTGTCAGAAGCTCTCAAATGTCAAGTCATGATCGCGAAGCCTTGAGAACCAAAACCCCAAAGCCCCCGAACTAATTCTATACTTACCGTTTCAACTACATACTCTACCCTGCTATGCTATACTAGTACTAGACGATACTATTGTTATGATATACTCTACTAGACCTACCATACCCGAGAGACTTCTAAGGTTGGGATACTCGGGAGGCTCCTCGGGTCTGGCGGACTTCAAGCAGCCCCTCGCCAATCGCGATATCCGTGGGGTTTGGGGTTTAGGTTTTGGGCTTGCCCTCAAAGTCCGTGCTTAAAAAAAATGGTTTGGGCTTTAAGAGTTTAGTCCCTGGGGTTTGGGGTTTAGGGTTTGGGCTTTAACAGTTTAGGGTTTAAGGTTTAGGGATGTCCGTGAAATTTGGGGTTTAGGGTTTGAGCTTTAAGAGTTTAGGGTTTAAGGTTTAGGGATGTCCGTCGGGTTGGCGGTGTAGGGTTTCGGCTGGAAGAGTTTAGGGTTTAAGGTTTAGGGCTTCGGCGCACACCCAAAGCCAGTGTTGAAGAAGGGCTTGGGCTTATAGGGGTCTAGAGTTTAGGGCTTGGGGTTTAGGGTTTGGGTTTTGAAGGCGGGAATCGCATGTATACGTACACACATACATGAATAAATGACCAATGCATTCATATATGGACATATTTAAGTCAGTTGATGGTTTTTAGGGTTTTATGGCGGTTTAGGGATTCCCCCTAGGGATCGGACGAATTCTATTACTTGTCGGGCTCCTTGTAATTTTTATTCGCAGTTCACTGTGCGCACCACCCATTCCAACTACGAAGTCCTAAACTCCTAAACCCTACGAGCCGAACAAGACCTCGTGTAGGTCCATGCGCCCTACACCGCAACTTAGGGCCATGCTGGCCCTGTGACTTGTGCGAGCATGAAAGTAGACATCTAAACCTATGAGTCTGTGCAGAGAATGCAGCAGCACCATAGGGGCTTAAATATTACCTATACCAGTTTGCGCGTTCCTTAATTTTACTGCTAGCATAATGGGGCCCCAAAACCCTATTCTATTTAATAAGGCCCCTATAGTAGGTTTCAGGCTCCCGGGATGTGTGTGGCGGGGAGGGGGGCTGGGGGCGTAGCGGAGGCGGGGGGGATGCGATCCAATTCTGTGGTTTCGCAGCACGGTCCAGGGGCTGAATTCCTAGCCCGGAACCTTCAACAACTCGGAACCTTAAATCGCACAGAACAGAGACAGAGGCTCGGAGAGAGAGAGAGAGAGAGAGAGAGAGAGCGTAGAGGTGCAGAGACAGGCAGCGCGAGATGACAGGCAAGGGAGAGGGAGACAGCTCAGGCCCATGAATAGACGTGGATCCACCCCAAAACACTGCGCACAAAACTAGAATTACTTAGTAGCTGAGTGGATACACTTTACACTTTTTGGGATAATGCGACCCACTATACAACCAAAATTGTACACTTTTGGGGGGGCTTATGAACTCAGCCACAAAGATTAGGAATACTGCTTCTGCACGGAGGCTGGCACTGTTGGGTGAGGGCGCATATTCTGCTGTCTACAAGGCAGGACAGCAAAGCTGCTCACCCTAGATTCGGGTGTGGGATTGTCGCAGGTTTTACAAGGGTTGATAAAGGGGGCATGTTCTGAGGCAACACACCCTACCGTTACAGTGATGTACATATTGGCATTGTAAATCGGCTGGCATTCCGAACGAGTGAGTGGACATTCCAGCACTGCAGCGAGCAGTTTGCTGAAGTAGCTTACTGGTAGAGTGGCATCACAAGCTGGCAAACACTACATGCAGGGTTTTCCTGCGCTGGGGGAGGCACAGGCGAGCGATTACTATGCGGACACAATGTGTCACGTCGTCTGTTCTTGAGAGACAACAAGAACTAGTAGAAACTTTCCAAGACTGGAGTAACGCAGAACTACAGACAACACGGGTCGCACCTATACCATCCAATGAAGCTCCTATTCTTGGTCAACCAGGTTTCTGGCTGTGCTCCTGTTAAATATAATGACCTGGAACTGTATTGCTCTTCAACGAAGGAGAGCTCTGTGTTTCCTTCTGTGGACTCGAGAGTCGCGCCAGTCTTGTCGGCATTCTTGCTTTATGGTAGGACAAAAGTCGTCGGCTTCATAGATATTTAGAGCTAAGATTCTTCCGGATGAACTGCCTGTAAGAAAGTGGTCACCGGTTATGAGGGGCAGAGCTGGTGAGCCCGAGACAGAAAGCCTTGGTGCGGTAGTAACCGCTGTCATTCGACTTTCACTCATCCGGTCGCAGTGCATCCTTTCGACCGCTAAGTTGTCATGGCAGGGACGGCCAGTAGGTTAGCCATCGAACAGGTTATGTGGTGCTGAGCTTGTCCGAAAGCTCACCGAACCGAGATTGCAGGTGTCAAATTCTTTTCTTGAGCCGCAAGCCCTACAATGCAAATCCAGACTCCCTCAACACCAAAATGCCCCGAACTCTCAACCGGCAGGTCTTGCGCCTGGCAGACAATGAGGCTTGCATGGCACTTCTGCTGTCACCATGTCTGTGCGTGAATGAACATGGGTGAACACCCGAAGATGATTTTTGCTTCTGTTGCAAGCACGACATGTGTTCGGCTTTGAGTGGCTCGCTAGTTCTTGATGATGAACGTTTTCAGGGCCTTTGTTGCAGGTTTAGTGAGCCAGTAGCAGGCTAGGCCCTCGGTGCGTTGTCGGAAGTACAACAACCCCATGCAGGAATACCCCCGCTGGATCTTGCCCCCGTGGCCCACGAGAGGTGTACGCCCTGAAGAAGGTGAAGTTGCCGTCTCTGTCAGACAAGGAGTGAGACACGGCGTGGAGAAGTAGTGTTCAAAGTATCGATTCTTGTCGGAACTTCATCAGTAATATAGGGGCCTCAGCAATCAGAAAGGGGTTTGGGGGTCCATTCTACCATAATAATAATCAAATAGTATCGGTACTTATTTAGGCCACTACATAATGAGTCTGAGTCCGTTTACCAGAGAGTGCGGAGGAGGCTCTCATGCTGCTGTCTTTCTTGCATCTTCTTGCATTTTCCATGCTCTGTGTTATCGCGATGAATACTTTAAGGTTTAGGGTTCAGGGTTCTTCAAACATGTCTAGTATTGCCAAGGGCAGTTAGTATACTCCCTGGACGCTCTGATTTCTACTGTGCAGCAATAGCAGCCAGAAGCCGCTGCATGTCTAAATGGTAAACCTTGAGCCCACAAAAGTGGTAGTCGGACAGTCCATCCACCAACAGCTTCGAGGGCTCGGCTTTGGTGACATTGGCAGGTTTAGTGTAACGGGGGCTGGGATATGTACGTCTAACAGCTACACCAACCCGACTCTCTCGTCAACTGTGGCCGTATCTGGAAGGCTCAAGCAGATTTAATTTCAGGGAACGGAACTCCCTTCGGAGCAGCACAGAAGAGATCCCAGAATTTTTATAAGTCGAAGCTTACGCTGTATGGCTACAGCCTATATAAGCCCTTATAGATCCTTAACCCTAACTATTGCAACCAGTCCTAGAGCTGCACCAGTCCTAGAGCTTCGGTGCCGGGGGGCATCTCGGCATGCCATGCGCGAGCGACGACGGAAAGCCGAGGCTTCTGAGTAAACTTGCGGGGTTGTGGCAGTGACCGAAACGAGCTGTTTAGGATTTACAGGGAACTCCAGAAAGTTGGAATATGTTTTCTTGGTAGGATACCCTATAATTTACCATAAAGGGTTTAGGATAATTATATTACAACTTTCTGGCTTTTACCTTAGGGGGTTAGGGGTGAGTCGCCGGGGGCAAGAAGAACCTGAGCATGGTGCCTTGCAGGTCCAAGGTGTTAAAACCCTTCAGAAAACAGAAGGAGGCGATCTCTGCGGCATGGCGCGCGCGTGTGTGTGTGTGTGTGTGTGTGTGTGTGTGTGTGTGTGTCTGTGTGTCTGTGTGTCTGTGTGTGTCTGTGTGTGTGTGTGTGTGTCTGTGTGTCTGTGTGTGTGTGTCTGTGTGTGCGTGTGTGTGTGTGTCTGTGTGCGTGTGCGTGTGCGTGTGCGTGTGCGTGTGCGTGTGCGTGTGCGTGTGCGTGTGCGTGTGCGTGTGTGTGTGCAGCCCTTCACGCTGAACTACAGTTACCCATTGGTCGCGCGACTATATGCCCAAAAATCCTATTGAAAGTGTTACGGACCCTCTTATACTACCCTTACTTAAGCCATGGGCAGGTTGTGGCTGGCGACTTCCGGCAAGTAGCTCCTCACAAGTATGACCCACGTTCTTTGGAAGATTCTTGGAACGGACTTGGGACTCGGAAACCCGAAATTTGTGATTGCGAAGGCTTTAGTGAGCTCTCGTGTCGCTCTCTGCTGGTTGGAGACTGCGAGGTGTTCTTGGTCCTGGATATCCTTAGTTCTGGGATTTGGGAGTACTCGATTTTCGGGTATGTTCTCCGTTTGCCTTCAATCTAAGCCAAGGACTGGAGATCATTGAGGGCAGCTGGAGGTCGTATGAGAGACCTGCTTTCTCGGAGACCTGTCGGCCCTACGTGTGTTCTGGATCTGGGTCAGGTAAGAAACTAGTGAAACAAGACGTCTAGATATTCGAAAGCCATCATAGAACCTTCAAAGATGAATCTAGATATTCGAAGGCCATCATGGAACCTTCAAGCGCCTTGTCCATGGGGTGATGGTGGCTTGGAAGTTCCCGGCCTCGTGGATTGGGACTGTAGCCTCCATCTGTCATAGCTACCAGGGACCACAGTGACGACCAGTTGGGGGACGTGCGATCTGAAAGCCTTTGTTGACTTGCTGGTGCACACAAGTTGGAGCTCTCAGACGTCGCTGAGCGCATTTGAGGAATCCAGTGTGCGAGCAGCTGCATGATATGCTTCTTGAAGAGCTGGAAGTCTTCACTGCCACCTCATCGGTGCAACTCCTGCATCACGGGCGTCAGGCAAGACCATCTCTGTGCATCCAGACTGAGCAAAAAGGTGTGCGACATGAGTTAGACACGGCTTCGGGCCGGCCGCAAGCTTGAAGGCATCCTAGATCTACTCGCAACTCTCGCCTCATGCGGTGCCTCCTGCTGGCAGGCTACTCGTGTGGAGAAGCCTGATCGTCCCCTACATTGGAGGCATCGCATCTTTCCTTGAAAGGACAGACCGTTGCAGCTGAGAGTAAACAGCCCTCAATCCGAGAAACCTGCCCAATGCCAAAGACCTCGAAACCGACACAAGGTATGATGGCACCCGAATCTCCTTTGGTTGCAGTGCGAATGCGCCGGATAGCCTCCGGCTATTGGGCAGAGCTGGTGGTGGAATCCGCTCCTCGCCCAGGAAGTTGTTGTTGATTCTGCCTTGTTTTACGTGTCTTGGTTTTTTGTCGGGAACTCGAATCTACATTGCCACCACATGGGAAGGCCAATTATTATCCACTATGTATCCCAGTGTGGCAACATGTGACGACCTGCCCTAGAACATACGGGGCCTTAGTATGTAATCAGAATAGGTTTTGTGGGGGTATATCATACTATAAATATAATGAGGAACCCAAGGAACAGTATTGTTAATTATTTTGGCCAGCTGCTTAGAGGTGCCCGTTCAGATTTATCAGCTTGTTTCTTGTGCTTAAATCATCAGAAATGAAGGGTCTGCGACACAGATCGACCCACAACTGAAGCCGACAATTGAGAAACTCACAGAAACATACAGAAACTAGGGTTCAGGGTTTGAGGCAAGACCCCTGCAAACGGGTTGAAACTCCCGAGTCATTCTCGGATAGGTTTTACAATGACAATGCTTGTATGGAGCGCCTGCAAACGTCAAAGGCTTAGGAGCATGCACCCGGATGAGCGAAAGCAAGAGTTTTGGTTGGTCCGACGTCCGAAGCAATAGTAATGACAGTGGAATGATAGCAATAAGAGTAGCAACAAATAAGCACTACTAATAGTAAATAGAAGTACTAGAAACAACAATAGCCCTTCTAGCAGGGGCTGTGGAGTGAGCGTCAAACTCCGCAACAATGAATCCATAAGAACCCGGAGCGCTAATTCCCCGACGACGGCTTTTTGTGTCAATGCCTGTGCTTTTCACCCGGCATTCGTCTGACTGTCCTTTGGGACCTTGCTAGGCTTGTCGAAGGGCGGGCGTCCAAGCCTGACAAGCCTTCAACCTGGGTTCAGGTCCCAGTAGGGGTTGCTGGGTTCGCAGGGTTTTCAGGTTCAGGTGCTTTGAGGGCTTGGGGGCCCGAGGACATCATCCAACACCCTATGGCGAGCCCCAAGCCTCAATAAGGTCTGTGGCGACCAATGCACCAGCATTCTGCTCGGTGTTAGCTCTGCACGTCCAGACTTGTCTTCTGGGCCTCCCGGCGGGCGCGGCTTCTCTCACAGCATGTAAGGCCGTAGTTTTGGTGGAGACTTTCGTTTTCTGGCGTCCCTTCTGGATTCTTGATATCAGTTTGTGATCATACACGATGACAAGAAGAAGTATGTCAATAAGACCATAGTAGGTAAAGGTGTAACTTAACTCAGTCTTCAAGCATGCCGTGCTGGGCTTGTCTGTACTCCTGACAAATTGATTGCAAAACAGACACAGTTCAGGCTATTTCGTTTCGCTGGCAGAGATCCCTGCATCTTTGCTGAACGCGCTGCTTCGGGCAGCTAGCTTGATCACCCGACATGCAGGACCAGAAAGTACCTAAATCCCGAAGCTTACACCCTAAACTAGCCCTGAACTATGCACGAAACCGTAAACCTTCCTCTTGTTTCAATAGTTCCTCAAGGCGGCTGGCCCAAGCTGTCGTAGTTGCTATAGTTCCTTTTCAAACATCTGATACTATCATGATACGAAGGAACCCTCGAAACCCTATTCTGATTAATAAGGCCCCTACATGATTTTCCTTTGCATGAGAGCAGTGAAGTTCGAAGCCGAAGTTCTCGCGGTACTTTCCAGGACCTATGAGGCCCCAGCTACAAGGGGTTTAATACAGGAGCCTTAGAAATTACCTACATCATTTTGGGGGTTCCTAGTTATAAGTATAGTATAAGGGGCCCCAAAATCCAAAACCCTATTCTTATTATTAAGGCCCCGATATATTACAGGAGAAGATATCCGAGCCACCAGCGATGCACAACGCGTAAGGATTGCATCAGTGGAGTTCCCCATTGCAGAACTTCCTCCAGATTCACACTTGGGACGCGGATCGCCGCACTGATCACAGGCATGCAGGGTCACTGATTGATGTCCGGGCGGGGTCGACACTACCGGATTGTTTGGTTTCGGTCACAGTCTGTACTTCGATCGAGGTCTCGTGCGCAGTGCGAGGGAGTCTCAGAGAGAGAGGAAGAGAGAGAGAGAGAGAGAGAGATGGGGCAGAGAGACAGAGAGAGGGCGAAGGAGATAGAACTGCTTGGGGGGGTTGTGTGTAGACACTGGAGAAAGAAACGGGAGGGAGGGAGGGATTTTGGAGAACTAGGCAGACAGACAGGAAGACCTGATGTTGCGACATATCGACTTTCCAAGTCAGCCTTGCCCCTACCCTCCAGGCCTAAACCATAAACCCCTAAACCCCAAACTGAAACTCCAAGATTAATATCTCGCAGGCGAGGGAAGCCTCCAGCTGCACCGTGACGGGCGGATCATCGGCACGGAACACAACTTGTTCGACAAGCTCTCCATGGCCAACGCGGATCCATGGATTCAAGAATCCCTACAACAGTCAAGATGTCAGAGGGCTGGGTGTGTGTAGAGTCGTACAGCCTGAGATTGCAAAGGATTACCATCTCGTTTGCGATCTCACCTTCGACGTCAGCGGCGTAAGTGTAAGCTCAGCATGCCCAAGAACCAATCAGTCACTGCCGCTGCCTCAGCTGCCAGGCACCTCCAGACTTTGAACTGCACGGTGAGCACTTGCATCGCTGTTAATGTGGTAGTTTCCGAAAATAGGGGGACCCGAATATAGCACCCTATATAGTCGGATCTTTATTATAAAGACCCCAAAACAAGGTACCTCTATTTTCGGATATTCCCGTGTGTGCCACCATAATACCGCAGTATGCCGCTTTTTCGGCCCTTATTGAAACCTAGCAACTTACCGGAAGCCCTGGTATGTAGCTGCCCGACTATATGACTTCCCAAAGCATTCGCACGGGGTCGCGATTAGGAAAAACATGAGTACTACAATATACAGTATCCCATAATGCATGGGTGTCACGGTTCGGCTCGGTACGGTTGGCGTTGTCTTCGGTTTTCTTCGGGCATGTGCCTGTCGGTTTATTCTTATAAAGTTACATTGTAGATGTATATGTATATATATATATATATATGTTTTATAATTGTCGTTATTGTTCTGCAGTTCTGCATGACATTTCATGTTGTTATTGTTGCTATTGTTGCTTTTATTCGTCGCATTGCTGTTGCTACTGCTGTTAATCTTCCTCCTGCAGTGCTGAAGGCGCACGGACATCAGGCGAGGCCTGGCTTGGCTGCACCGCTGGCTGCTGGCCTTTCGCCAGGCAATCTTGGATTTAGAGTTTAGGGTTCAGGGGTTTAAGGTTTAGGACATGTTTGCAATTGCCTCTCTTAAAAGGTTAGAGAGACTGATGAAATTTTGCTGGTGGAGGCACTTAGAGACTGGAATAGGGTTAAGGCATTTAAGGTTCAGGGAGAATGGCTGAGGGTTCTGGGATGCGGGTTGAGGGTTGAGGGACTGGGTTGAGGGCTCTGGCATTAGGATTTGCTGTTTTGGGGGTTTGGGGTTGAGCGTTCATACTTCATGGTCTTATGATAAGACTTGTAGGGTTTAGGATTTCAGGGATCGTTTGATGTGTTTTGGATTCTGTGATTCGCCTACGTGGGAGTTTCCGAAGTTAGGCGACCCTAGTATGATAGACCCCAATCAGTAGGATCCCCAAAATAAGGTACCCCTAATTTTCGGAAACTCCCACGTGGTGGATGGAGTTTGTTCGACGGCCTGGGCGGCTGGAGATGTTCCTAAGCGGGTCACTGCTGGAGCCCTTTGTTTAGGGTTTGGGGGTTGGGGCCCGGGGGCCCCGAAGAGAGGCATTCATGAAATTGGCAGTATTCGCACTTGCGATCACTTGTCCTTGCAGCGATGTGTTCGTCTAAGCATGTTGGCAGTTCCTGAGCTCCACTCGTGCCGTCGACGATACTTTCACGCGCGCAGAGAGCACGTCACAAGCTTGCTTCTGGGCTAGTGATGCTCAGCATGTGCGACGATGTGACAGGGTAGTATCACCAATCAGATGGGAGTTTCCGAAAATAGGGGTACCTTATTTTGGGGTCTTTATAATAAGGATCCTACTATTTAGGGTACTATATTAGGGTCCCCTATTTTCCGAACCTCCCGGATCATTTAGTGAAGAGTTGATGGTGAAGCCAAGTACAGTGTGACTCTGCCAAACCCTCCCTGCGGTTGATGATAGAAATCCTGCATGACCCATAATAAGGAGTATGCCATAATTCCCATAGTTTAGGGTCCTGAAGGTAATGCAGGATTTCGATCATCAACCGTAGTGACAAAAGGGCCTTGTTCCGTTAATAGCAGCACGTTGCCGCAAAGAGGTTTCACGGATTTAACTCGTGGAAGCAACGAAATCCAGAAGCAGAAAGCGAGGAACTCGACTTAATCGTGGATCTTTTTTGCAACCACAGTATTCCTCTCACGGCGGCTTGCAAAAAAAGGAGTTTGTCGAAGGTGCCCGAAACTCCGATACGAAACTCCTGACTTAGTCCGGGTCCATCCGAATCCTATGCCGCAAGCCGCGAGCCCCGGCCAAAACCAGACTGAAATACAGCTCATCGCAGTCCCTAAACCCTGCATACTACATGTCAACCCCAACGCCGATGTTACAACATTCAGTTTAGATCCCTTAGGATGTGGTGAATGACTGAGGTTGTCTAGCAGAGTTTGGACGTCATTTCCCGAGATTGATGGTTCAGAGGTTCCCATAAAGCAAACCGAGACGGAACTCCAGAATCGGTTTTGGAGGTTTAGCAGTAAGTAGCACAGAACTCTACACGAACAGCTTCTGGGGCTGAGAATCCTGCACAGGTGATACTGGCAGCTTTGGCGAGTGCAGCACCGCTTCATCCCAGGTGTTTCAGATAGTAGAAGTCATTGCGCCTCAATCTCTGCAGAGCCTCATCCGAGAAATGCTGTAACGACGATGGGCCAAGTGTTGTTGAAGACGGCTTGTTATCAAAGCACCGCAAGATCGAATGCTCTACTCTGTAGTCACGGACTTCTGACAACTGACCACTGTTGTCGCAGCGCTTGTGTGAGTTGCAGTGCTGGTTCTGATAGCTGTAGATGTCACAGTCTTTGTCGTCGGGCGTCCATAGCAGCCATAGCACGCATAGCAGCAGCAGCAATAGAAGCAGCTTTCACGCCTTTCACGCCGCCGCTGTTGCTGCCGCTGCTGCAACTGCAACGTCGTCTCATTGTGTCGACCATAGTGTTATGAAGTGGACTTCTGGGATATGTTAAAAAGATAAGAACAGACTTAAATCAACGAAAAACAAAGCACGTCTAACAGGCCAGGGGCCAGAGAGAACAACAGGAGAACAAACAGTAACGAACACAAGAAACAAAAACGAGGCCTGCCCCTGACGCTCGCTGTTGGATTGTTGTTGTTGTTGGTGGTGGTGGTGTTGTTGTTGGTGTTGTTGGATTGTTGTTGTTGTTGTTGCTGCTGATGTTGTTGTTGTTGTTGGCAGCGTGTGCGTCTGCCGCCGTGCAGGGTGGTGCGATTTCTTTGCTGGCATGTACCGAAACTCGAGTTTTGGCACTTCCCGCAATTGAACTTTTGTTGTGTTTTCGCATCGGTTTCTGCGGTTTTTTCTCGCAGAAAAGCGCGCCAGCCGGCGGGCTGCAATGTACAAACACATGCTGAGCTCTCCATTTCGCATCGTGTTTTTCGGTGTTTCCTCGCTCTCTCTGTGTGTGTGTGTGTGTGTGTGTGTGTGTGTGTCTGTGTGTCTCTGCGTGTGTGTGTGTGTGTGTGTTGCATGTCGCATCGGTTTTTACCGCATTTTTGCCAACTCACGACCTTTTTGCACATGCCAGTTTAAACTTGCATTTGTCTTTCAGCTCTGTGCAAGGTTGAAGGTGGGACAGGGGGGGTGATGACGTCCATGCGAATGCGGCTTGTGTCTTCTGTTTCTTTCGTTGCTTCCTCTGTATGTCGCATTTGGCATCGGTTTTTACAGTGCTTTGGCCGACTCTCGACTTTGCACATCCCAGCTTAAACTTGCATTTGTGTTTCAGCTCTGTGTGGGGGGGCGGGGTGATGACGTCCATGCGAGTGCGGCTTGTGTCTTCTGTTTCTTTTGTTGCGTTGCTTCTCAAACGCCGCCGGTTGCTCTGTGAAGCCCTAGTTGCCGCTTGTTGTTGCTTCACTTTTGAAACGTCAACTATGCAAAACCGCGATTTTTTGAAGCTTTCCAGACAACAACTTCGCAACTGACCCTAAAAATCAACAACAATCAAAGACGAAAAGCATGGTATTTGCGACACTTCCGCAAAAACCTCACCAACAAACACGACACAAAACTATGGAAACAACAAAGCCCGAAACATCGTCTTCTTTACGAAAACCACACAAAACTCAGGGTTTTCCAGCTGTTGACCCAAAAGCCTTCCAAAAAGAATCGACAAACCCCGCGCGGCGGCAGACGCACATGCCACCTTGTCCTTGTTGTTGTTGCCGTTGTTGGTGTTCTTGTTGTTGTTTCTGTGTTGTTATTGTTTCATGTTTGTTTCCCAGGATAAAACAAAATGAATCAACAAGAAAAATCAAGGCCACAGAACAGAACAGCAACAAAAAGCACACATAAACGACCAGCAAACACACCAAACCACAAATGCAAGCAAAATACCTCCCACACCCACCTGTTCTGTTTCTTCGTTGTTATCCTGTTGTTATTTTGGTGTTGTTTTATCTTTTCGTTGCATCAGCGGCACTCTGTGAAATCACACTCGGTGCTTCTGGTGCCCTCTTGTTGATATTCTGTTATGCCGTCACAGAAGCCGGCACCAACATGATTCTAAGCAACATGGTGTCACTGACCAGCACTTGACAAATCACCGCAGTGGGAGAAACTGCTAGGCGCCGCAAGCCTGTACACGCTTCTAAAACCGAAGAACTCAGAACATCAACAGGCATGACAAGAAATTAAAATCCAGCGAACAACTGCGAGCAATCCTGCTGTTGACAATACATGACTAGCTGCGTGGCATTTAGGGAAACCGCGACACTTGTTGATTTCCTTCATGGTCCTATAAAGTTATCGACTCAAAGCTACTTTTGGCGCCCTGCAACTGCAGCTACCGCTCAGATGATCGGCATTCGTTATTGAGGCATGCCTCCGGCCTGGCTTTCATCTTGCACCACTGCGAAGCTGTGTAGAAGTCGACCGGCTCTCCACAAAGACTTCGCTCTAAGCTTCGTAGAATCGTAGAACCTTATCACGGTTTAGAGCTTGGCATGTTCGCGAACGGCACCCGTTGAGCAAGCAGTTGAGCCAGGGACAATGTGAGGTCAAAGAGCTGCCTGTGTCGAACCTTGTGCCTCGGAGGCTAAAAGCCTTTAAAAGGAGGCATTTAATAATTCGGTGTGATCACGAAACCGGTTCTTGCATTTTCAGCTCGCGGTTGATGATAATTGAAAACTAGTAACTAGATGGCCTAGAACCAGCAGCCGAAGAAAACCCTCATTCAGCGGCCTTTGGAAGTCGGTTTGGTGGTAGACAATCAACCAGTATATCAACTACTGCTGCTAGTGTTAATGCTGGTACGACTACTGCTACAACAACTACTACAACAACTACTACTACTACTGCTACTACTACTTGTACTTCTAAAACTACTGCTAGTATTTCAACTATTCCTACTATTCCTACTTCTAGGGGCCTAAAGTAAAAGCCAGAAAGTTGGAATATGATTATCCTAAACCCTTTATGGTAAATTATAGGGTATCCTACCCTGAAACCATATTCCAGAAAGACAGAAACCACTCTCGGAGAAGACCCTGTTCTTTACGTGCGGAGAGGGCTTACGGGTTCAGGGTTTTGGGGTTTAGGGTTTCGGGTTTAGGGTTCAGGAGTTTAGAGTTTAGGGTTCAGGGTTTTGGGGTTCAGTGTTTTTGGATTAGGGCTGGTGTTCAGGGTTTAGGGCTTCAAGTAGAAGTCTCGGAAGGGAGGAGCTAGCGCACATGATCATGTGGTCCTTAACCCTGGCTGGCATGGAGGGCTCAGGCCTGAACTCTTGATGATGGGAATTCAGGCACCAACTCTTTTCCATGAGAGCCTACTGCCACCTTCCATGGGAGAAGAGATTCGGCAGAGTAGTTTTGGATGTGAGAGTTGTGCAATGTTGGGTCCAGGGCGAGTTGAGGCAGTATAGCCCTAGAAGCTAAGTTCACAACCCTCAGTTTGAAGGCCTCGCCACCAGACCCCACACCTTAATCCCAAACCCCTACCTAGACCCCCCAAAGTAGGTAAAATAATGGCCCAAAACCTAGAAAAGCCCATTATTCTACATACTTTTGGGGTCCAGGTAGATTCCAAACCCCCAAGCCCCAAAACCAGCTCCTCAGTGGGCTCTCTCGTGAGAGACCGAGGGGTGGACTCAGCAGCGAAGCTGAAAAGGTTGCTTTTCGGATCGTGCCGAGTTGGGGGTCAGGAAAGGCTGTCCGTGTAGAAAATCCCTAAACCTTGAAAGACCGGACCTCACCTCGCCTCAGCTCCTCCATCATTGGTTGTTGCGTTTCGGATCGTGCCGGGTTTTGGGGTCAGGTAAGGCTATCCATGTACCTAGACCCTCCATAAGACCCGAAGAACCCATGATTTGGGACCATCTGCCCATGTTTGAGGGTACAAGGAGGGTCCTGGTAGAAAATCCCTAAAACCCTAAGCCTTAAACCCCGGACTTCACCTCGTATGAACTCCTTCACAAATTGGTTGTTGGGTTAGGGTTCAGGGTTTTAGTTGCGGGCTCGGGGTCATGAATGCATTCCGTGCAAAGAAAGCTTAAAGCCTATCTACACAGTATAGAACAAGCCAGGCTACTTTCAACTTCCCCGAGGTAGAGCATGATTTTATGTATGGTGCCCTTCACGCTATCGACACTTGGGGTCATGTTCGGACTGCGCCCACACATGTAGCTTCTTACCGTGAGGCCGCATTAGGTGCGCCGAGTCCAAAGGTCACGACCGGGGAACCCGTCAGATGCGATGCATTGAGATCATGTAGGTAGCTTGAAGGTTTGTGTGTTCTCTTTGAGGGTTCTTGGCGAGGGGTTCTGCAGATTGAGAAAGCCAAGTGCCACATCCACAGGAGAAGCAGAATGCCTTGAACGAGGCTGCTTGGCATAGACGCAGCCCCGTCCTGAACCTTGTGCGCCAGCTGTAACATAGGGCATATTGGTCGGAATTTGTGTTTAGGGCCCCTCATTGTAATGTTAGAAATCCCCGAAGCCTTTTCTGGTTCTTACGGCCCTGATGTGATAGTGATAGTAGCCCTTGCAGAACCCTTACATTAACCGGTGCAGTAGCCGTTTAAGGAACCCTAAAGGCCCCTCATAGGGACTAGGGGCGTAAATAAGTTGAAATAAGTACAAATACTCTGGCGGAAAAAGTGTAGGTTAAAGGACAATATAACTCAAAGCGCCCGAGATCATGGTACCCTTATGGATCCCTTATACTTACCCTTAGCGACCGCTTTAAAGGAACCCTGCTCTAATTTCTAAGGCCCCGAGATGAATTACCTTCCTTGTGCGGAGCAGGTCCGGCTTCTTGCCTCGGTATGTCACGAGAATGTGGTGGCTTACAAGGAGGCGGAATGAGTGAATGAGTTGGGGGTGGCTTAGGACGCTTCAGGGTTTAGGGGTTCTGGGGGCCTGAACACTAGAGTGGCTCAATAAACTTATACAATTTTTCTTTGGAGGGGGGTCCTTAGCATTATTTTTGCTATTATTGTATAACGGGCCCCAAACCCCTATTCCAAGTATTAATGCCCCTGTATTGTAGTGCCCATATAGATCCCTTATAGTAACATCTCAAAGGAACGCGATTCTAATTGTTGAGGCCCTTGTACCAGAGACCTTGAGGCTGGCAGGGTTTAGGTGATTCTGGGGCCTGGAGTGTAATGTTGCTTCCTGCGAAGTTGGTGGGCGAGTTCGGGTGGATGTCTTTCGCATGATGTCGTCGTTCTTGTAATGCGACCTTCTTTTCTCTCGCTGCCTTCCTTGCTCTCCACTTTAACTTAAGACTTATCACCGTCAACTTCAAGCTCCTCATGGATGCATCAAGCGAGCAGCTTGTTGAGAGCCCTCTCCTTCTACGGAAACTCCACACTTCTACAGTTCCATGAGCACAACCCTTCCGCTCCGTGGCCGGAGCAACGAAAGTACATGCGGTGCTGTCGCAGCATGAAGCCTGTCCCAAGCACAGACTTCGCAGGCTTTCTGGGACGACAAAACCCGCTGCCTCTGCATCGTGCAGGAATGCGCCGACGTCGCTTGGCTACTTTAAATCGTGTAATTCGGGTTTATGGCGCTTGCAACACGGCCTGGGCTGCCCGGGCGCTTCACAGATGTTGTGATGTGCTCCATGAACTTAGAACAAGCCGTACTGTGCGAACACTGATACCGAGGCATAGCATTGGTACAGCTGGGATATTGATGAAACCTGCTTAGTGCGAAGAAGGTTCAGGGCCCGGGCTTCAGCAAGACGCAACTCGCCCCTTTTCAAAGTACCTAGACAGTATGATGCGCATGACTGGCATGTCGAACATCTGGTACATGCTTCTCTGGGGTTATAGAAAATTGAATCTGTCATCTCTTCATGGTCCACATACAATTTACGGTCCCGGCTCTCAGCGGCCCTGCCTGCGATGGCGACGGAGCAGTGCATGGATCACCCAAGCGGAAAATTCATTATGTACGTATGTATGTCTGCCTGCCTGCCTACCTACTTATCCATCTGTCTATCTCACTCTCTCACTCTCTCTCCTCTCTCTCTCCTCTCCCTCTCCCTCTCTCTCTCCCTCTCCCTCTCCCTCTCCCTCTCCCTGTCTCTCTCTCTCTCTCTCTCTCTCTGTCTCTTTCGCTATCCATCTGACTATCTGTCTATCCACCTGTGTCGGTGGACATGTTTTCTGTGGGCCTGCAGGTCTCTCTGTGAGTGTGTACGTGTGTGTATCTGTGTAATTATACTCTTCTGTACATATATCTATACAGCTTAACTTTTAATGAGCGCTACTGACTTGGTTTGTTTAGTTTGTACAGTCGTTTTTCATTCAGAAGGGACTGCCATGGGGCCTGGGTTTTTGCACGCCCAGTGTTTTGCACTTGTTGCACTACTTGTTCGGGACTTGTCGTTCAGGGTTGCTTTGCATGCTTCGGAAGGCCCTCTGGACCCCTGGAAGTCCTGCAAGCCGTAGTTACACCAGCACACTACACCCTACACCCTAAACCTTCAGCAAAGCCACAGTTTGAACCGCAGACATGTGGCTGTAGTCAACTGTTCAACCGAGACACCCTGCAATGCGGGCTCCGTCCTTGCTACGTAGGAGGGGAAAAAAACCTTCAGCAAAACCAAAAAACAAAAGAAAAACTCTCTCTTTTCATTCGTGTGTTGACGCATGTGTGCCTGTCTGTGCTTTATTGTTTGTGCTGCTTATGTGTATAGGCATATACAGAAAACGCGCGGGCGCAGGCTGGTGACCTGCTGCAGCAGATCAACCGCTGCAAGCAGGAGCGAGCGTATCTGAGAGAGGCCCCCCCGGTTTGGGAGTCTGGTCTCTTCAACGAAAGGTTGGAGATTTAGGTTTTTTTTCTGGGGTTTAGGCTTTCAGGTCCAATGGGTTCTTAGTGGGTTCTTAGCTCAAGGATCCGACGAGGGGTCGTTATGCGACGTGAAACTTCCACAGGGGTTCGAAAGGGTTCAGAGGCTGGCTTTGATGTCGTGATCTACCTGCAGTCTCCATGGTAGTTCCTTTTTTGGGGCTACCTTATAGGATCCCTATCAATCTATATAATTGGTTAAGCCAAAAAAAGGAACTACAATGGAGACTTTAGGTAAGGTTTATGGAGTGACACATTTCTTCAGAGAGTGGGTGCGGCGCTTCCTGGATGGCATCCTCAGCCTGCTGCAGAAGAAAATCTTGGGGTTTGGTGGGTCGTGGGTTAAAGCTTATGGGTCTGGACTTCCTGATGGGTTTCCGTTTCGTGGTTTAAGTATGTTGGGTCTTTTTTCTTTGGGGCTTAGGGTTTATGGGTTCATGGGTTGATGGTTCGTGGTTTTGGGTCGTTTGGGCTCAGGACTTTGGGGTATGGGGTTTCAAGATGAAAGATGCTCAGAAGCTAGGGGCGCTGTCGCGAGCACAGTCCTAACTGGCGGAAGCGGCGGAAGAGCGGCAAACTGCCGGGCGTCCTTGCGTGCAAGCCTGCAGTTTGAAATAAAGACTGGCACCCTAAAACCTACCTATAGTATCCATTGTAGTTCCGTTTTTTGGTTAACCAGTTTTATGGTTAGGATCCTATAATAGAGATTTTGGTAAACCAAAAAAAGGAACTACAATGGAGACTATAGGTAAACCCGAAACCCTAAACCCCTAAACCCTAAACCTGGCAGCTTGGGGCTTGAAGGTTCGGGATGAGGGGCCTCGGCAGTTGACCCTCGACTCCTTCGAGGAGTTTAGAGAAGACCAGTGCCCAATTTCTTTGAATACTGACAGGAAAATTCCAAAGCCTTGAACACCCTAAACCTCAAACCCTGCAGCACTGTTGAGCGCAAGACCTAAAAACCCGGATATCCTTCATTTGCATGCCAGGCCATCCGAAAAGAGCCTTGCAAACAGGGGCCCCCAAAAGGAGACCTACATCCTAACCTGCGACACCCTTTGTCCGTCCGCTGCTTGGAATCCCGTCTACAAAAGAAAGCGAGGTTGCCCGCACGAGCTTACTTCTCATCCCTCTGAGCATGCTCCAGCGACTGATGCCATCCACGAAGATTGACTTCTCTCTGCGATCCCTGTCTATGTAGGCGGTACACCTTTGAGCTCATGCTCTGCAACCCTCCCGTCACCAGTCCAGGAAAAAACCCCGGGCTCGATTCCACGTTGACGGTGCAGTCAGATCTGCTCCGGCAACCTAGCCCCATGTTTCGCTGTTACTTGTGATCCACAAACCATGCACAGAGGTGAGGCGCGAGCCGCACGTAGTGGGGCTCATTTTCAAGTTTGTTACCCTGGTCTCCCTCGTGCTCGTAGTGGCCCTTGAAGGTTACCCCCCCCCCCCCCCCATTTTTGGCCGTAGTGCTCCGCGGCATCACTCGGAAGTGCACCATGGGGATCGTCTCTCTTTGGACATCCTCCACTGGACCAGACCTTCACAATACGCCGCCACCATTGCATCGGTTGTAAGGACGGCTCAGCCGCCGTTGGTAGACCTCCACCGCGCGCGAAACTCTTGAGTGTTGAAGCCGCCCTGCCTTATCCGCCCCGCGAACGACCCCACGGTTGAGCATCATCATAATTAACCGCAATTCAAGGTGCTTCCAAGGCTCATATCATATTTTCCGCAATGCAACCCTCAACTCTACCTAAACCCTAAACCCCTAAACCTCTATAAAGTTCAAAACCCTCACAAGCAGGATTCCTCATAGACTCATAGAAGACCTGTGCAAGTGGAAGTTCAAAACCTCACCTCTGAACGCTAAACCCTCAACTCTGGAGGCTGATGTTTGGCGATACTTGGACGGCATGTGCCAAGGGCTCAAGGCGGGGATCTCGGAACTTCGCCGAACATCACGGCTTGGGGCTTTGGGGTTCTAGGGCTGAGTTCCAGTTCAGGGCTTAGTCTTAGTGTTTAAGGTCGATGGGGTGTATAGTAAGAGGGGCTTACATGAACTTAGCGAGGCGCGGTCAGGTTTTTCTGTGCAGCGGCGTGTTTCGGGAACAGGGTTTGAGTGTTTGCGGTTAAAGTGTAACGTGCGCAGGGGAGTTTACATTTTCTGGCTTCCGGCTTCGACGGGTGCTTGGGACGCACAAACCCTAAACCCTAAACACTGCCGAACCTACATGCCTCGCCTGGTTTGTCCGAGTGTGAGCGCCGAAACGCTACCCTGAACCCCAAACGCTGCCGTCCAGACTTACTCTGTTGCAGCTCAGGGCTTGGATGTAAGAGGGAGGGTAGTTCGGGGTTTGCTTTCCGGGAGGGCGGGGTGGGGTAGATCCGCTTCAAAATATGTCGAAGGATCTTCTAGCAGGGTCCTCATGGAAATCTGCTGTGACAATCATAGACTGCAAGTTTGAGGTAGCAGTAACCCCAAGACTGCGCTTCTGCCGAGAACATGCATTCCGGCAATGATACTAGTTGAGGCCCTCCATGATCTGCGCATCCTTCACCGTGATCTCAAGTGCCGCGAGCTTACGCAGATGCCGGGGTCTTTTGAGCTTGGAGCATGTGTTTTCCTACTGACCTACTGAAGGTGCCAATGTCTTTCTCAGCCACTCCCGGGATGGGTATCCGCCTCAGTGCAGCCCAATTTCGGCGGTGGTGGTGGTGGTAGTGGTCGTCGTCGTGGTGGTGGTCGTAGTGGCGGTGGTGGCGGTGGCGGTGGCGGAGGTGGTGGCAGTGGTATAGATGTATAGGTAGATACGGTAGATAGATAAATGGATAGATAAACCGATCGGTAGATGGACAGACAGCTACATACATACATACATACATACGTATACATATATATATATATACACACGATGTACAGTGTACATAATGTACATATAATATACAGAGAGAGAGAGAGAGAGAGAGAGGCATAGGTGCTTACATAGCAGGCGCTGTGAACCTCATTTTGCAGCCCAGTGTTGAAGTTGTTACTTGTGATGGCCTCAGATTTTCGTCAAGGCTCATTGCGAAGCTGGGGGATTTCAATGCCCGGCACCTGGAGAGCTCCGTTTCGCTCTAGTCAAGGAACGCTTGGGAAGATTCCGCTAAGATTAATGGGGGTTACCTGATAGGATCCTGAAGATCAAATTGGTTAAACCAAAACAGGCCCCATGGAGTTGATGGCGAAGGTTTGCATGTCTTTTTGGTTTACCAGGAGCCCCCAAGTACCCTGTAAAGGGATCTAATACTTCTCATGAAGAGGTCATTCGGGGCTACAATAAAGGGTCGTTGGGGGGTCTATGTATGGTTTCTGGTTCAGGGTTTAGGGTTGAGGGTTCCGTTCCCCAGCTGATGCAGAGTAGAGCCTGGGTTCAAAGGGTTTAGGGTTTCTGGTTTAGGGTTCAGGGTTTCTGGCGAGACTTGAGTCCGGAGGGAAAGAGGGTTTGTGGCATTTCTTGTTGGCTTTGGGCATCTGCATTGTAGACTTTTCCGGGTAACAGGGTATGAAGGAGTTGAGGCAAGCGGGCAGGTCTGGATCCGAGTCGTGATGGTTTGGGCACCCTACTGGTACTCAGCTACGGACACTACACCTGACATCGAGACCGGGTTTCCGTTGGGCTGGGTACGCATAATATTGGGTCCTAAATAATTACTTATACTAGATTAACGGGCCCCAGACTCTATTCTAATTACCAAGGCCCCTATATTACCGTAGCACTGCACGACACTGTTATGACTTGAAGGCCTAGTCGCAGATGTAATTCATCCCATCCCAAGGCGTTTCTTCTAGACTCTAGTCAAGTCTACCAGAACCTTCCATGCCAGTGGTTGCTTTCGGGGTTTAGTTTCGCACAGTTCTACAAGGGCTCTATAATCTATAACCTTATCCACCCGAAACACTGAGCCAAACAACCCGCCGCCCCAAAAGCAGAACACCCAGCAGCAGAAGCATTACACAGGTCTGCGCACAAATAGGTGCCGTCTATCCCGAAATCTACACCAAGAAAGTCAGATGTCCATGAGATGTACTGGGACTTCTGTTCCTTGCCTCTGAGTGCCCGGTCTGCGGATGAACCAGGTTCTAATCACGTTGAAGAGCGCTCTGCGTGTAAGTTTGTGTGAGCACTGTGTTGTGATTTACAGCTTATGCTAAGATACAGGTTTCTTTACGGCCCAGAGATCGCGAAGCACCATCAGTTGATACTCCAGATGCCCATGTGGGTTGACTGTGCCGTCGGTTATGTTGTAGCTACTTGGTTGTCTTGTCTTACTTGCATTACTTATATTTGAAACAAGTCTGGCGCCGCGTCCGCCCTTTTCGTACACACGCAAGTCGCTGCGCTAGTTTATCATGGTTTTCTCATCACAGCGCACTAATGCAGTCATACATACGAGCAAATACATCCGTGTCTCCGTCGATCCTCCCATCCATCAACCCTGTTGTACAGTCGTATGCCTAGTCGCAGCCCAGCCTCGGCACTGGAGGTATCGAAAGTTGCAAAGAGGGGCTTGTGCATGACGCAGACGGGCACCCCGTACTATGCCTCCCCGGAGGCACAAACTACGATTGATTTAACTAGGACGTGGACTTGGTCTGATGCTTCGAGATGTTGACTTTTTCGCGTGTCAGACGTTTTTACATTACGGGGTGTCGGCTTGGAGTTCGTTCCGGGAGTTGCTTGTGGCAGTCTCGGATATCGCATCGCATTTCTTTGAGCCTTGCCGTAGGCGTTCGAGTTGTTCTCTTTCCCCAAGCAGCTTCGCATGCATGCGTGGCTCGAGCAGAACGTCCCATCCCCCCCTAGCTCGAGCAGACTCCCACATCCCTGTCCCCCCTCTTAGAGCACCCGACATATCTGCATCTTGAGGCCGAGTACAGATGTGCATGTGTCTTGATTTTGTCCTGCGCCCCTCGTCACGGCCATGAAGGGCGTTAAGGGCCAGGGCCCGTCGATGGCTCCCGACGTCGGGGCGTACGCTGCAGGCTTGGCGGTGCCTAGCTCAGGACCGGCTTGGGATGCATCATAATTTCAGAATACTAGCAATAATTTCATAATACTAGCATCGTCTCCAGAGCCCTTTACAGTAGTAGTAGTAGTAGTAGTAGTAGTAGTAGTAGTAGTAGTAGTAGTAGTAGTAGTCGTAGTAGTAGCAGCAGCAGGAGTAGTAGTAGTAGTAGTGGTGGTGGTGGTGGTGGTGGTGGTGGTGGTGGTGGTGGTAGTAGTGATGACCATACAAATGACAATGTTGGTAATGGTGTGGTTCGATCTTGAACGGGTTTGGGGATTGCAACTGAGTTCGCTTGGCTTTTGGTTGGAATGTCGAGTATTAGGCAAAGTTACCGCCATGAAAAATGCAAAGGCTTTTTTTTTTGTGGGGGGGGGAGGGGTGAACTCGGCGACTACGACTCTGGGTAGCATGGTAGCAGACGTTTCGACAAGCCTCAGGGTCAGACTGCTATGCTCGCCTGCATGACGCTGAAACAGTTTCGGACTGCTATAGCTGTGGCTTGTTCAGGCCATCTCAACTCAACAGGCAGACGGTCCATCAATACTTTCATCAATGCCTGGTCAGCTTGCCACCCCAAGTCCAGAGCCCTGAAGCTTGAAACTTAAGCTTTCTTTTGGGCAGTTCGAGCACGAAGCCGTAGCCGACGTGAGAAGCCCTGATAGAACTTGAACGATCCCTAACGGAAAGAATCTATCTCGTTCTTTGGCAGGACTCTCTGGCACCGTGAAATCGTGGAACGGGGCCAAAGGCTTTGGCTTCATCCAGGGTAGTGCGCTTGGGGCTGACGTCATGTTTTCCAAGCGAGAGCTGCCGCAAGATTGCAAGACCATGGTTCCAGGGTCTGCAGGGGGCATACATTGGGATTGAACAAACTTATCTGATCGCCCTTCTCACTCCGTAAACCTTAGTTGATCCCGAACACCTGCAAGCTGCAAGTCCGAAAAGCAATGTTGCTAGGCCGTTGGATTGGGAACCAAGCCGGGCAGTGCTGCTATTTCATGGTTGGGGTCGTTTCTGTCGCCAGGACTATACTCTTTCTACTTTGATTTTTTCTGCTCATTTGTTGATGTTGGCTTGTTGTCACTGTACTGGCAACCATCGTAGAATTGCCTGTGCAAACTGCTGGTCCCTGCGCTTCCCCTGCTGCGACGACAGTGGTGACTACTACAACGAAGACTTCTACTGCTGCCACCCTAAATAATGACCTACATTATTCCTTGGGGTTCCTTATTATAGTTACCGTATACTGCAAAGGAACCCAAAACCTATTCTAAATATTACGGCCCCTGTATCACAGAGAGTACTGCTAATGCCACTATGAAGTGATCCTCAGTGACACCTGTTGCTGTGTTCTTTCGTTTTGACATGGCTTAAGTGTGCCTGGCTTTGCAGCACTTTGCACTCCGTTCCGCAGTGCAGTATTCCCTGAATCACCCTCCTCTGGCAAGCACGTTTACTCCTCACGGTAGTTCTTGCTTGTCGACAAGTTTGGCTAACGTTTGTTTGTGAATAGGAAACTACAGTTCAGGGTATAGCGCACACATATTTCCCCAAATAGGACTTGAAAACTGTAGAGTCCCGACTCAGGTGCATGAGATGCTCCGCTTACGATTCAGGGTGTCGGGCCAGAAATAGCACCGGGTGGATGCATCAGTACTTCTGTGTCGTTGGTGGACGTTCTACTAAGTTTAAGGTGATGTGTCCTCAGTGATGCTGAATCAGAGCGGGAACTTCAATACGAGGCTTTGCTGGCAAACCTCGCGGAACCCAACTCGGAAACCCAAACCCTTAACCGTAGCAAAGGCAACCCCTCCTGTACCTTACCCAAACTCATGAGCAAACTTGCTACAATTAACGCATCTGATTCTACACTTCAAGCTGAAAATCGCATGAACCCCCATAACCCCTTGAAGCCTCTACTTACCCTCCGACCGAATATGTTTAAAAGCCCTTGAAGATCTGAGGCCGGATGACGCTCAAGACGTGCAGGGCAAGTTTCTCACAGGGAGTGCCGGGCTCGGTTTAGGGTTTACCCTAACCTTGAAAAACCTGAATTTTTTAGTTATCCTTATTATGCTTTCCTTATATAAGTCCTTAAGGGTAGTTTCTTCAGGTTTAAGGTAGGGTTTAGGGAAGGGATGGGATGAGGTTTTAATGGGCCTGTTGAGAAGAGCGCAAGAAGATTGTATGCGGCATGTAAAAGCACTCTATAAGCGATTGTAGGGTGGGGCTTCTTCTTAGGGCTTCATCAATCTTTTGTTAGGTTCCGGACACTGGCGCGAGATGAAACTGCAGCGTGTCGCACTTGCGGCCCAGGGTTGTGGATGTCGGGCTTTGCGTTTGCACAAAGCCATCGTAGCCAGCGAGTCTTGCCGCGTGATTGAACCCTTCAACCCCCTAAACCGTAATCCGATTCAGAGTGTAAGGGTCAACAAATCCGATTCAGAAGCCCTAAACACCATCCTTGTTAGCAACAGTCGTGTCATTGGGAAGCAAGTGTGTTGACCAAGTGTGCGACAGGAGCTGCGGGAGATACTGGCAGAAGCAGCTGCAGATGAACCCATTCAAACCTTCATGTACCCCAAAGCCCCCAACTTAAGTACGGTATATATTTTGTCTTTTACTCACTATTCAGCATTTGATTTACTGTTCAATATACAACATCTGCCGGTAAGAGGCTTGTACCTAGCCCAGACCGTAAGAAACGCCAACTGGAGCTTTCCAGTTCCAGCTCGAGGGACGGAAAAATCAGGCAGTCATTTGTGGGGGGTTTTGGGCGCATGGTTCAGGGATTAAGGGTGCTTAGGCTTAAGGGGTCCAGCGTCTAGGGGCCCTGTGTCTGCGAGTTTGGGGTGTAGGGGTTTGGGGTTTAGTTTAGGATGGTTTACGATTCAGGGCTTTAGGTTAAGGCTGCGACAAGCTCCAGACCTTGAGCCATTGCTTAAGTTTAGGGTTTGGGTGTTAAGGGTTTAGTAAGGGGACGAAGTCTAGTTGGAGTTTGGGTCTTGGCGTAGCATCACTGCAGGAACCGTCTACTTCGACGCGCAAGAGGGTCCGGATGGCCGACAGAAAGCCACCACCGTGATGATCCCTCATGCACCGGGTCTGCACATTCTAAACCCCAAAATCTCGGCGCAGGCTTCTTCCCACTCGTCATGTGCCCTCCAGCAGAGACGGCCTGTACTTACAAGTTTGTGTAGCATTCCCGATTCAAGACCTGTTGCTAGTCTCTCTCAAAATGGGTTTCTGGTCTACTTAGAGGATCATGGGACTTAGTAAGTAGGTTATAACTGGGGTTCTAAGTCCCCTAAGTGGGGTCATCCTAATTATGACCTACTTACAAGCCTACTTACTAAGTCCCATGATCCTTTAAGTAGACCTTAAACCCTAAACCCTATAGATCCCTTTAAGGAACCCCTATAGATCCCTTTAAGGAACCCTTTAAGGAACCCTGATCCTTTAAGTAATTCCGGTCCCTCTTTGAGCGCCCCGGCCAAAGGGCCCCAAAGGTTGACAGAAAGCCGTTAACCGGGACCCGAATTTGCGTTTCCTGCAAGTGCAGTTGATTTTTTGTAGGGCAACAACTGAAGCTCCTCCCCCGACTTGAATTCCTAACTACGATATCATGAGAACCTTGAGGCAATGAACATAGGCTCATAAGTTGCTTGGGTGAGTACCATTTCTGAGATGTTAACGGTTCCATTGCATCAGTGTCGAAATTTCATGTTTAATTGAGGACGATATCAAGTACTTTGTAATTGGACCCCCTCAACTCAACCCTAAACCGCAATCATAAGTTCAGGCCAAAGTTTTAACCCGAAGCCCTACACCGCCTGCCAGCTCACCACTTGGAGAATCAGGAGACTTAGTAAGTCAGGTTATAAGTACCTTCATTGGAGATATAAGTAGTTATAAGTGTAACTGCCATAATTATAGCCTTACCTAGACCCCCCAAAGTAGATAAAATAATGGCCCAAAACCTATAAAAAGCTATTATTCTACATACTTTTGGGGTTCGGGGAGTTGCCAAGTCCCACGATCCTTTTTGCAAGGTCGAGGGCCTTCCTGTGCCCGGCAAGATCAAGTCCTATAGCGACTCTTGTCTCGAAGATTTTCCCTGTCTACTACAGTTTAGAAAGGGCCCCCAACCTGTAATGTAATAGTGACTATAAGGATTATATTAGGGCCCTATTAGATTCCTATTATACCACTATTACAGGGTGGGGGCCTACAGACTTTTCTATACTATTTAGGGCTTTCGGGTTGAGGGTTTGGGGTTTAGGGTTTAGGTTCCTCACTGTAATGGGACCCGAACCCTATTCTAATTATTAAGGCCCTTATATTAATTAGTAGTTCTTGGATTTAGGGTCGAGGGTTTGTGTGCGTAGACAGTGCATGGATCTACGCATCCATGTACATCTATAAATACATCCGTGCATTCATTCGCTTCGCACATGTTTTGAGTGCATGTGTACATGCGCATATACACATCCATCTTTACCTACACCTAATTCGGGAAGTTCAGGGCGTAAGGGCAAGACGCTTTGGGCGCGGGGACGTTTTTCAGGGCATCTCTCCACGATCCCAGACTATACCCAGACCCCAGCGGTTTAGGCCCCGGTTCAGCAGGGCAATGAAAGAAACCACGTTGCCGAGAAATCGGAACAATAATGTTCGTAACAGAAGCACAGGGAAATCTTCGATAGAAGCAGCGGCAGGACTGGCAGTAGTACTAATTAGGTCAGGATGCCTATGACAAGAACGAGCGTTGCAGCAACGGAGCACCATGGCACAGCACCAGCCGTCACATGGCATCGACAATGCTCCTTCATACCAAGCACCATAAATTTCGGCCCGGAAGCCACGAAGTTACCAAAGACCCCTCAGGAAAGGCATGGTTGGGGTCGGGACCTCGGTCTTTGCTGGGACGTGACAGTCTACAATTGATCTCTGTTCTGCGGGATGAGGCAGACAGAGCCAGAAAGAGAGGCAGAGACCACAGCCATCAGAGGCGAGCGGTCCTGATGTGCACTTTCGAGGTCGGTGTGATGGGCGGGCCCTCAAAACAGCCTTTTCAAAAGCAAGCTTAAACAGGCAATGCCAACATTCCAACAGACGTAAAGACCTGAATATTATCAGGCGCAATATCATAGAGAGAGAGAGAGAGAGAGACAGAGAGAGAACACGTCCAGAGGTCCCAATGACCGCATTGTAGCCACCGCGTATCCACAAACCCTGCATGCTGGACAGCACGCATTGCACTGCAAACAAGCTTCCAGGCTGGATCCAATGCCCAAATCCTCCTAGTGTTCTCTCCAGTCGCACGGACAGTCGTCGTACCTTTTGGAACATCCGCGCCTACCCCGACCCCCGGACGTGTTAAGATAAAGTCCGCATATCTGCTCTCTTGAAGCCGTCCTGTGGCCCAACTTGAGGTTTTATCACCTCAAGCGCACTTACGGATGATATCCGCTTTGACAAGAACAGCCTGGCAGCTCTGGAGGGCATGCCGCCTGATCCCCGACTTGCCGGCCTCTCGTTTGTGGTTAAGAGTATTCGGCTTAGAGGTGGGCGATGCCTTTCTTGAGAATATTAGACCGTCACAAGACCCAGATGGCATCATGCTGGCACAGATGCAATGACAAATGAGACAGCCCGTTTGTTCAGGCGTCCCGGTTGTCGTGGAGTTTGCGACTCGATGGCACCAGTTTGTGTGTGTGTGTGTGTTCCTATTTTGCTCGACACGTGAAAGAACTTAGTTCAAAGGAATTCCAAAGGAATATTTAGCCATCTATCTAACAGTACCCAAGCAAATCGATGAGTCGTTTGAGGCTGCCAGACCCGATGGCAAGCTCAACGCGAAGCGAGTTATGTTCCAAAGTGGTGAGATTGCAGAAAGCTCCTTGAGTGAAACTTAGCAGTGCGGGCTCAGGGTCTTGTGGTTCCGGATGTAGTTGTACTATCTGAGAACAGTTGAGTCACAAGTTGCACACTTCCAGGTGTCGTTGAACTAGCGGTGGTGTAACTCTCAGTGTTGCCGCTTGTTTGATTTCGGTGTGAAGGACATCAAGATACCATCAGCTAATTTGCGACCGAGGGCACAGGATGTGTCGGAAGGCCTACTTTGCAAGGACGCGCCCAGCGCACCTGCGCAGATTTGCGCGGGGGTGATCTGCGAAGTGCCGCTGCCGTTTGTCTCAAAGACATCTCGAGTCAAGTAAAGCAGCACTTGCTGCTCGCGTTAGCGCATGACTGAACCAGAAGCCTGTTCTCGCGACCTTGTTTAGCCCGTCATTAACCCTTTGGGCCCTTTATGTACTGGGACTGGGAAATCAATAACTTAGTAGTTGAGTGGATACACTTTACACTTTTGGGGGTCATATTACCCACTATAAAACTAAAAGTGTACACTTTTGGGGGCTTATGAATTCAGCTACTAAGATAATCAAGGCATCTAAGACCTGTGCAATCCCAAACGTCCCTTGAAAACCCTTTGGGTGCCCGGATCTGAACCAGGGCTTCTATCCTGGACGCAGGATAGAAACCGCAAAAATGCCCTAGGGATCTAAGGACTCATATAATATAATAAGGCTTTTGGGCTTGAAGACCATAGCATAGCAAGGCTTTTGGGCTATTTTGATCCCTAGGGATAGCTGATCTTACACAGCTCCCACACGCAGAAGCACCCAACGCTTTTTCAGCTTCCACGGACTACCGTAGACCTGGTTTCTGCCTCAACCGTCATTGGGACGCAAAGGCAGACAAAGACGATGCCAGCACCTTGTAAACCCTACTTAGGCAGTATACAGTATACAGTATACATCAAATCCTGAAACAGCCCAGGACTGGGTGTCAAGGGTCCTGGCTTCGGAGGGGCGCCCGGCTTCGCGGCGACGCCCAGCTTCCCAGCGACGCCCAGCTTCGCAGCGACACCCAGCTTCGCAGCAACGCCCAGCTTCGCAGCGGCGCCCGGCTTCGCAGCGGCGCCCGGCTTCGGGGCGCCTGTCGGCGGCTTACGGGCATTGCTCAGCATACAGCAGAGCCAAATAAGGAACTCGGTTCAGGATTCATGGATTGTCGGGTTTTGGTACGAGAGGTGTCGACAGTTAAGGACGCTACACAGAGGTGCTTTGCAACCTCTTCAAGTGAGATTCCAACACAAGACGGGCCAAAGCACATCGCTACTGCTTGTGATGCTAACTCCTTCAAGGTTTAGTGCGATCGTCGTGGTGATGGTGATGGTGTGTCGAGTTTGGGATTCAGTGGAAGTGTTAGATAAAATTGAAGCATTACAACGAGAGAGATACGAGGAAGTTGCGCCCAACTCGTGGCCATGCAGCCTGTGACCATCCCGAGTTCTGCAAACCGAAATCTTGTTCTGTTTAACTTTGTTTTGGTGATTGAGTTTCCTGAATGATTTGTGCGTTGGTCTGCCTCCTGTTGTTCCAATTTTGTTTCTTCGGGATGAGTGCTGAGCTTGCGCTGGTTTGGGGCGGTGATTTCGCTTGGTGATATCAGCACCGCAGGTGAGAATTCCGAGAGAAGTGTCTTGCCAAGTTGCTCCGCAGGTGAAAATGGTAAGCCGCTGTCTACTTGTTGGCTCGCAGCTCTTTTTGGCTGCGCTAGTTCATTCACCACTTCCCACACGCCTCGCCCGGTTCGCCAAGTGCGAAACCCTATATAAACCCTAAACTCGAACATCTTAAATTTCTTACAGCCAAGACCAATTCATGTTGCCCACGCAGCGAGTTTGATAGCCACAGTAACCTTAGGGGTACTTAGAAATGATTTTTGGTCATTATAACCCCTAAGAAACAGCTAAAATTATGATTATTGCCAGGGTTCTAAGTTCAGTATAGTAACCAGACGCTACTTCTTCGTCACGCTTGCCGATGAGGGCTGTAGAATAGTACCCTAAACCCTTGAGCGCCGAAACCCTAAACCGCTTCGTGTTTAAAGTTCCTTGCACCGCAGAAATCGAAGTCACGGGAGTTTCGCGAGTCGAGGTCTTTGCCGCGGCAGGTGGGCCGATGTCGCAGGGCACTTAAAAATTTTGGGCATCAATAAGTTGTGATTGTTGTTAACATTCAATTATAAGTAGCACTAGAAATATTAAGAAGGGTCTCACTCAAAGCTTAGTGGTAAAAATCTCCTCCTGACCCGCTTGCATTTCATCCAGCATGGTCTCGCTAGTAGACACCTCGGCTCTTTTTTCACTCCGCTAGCAGCGAACATTCCTTGGTGCAGTGTTGGTGAGGCCCCTCCTCCAATGCAGAAAGGTGCATGAAGGCAATCATGAAGATGGAGGTGGGTATGCTGGCATAAAAGCCAATTGGAGAAAACGGTAGTTACAGAAACAGGGGACCCCAATATACACCCTAACTCGCGCTGATCTTTGCCCCAGTCTCGAGAGCGTGTGACAGCGACAGAGAAAGAGAGAGAGGCAGGCAGATTGAGATGGGAATATATGCACCCTATAATAGAAGCTAAGAACACTCCCCCACCCCCGCGCCCCAGCAGCCGCAAGCAGCGCTGCAACTTTTCAACCCACAGCCCATGACCCTCCGAAGGTGTTGTTCAAGTTAAGGGCATCTTCTGCGTGAGGGTGTTAATCATCACAAAGATCCTATCGTTTAGGGCTAAAGCCGCGAAACTCTCAAAGTCTGCACTCTTAAGGCGGTACATTCGACACGAACTATACAACTTGATTGAAGGAGCCCTATAAGGAATAGTGTTGCAAATTGTTGAGGCCTTGAACCCTATGAGTGGATTGGCCGCATCCAGGGCTGTCTCGGTAGGAGACGAAGTCCAAAGATTGCTGCGAGCTTACGGTCTGACATGAAATTAGCATAGCCTACTTTTCGTAAGTTCTGATAAAAAGCCCTCATGAAGCCTGTTTAGTATTTTGCATTGGTTCCGATGGAAAATCCTCATTTGGATGTTGGCAAGGAAGCTGCGAAAGACATGTAGGTTTTGATAGTTCCATGGAGCTTCTATTCCCAGGCCTGCAGCCCTATCTGCAGCAACAGGGCTCAACTCAATGACACTCGGCATGGAGACGTAATTCGTGGTAGGTTTCGTCCATGGGTTTTCAGTGGTGGAAACGAGGAGTGTGTCGCAGAGGTGTCAATTTTTTTGATGGTTGCTTTCCCGCAGCTGCAACTGAGTAGGTGATGAGCTCAGAGAAAGGAAGCCTATTCGCGCCATAAGCCCGAAAGCCTGGGATAGCTGCATATCATTGAGATCACTGACGTCCTGAGATGGTTCCAGTTAGGGCTCAGAGCTTGCAGATGCAAAAAGTTGGCTTTTTAGGGGTTTTCAGGCGAACTTTCGTGCTCGACACACCTGCTCCATGTGCCAAGGGTCGGTGTGGTAAAGCAGTACAGCGAGAAGAACGGCTATGGCTTCCTCAACGCAGCCGGCTACCCACAAGACATCAAGTTCAGCCCGGAGCTGAGTTTGCCAATAGGCCAGGTTCGCCTTCGGAAGGACAGCTGCGGTTTAGGGCTCAGGGGTTTAAGGTTTAGGGGTTTAGGGTTTAGGGCCTGGTATTGTAGGATAGGATCCCGAGTCAAGTTCCACATCCGCGGTGCAGGTCAATACGCATGTTGACCTTCGATGGTGTGAGGATTCACGGCCAGGAACACATGAGCAGGTTGTACTCGGGGCAGTGAACCTTTCAGACAGATGGCAGTGTTTGGCTACCATATACATCGTCTTGGGAAAGCTGCACTCCCAAAACAGCAAAGAATAACCCAGAGCCGCCCAAATCGCCAAAATCAGCATGAAACTTCCTCGGCTTCTATAGATCTACATCTATAAGCCCATACTCTGAGCACCTCGAGCTTGGGTACTGCCCCCACTCAGCAACAGTTGGATAATATTCATAAAATAGATATATAAAGACCTTAATAGTAGCCCTATTATAGACTGTTACTGTATGGGGGCCGTACCCAACCTCAAGCAAAGGTCGAACAGAGCTCAGGGGTGCGAGCCCTCTCCCTGGCAGCATCGCTAGCTTTAGCCCGGTGCAGCTACCGGATGGCCGGCTGCAGGCTTTGAATGCAACTCGGGAAGCAGAAAGAGCTAGGCTAGGTCTGGTTCCTGAGAAGTACCTTTTTGCGCTTTTTTGTGCCGAATAGTAGGAAAAAGGGGTACCTGGAATTTTTAAGGGGCTACTCAGAAACCTGGTAGTGTAAGTGATGTAGTGCCACTGTACGACTCGTACTCTTATTATCTTTAGTTTTAGCCCTCGCATGTTTTCTACCATAGCGGTGTGCCAGTCACCGAAGCTACATGCTGGCGCTTCAGACTCGGAGAGATCGAGGTGACCCCAGTTCCGTCTGCCAACTCGCAACCGAGCTTTCCGGCCACAATGTCGGTGTCGCAACTGCAGAAAGTTAGGGTGTAGGGTTCCGGTCTTTGCGGCTTGACGCAGCGGTATTGAATCCAGCAGGACACTACCTAACCGCACCAGCCACCAAAGGCAGCCGCAAAAACACAGGTTATCCTCAGATCTCTCATGTTCGCAATTGCTGACGTAATTTCCGAGCACTTGCACTCCCTGCGGGCCTGGACATGTCCGAACCTCCCCCCCCCACAAACCCGGTCTTTATAGCTAGGGTTCTTTTGCAATAGCCCAGGACCTACTCGGGAAACGGCGCAGACTTGTGTGTTCGTCAGTCAGTCGGTCGGTCAGTCAGTCAGTCAGTCAGTCAGACAGCGTGTGTGTGTGTGTGTCTGTGTGTGTGTGTGTGTGTGTGTGTGTGTGTGTGTGTGTGTTTGTGTGTGTGTGTGTGTGTTTGTTTGTTTGTTTGTGTGTGTGTGTGTGTTGAGTCTCTGTGTCCGTGTCTGTGTGCGCGTGTGCACGTCACGAATTGCATACAACACACGAATAGCTTGCACATGCATGCATGCCTATCACTCCTTTTCTCTTTCGCGCACGTGTATCTGTTATGCCATGCAAGCATCGGTTTCTTCTGCACACCGACTGCAGAGGTACAGGCCTACGTCCCCTCCACAACCCCAAATCACGCAAGGGCGCACGCTCGATCGGTGCATATTCTCCTGAGCGCGAGAAAAGTAAGCAAGCCCACAATATCTACATGTAGTTTGCATAGTAGTTTGCATATATATATATATATATATAGGTATGTATGTATGTGTATATATATATATATATGTATATACATATAAACCCTAAACCCCTACACCTATATGTATATACCGAGGGCGAGAGAGAAAAAGAGAGAGAGAGAGAGAGAGAGAGAGAGAGAGAGAGAGAGAGAGAGAGAGAGAGAGAGAGAGAGAGAGAGAGAGAGAGAGAGAGAGAGAGAGAGAGAGAGAGAGAGAGAGAGAGAGAGAGAGAGAGGGGGAGAGAGAGAGAGAGAGAGTATTAGCAAAACATGCATGTTCTGTGGAGCTGCAAGGCGACTGGCGGACTGGACATGTGGCAAGCAGCAGGCAGCCTGGACCATCTGACCGTGTTTTTAGTGTTCTTTTTCAGGGCTTTGAGTGTTTTGGGTTTGAGAGTTTAGGGGTTTGGGGTTTTGAGGCTTTCCTTTGTTGATGTCCTCAGATGGGAAGGGGCATCTGTATTTGTCGCGCCAAAGCTATAAACTCCCAAATCTCACTTGCAAGTGCGGGTCCTAATTAAGGCGGTTGCTGTTGAAGCAAGGTCACAACCCCCTCACCCCCCGGGCCCAACCACCTCGCCCTCGCGCAAGATACAACAAACAAATCTGCGCATCAGCGCGATTCGGTTCCCTGGCTATCCCGTCCGATTAGGTCTCACTCCCAGATTTGCATCCCTCGTCAAACGAAAAGGCCCTGCTGTGAGGAGTGTTTGCTGGCACACAATCCAAGCCCATGCTGAAAGATGCTTTGTCAACGTTTACACCTCCGAACCTCAAGTTCATGCCCCAGATTTCACGCTATGGGGTTCCCGTAAAGTCGAGATCCCGGACCTAAGACTCTGCTGCACCCCACACCCCCACAAACCTAAACTTGCGACCCGAAACCCTAAGCCCCTAACCTGTGTTGTTCACTTAGACCCCCCAACTACCCTCTGATAATATACCCCGACTACCCATTGTTAAGGGCCGTAAGGGCTCCATTAAACGGGCACTTGGGGAGTCCGGGCAGGCCGGCCAGCCAAGAGACTGAAAACTGCGGAGATGTCGACGGGGCAGTTTACGTCCGGCACCATCAAGACACCGGCTGCCCAAAGCTTTCGGATTTTAGGCATATCTAAGTTTTCTCAAGTTGCAGTCTCTGTCCGGTTACTACACCGAGTTACCACATTGCGGGTTCCTGTAATTGGTTTCCTAGTTTCGAAAGGGCTGGAAAGGTCTTCGGATCTCGGGAAGTGGTTCAGTGGTTGGCGTCCATGTTTGGAAGCTCTGAATGCTTGCGGAGAGGACTCCGTAGGAGAAGGACGTCTATCCATATCCGGGAGAGTCCCAGGTTCGATCAGCATCGAAGCTCATCGCGTAAATTATGATCATATCATATCCTAGACCTACTAAACCCTACCTTTTGTAGGTTCTTATTTTTAACCCTCATATGGGATTTATAGAGACCCTACAAAAAAGTAGGTTCTGGTGGGTTAAGGTAGGTTCAAGAGGCTCATTGAGCGGCGCTGTCGGCGGGAACAGAAAGCAGAGCTGAAAAGCCCGCGAAGCGATTACGCACATCCCGAAAATGTCACCAGCCTGTCCCCTACATATTTCCTGGCTTCCCAGGACTCCGGCATTTCGCCGAAAGCTCCTAGACCTTGGCTTGCAGGGCCCATCACTCCTCGAACTAGTCCAGTGGACAAGGCTTCCAGTACCCAGGCCTAGCCGATAAAGAGTGGAGGCTGCGAAGGTCATTCACCTCTGCAGTAAGGCTCACAGTTGCTCTGGACGTTCGCGCCTTCCAGAGCATTTCAAGTCTTATGAAGAGGTTCTAGGATATATTTTACCAGAACTCTAGCGAGAAACCCCACGGAATTGTGCTACGTATCGTCTCCATTGTAGTTCCCTTTTTTGGTTTAACAAGTTTTGGAGTTAGGGCCCCATTAGGTAACCTCAAGAACCATAATGGAGACTATGGCTAATAGGTGCCACGGCTCCTCCAAGTCGTAAGGGCTGGAGAAGACGCCCTTGAGGTAGCGCCCGAAGAAACTGCTGGCTACCCGGGCTCTTGGCGAGAAAAACAAAGGCTAGAAATAAGGCAAGAACTAAACATGTTGGGGATCATTTTTTGCCCAATATGGGTAATGCTTAGAAAAGTCTTAGAAATAAGCAAGGTAAGAAGACGCGTTGATGGCTTAGCAAATGATGGGAAACAAAGATTATAAAGATTCCAAATTTTCAGCAAAAGCAATCTAACGCAGTACAGAGTGTGCGGCCGGGTGGGTTTGCAAGCAACGCGGGTGCGGCCCGGTATCACAGCAACCCCCCCCATGAGACTGAACTCTAAGCCCTGAACCCTTAACAACGAACCCTCAAGCTGTCTAGCCATTGGTGTTGGAGGAGCTAAGGAGCCAGTTATGATGATAATCCCTACTAAATAAGGAGCTAGAGAGCCAAGGGAACCCCAAAACCATTGGTTAGCTGTGCAGGACCTACAACGGTCTGAAGGGTTTTGGATTCATCATCGCCCCAGGCCGGGAGAGCATCTTCTGGCGTTCTCAGGGAGGTTTCGGTCTCAGGGTATGTAGGGTCTTTGAGGGCCAGGGATTAGCATTTGGGTTAGAAGGGGCCCCCACCCTATAATAGTGGTATAATAGGAATATATTAGGGCCCTACTAGAATCCTTATAGTCACCATTACAGGGTGGGGGCAGCTTCTAACATTTAGGTGCTCGCTTGTTTTGAGTGTCAGCCCAGGTAGTTGCCGAATCCTTCAGCACCAACCACGGAATGCCGGGAGTAAGACACCTCCCGACACATGGGGACCCGGCAGGTTGCACTGAAGACGTCTTCTTCATGCGAACATCTCTTCCAGAAGAGCGCCTCGACAAAAACGGCTACCGAAATTTCATAAGTTTTTGGATCCAACTTGGGCGCACTTGGAAATAACTTTTAGATATTGGTTTTTATAATCCCTAAGAAACAGCTAAAATTATAATGTTTGCTAGGGTTCCAAGTTCAGTATAGCCAAAATGAATTAGGAGTGTCGTTGCCGCCGTATCTGCTGCAGCTGCCGAAGGGGAGGGTGACGACTAAGACGGGCAGGATTAGGATACCAGCTGCCCGACTGTCAGAGCTTCCCGCACCGGAGCGAGATGACGGCACGGATATTCTGGTGTAAGCATTCAGGAGGGAGTAGGGGGGGAAGAACGTGTGAGCAAAGCTTGAGCCCAGAAGAAGCCCCTTCTGAAAACTAAGAAGATGTCCGCAAGGCAAGGGCACGCATCTTGACCCCTTCATGTTGCAGACTAACCTCTTAATTCCAAAGATTCTATTCTGAAAGGCCTTGCGTCCTGAAGCATTTACCGCTACAGGTGAAAAGGCTTTTCTTTAATGGACTTTACACATAGAGGCAATGATAAAGCCCCGAGGAAAGTCTGCAGCAAAGCCTCAACTGGAGGCTCCTCAACCCCAAACCCTAGACTGCCCCCTAAACTCGGGGGCCTCAAAAGGTAGGATGAGGGTAGGCGGGATATTCCCAAATAAGAGTCCTTTTGTAAGGGATCCTTAATCCCACCTACCTTCATCCCACCTTGTGAGGCCTCCGATAAACCCTCGAACTCTGAGCCTCATGGCTCTCCCCTAAACCCTAATCCCTACACCATCCTAATCCCATACCCTACCTGTAGTCTCCATTGTAGTTCCTTTTTTTGGTTAACCAATTTTTATGGTTAGGATCCCAAAATAGAGTTTTGGTTAGCCAAAATCGGAACTACAATGGAGACTATAGGTAATCTCTCAACAGATAGCCCCAAATTCAGCGCGCAGGATCCTCATGGTACCTTCTCTTGCAGTCATTATCAGTAGGATCCTACGATTTAGGGTGCTATAACCGATACCCCACGTAAGCCCTAAACCCCTAAACCCCTAAAACCCTAAAGCCCTAAACCCCTAAAACCCTAAAACTCTAAACCACTAAACCCTAAAACCCTAAAGCCCTAAAACCCTAAAGCCCTAAACCCTAAAAGCCTAAAGCCCTAAACCCTAAAACCCTAAAGCCCTAAGCCCTAAAACCCTAAAGCCCTAAACCCTAAAACCCTAAAGCCCTAAACCCTAAAAGCCTAAAGCCCTAAACCCTAAAACCCTAAAGCCCTAAACCCTAAAACCCTAAAGCCCTAAACCCTAAAGGCCTAAAGCCCTAAGCCCTAAAACCCTAAGCCCTAAAACCCTAAAGCCCTAAACCCTAAAACCCTAAAGCCCTAAAACCCTAAAGCCCTAAACCCCTAAAACCCTAAAGCCCTAAACCCCTAAAGCCCTAAAACCCTAAAGCCCTAAAACCCTAAAGCCCCAAAACCCTAAAACCCTAAAGCCCTAAACCCTAAAGCCCTAAAGCCCTAAGCCCTAAACCCCTAAGGCCCTAAAGCCCTAAAACCCTAAAACCCAAAAGCCCTAAGCCCTAAAACCCTAAAGCCCTAAACCCTAAAACCCTAAAGCCCTAAATCCTAAAGCCCTAAAGCCCTAAGCCCTAAACCCCTAAAGCCCTAAACCCCCTTCCAAAGCCCCGAAACCCCGAGCCGGCTAAGACCGAAAAGGTGCCGAGAGCTGCAGGGTCAGGACCTCCAGGGAAAGAATGCCTCCTGACGTCTTTAGTGCCTTTAGGGTTTGGGGTTTTCGGTTTAGAGTTTAGGGGTTGGGGGTTTGTGGGTTTTCGGTTTAGGGTTAAGTGTTTGGGGTTTAGGGTTCAGTTGAGCGGACTGTTGGGTGGTCTTCCTTTTGGTTTCAGTCGGTGGGGCCTTGTGCTGTGTATAGGGCGTCGCAGCAGTACATTCAGGGTTTACCTTTACCCTCTCCCAACCATGAACTAGGTAAGGAAGGTTATGACTACTTTAATGGGGGTTATAAGTATTACCTCTTTAACTGGGTTTCAGGTTCAGCATGTGTGTTTTTTGAAGCTTTGGTTGCTAACTATAGAGTCTAGCATTTGGCCCTGTAGAGTATAAGCCCCAGGCTTCGACTACTGTAATGTGCTACTATAGTCTATAGTCACACGATGGTCTCAGTAAGACTCCTTCCGAAGCCCAATTGCACAAAGTAAGAAGGAAGAATAAGACAACAAGAAATTGAAAGGGGGCTCTTATAGTGGAATGTCGTGGCATGCCATGCAGTAATAGAAAGCACATAGTTAAAGACAGTGAATCTACCGGTCTTCTATCTACCCATCTACCGATCCATGTATCTATCTATCTGTCTATCTATCTCTGTGTTCCTGCTTTTTTGATTGCGTGTATAAAAATACTTTGTATATGTGTATACATATATATATATATATATAATATGCACATATACATACAGATACATTGTACAAATGTTGTAAAGCACCTTGGTTGTTCAATAAAGCCGCGCTGCCAAGGGGGCTTGAGTCGGTTTTGAGCCACAGCTCTCAAAACCTGACCCCCCTGGGGCAGTCGGCGAGTCTGTAGAGCTCTAATGCCCTAGGGATCAAAATAGCCCAAAAGCCTTATGTAGTATGCTCTTTAGGCCCTAGAGCCTTAATATATGAGTCCTTAGATCCCGAGGGATAGATCTTGTAATTAGAAACCTTGTAAGCCCCCCAAAGCCCCTGTGTCCATATATCTTCAATCAGCCCTTTCCTTACTGGTGCTTCAGAGAGTGGCGGAGGGAGTAGTAGTAGTAGTAGTAGTAGTAGTAGTAGTAGTAGTAGTAGTAGTAGTAGTAGTAGTAGTAATAGTAGTAGTAGTAGTAGTAGTAGTAGTAGTAGCAGTAGTAGTCATATGTGTACCCCATTCCTTCACTCCCTACTAACCAAAGGTAAGAGAAGCGTCAGTCAGTGTCTAGCCATTGGTGTTGGAGGAGCTAAGGAGCCAGTTATGATGATAATCCCTACTAAATAAGGAGCTAAAGAGCCAAGGGAACCCCAAAACCATTGGTTAGGTGTCACAAGCCGTAAGGTCAGCTTCGAGCTCGCGAACACACCGGACGGAAAGCTGAGAGCGCAGAGTATCACCTTGCAGTAGAGGATTTAGGGAATTTAGGGTTTAGGATTTAGGGTTTAGGGTTTAGGATTTAGGGTTTAGGATTTAAATTTAGGATTTAGGGTTTGGGATTTAGGGTTTCGGGTTTTTTCAGGGTTCAGGGCTTTCCAGATGTGAGTCCAGTAGCAAAAACGTTTAGCGATGTAGGGATGAAGGGAGGACCGAACCTGTGTGCCATGGCATGTAGGGGCCTTAAATGAAGGCCAATGTAATTTCCCAAGCTTCCTGCGTATAACAGAAATAGAGTAGCTATACCCGACAAACCTATTCTAGTGATTAAGGAGCCAAGATCAGATCACATACGTACAAAACGTGCATCTGGAATGTAGTTTGCTGAGTTCCTGATGTAGTGTTTGTTCACATGTTAACTACTACTGAGAAGGGTCTGTACTCCGACTGGCCCTGTCCAAACTGAAGGCTTGAGCCTGACATGTACCTGCTCAATATCAAAGCGCTTTGGGAAAACGATCCCGGACATCCTAGTACCGAGCTGTTGCTTCGAAGATTGAGTGCTTCAGGCGTTTCCCGCCTTGGAGTTTTGCGTGTTGGGGTTTGAGGGTTTCGAGCAGTCTAGTAGTGGGGTTTGACTCTAGGGTCTGGGGCTTCCAAATGTCTTGTTTTAAGGAGTAGGTGTTCGGGTTCATTGCTTGCTTTTGAAAAGAGATGCTTGCATGATACTTCGGCATGCTGGCGATGCTATGTCGTGTTTAGCCACAATCACACACACACACAGATGTCCGCGTCCAGATATTCATCTACAAGCTTGCAGGCAGACGTTCACATATCTAGAATTTCTCGTTAAGTCTGTTTCTATGTGGCTGTCCATCGATGCCGTCATATTTACTTGCAGCAGTCATGTTTGAGTTGATCCGTGTTTTCGTCGAGGCTGTGTTTGGTATTTAGTGGCAGGAGCTCAGCAGCAGAAGCACCAACGGAGTATGCACTTTCGCTGACCAGATCCTGCGAGAAGCCGAGGTCGATAAAACAATGTAGTAAGAGTTTTGGCCGGCAAAATTTGGAAGTACCTATAGTCTCCATTGTAGTTCATTTTTGGTTTAACCAATTATATAATTAGGATCCTATAAGGTAATCCCAAAAACGAACTACAATGGAGACCATAGGTAGTCATACCATTATTTGGACTTGCCTTGTTTTGTTCAGCAAAAGGCCGCTGGTCTACCTGAGCCACGCCCTTGCCAGGTGTGGCGGGACATGCCTTACGATGCCAAGAGCGATATGTGGTCCTTGGGCTGCGTTCTTTATGAAATGGTGCGGGCCCAAGGGGAAGTTTGGCTTTGAAGGTTGGGTGGAGGGACTTTGGAGTTCGAGTTCTTGCCGCAACAGCAGCATGAAGCCCTCCAATCCGCCAGCCATCCAATGCCTCAACATACAGGACCCCTACAGGGCTCATATGGAACCCTCAGAGGAGCCCTTGAAGGAAGCCCGGCAGCAGTCCTCATAGAAATCCCAAAACAACCGTCGAGGTAGCTCTCCGACCTCCATTCAGGGCCGAGGATATGGAAGGACTGCCCGAGCCTCAGGGCGAAGGTGCGTGATGGATCAGGGTACTTGGGTTTAGGGTTTACAGTTTCTGTATTCCTTTGTTGCAGACCGCTAGAGGCACTAGAGTTCAGGTTTAGGGGTTGAGTGGTCTTTCCAGGGATCCATACGAATTTAAGAGTTCCTCTAAGGGTTGGTCAAGGATAATTACTCGGTTTGGGGTTTATACGGGTCCTACCAAGGGTTTCTGCCACAGAGCTCGAGCGCGAACCGAAAGGCTTGGTGTTGCAGCCCCCGACCGAAACTTCTCGCAGTCCACACACCTTCGCAGCTGCACACCTACACCCGGGTAGGTAGAATTTGGCAGCAGTATCCAGGAGCTTCTCCTGCATGCAGGTACCACAAAGTGGTTCGGGGCCAATATCCCCGAATACCGGCCCACTACAGTCCGGCGCTGAGCATGGCATCGCAGCCCTATGCCCCCGGACCTCGTAGCATCATGCAGCAGTCTGGTCAGTCTGACAAAGCAGACCCCAAAGCTTGAAAGTTCAAGCTCCGTCCTGCTGCTCAAACCCTAAGCCTCCACATGCTGAGCTCTTAACCCTCAAACCCTGAGAGAAAGGAAGCCAACGCAGCAAGAAGCAGACAACGGTAGACAATGCCTAGGCCCTATGCATTGAAGCGGTCAGAATACTTGGTAGCGTTAGCAGTTTCCCGCTTTCGTCCTTCAATCGGTAGTAGTTATTATAGGGCCGACTTAAAAATGCCATAACCGAGGTTCCATAGGTTCTCAGCTATATTGGCCCGAATATCGAGTTTAGATGTATATACACTGCAACAGACGCGCGCTATGGCGGGTCAAGGTAGTTCTTATCTCGTTTTCGGGCTTTCCGAGTCAGTACTCACGGGCTCAGGGTCTTCACTGTCCACCTGGTCTGTTACGGCAACGGCATAGTTGTATACTGTTTATAAGTTTGTAAGTAAGGTGGCTCTGAGTATGGTTGAGGATGGTGTTGATAACTATCAACTCTGTTGATCGTACTCCTCGTGTAAGCACTCTGATGTCTGCTAGCAGTGTTCGCGGTGCCAGTATGGTGCAGGCATGACTGCAATCGCCGTTCCTCCTGCATGTTAGTAGTACTCACAGAAAACCCAATTGAATGCACAACAAAGCCTGTGTTTCAATTGCATTCATATGCACACCATGCGCATGTGCACATACATACACACGCATATGTGTACACATACACTGCAAGCACAAACACACAACACACTCACTCACTCACTCACTCACTCACTCACTCACTCTGTGTACTTTCCACAGACGCATCGAAGCCAGCCTTGCATCCGCAAAGCCTTGCCACTCCTCGAGCATGGAAGAATACACCAACCTTTCCAAGCCGTCCAGAGGAGCGGATATTCGGAACGTTTCTGAGGCCAAGACCTTGCAGATGTCATTGCGGCACTGCTACAGGCCTGTTGGGAATCTTTGTTGTTTGCTTCTCTTAGGGTTTCAAGTGCGTGGAGAAGAGACGTCATCGGCCCAGAGCCCTTGAAAGCATCGGCCCAGAGCCCAGGTGCACCCGCGCAACCGTCCGAGTGTGGACCAGCTACTTCAGATGCCTCAAATGCTTCGGCACTCTGGTGGGTTGCGGGAGGACCAGGGTTTCTGCCTGGAGCTCTCAAACCGGAGTCATGTGATTTGGGACCAAGTGGATGGGTTTGTCGGAGTTAGTGTTTGTTTTTCGTTTTTTGAAGGTGTCTTAGTCCTAATCCTGGACCCGACACTGGACATTTTCAGCTTCACTACACTCTGAGACTTAGTTCATTATTGCCGTGGCCCCACAGCGACATTCACGACCTTGAGGCCAACCCTAAGTCAACTGCATCTACACTTGGACACTGCGCCTTGTTACTGGTTTCATGCCACTCCCGGCTGGGTATAACTGGCAAGCTCCTGTGACTGAACACAGCGTCTTATTGGGCTTCCTATTTTAAGGGGGTTTATAAGGGAGATCCCTATCCTAATTGTTGCTTATGTGCTTTTTGGGGGCCCTATTTGTGTTGTGGTGAGGATGCGAGGCCCGCTGGAGACCTGTCAGCCCTGCATGTTGCCTGGTTCCAGCCGTGTCTTTTTTCATGGTTCCCCCAAAAGAATATTTCCTACTAAGGGATATAGGTATAGGGCTCTGTCTATAATTTCTAAAAGGACAAGGGTGCGCGGTTCTGCGGCAGCTAACCAAATCATCGCGGCTACCCTTGCTATTTTTTCAGCCCGCGTAATGGTTCTCGCGGAGCATTTGGCCCTGAATGAACCCGAAGACTAGTTTCAAAAGGGTCAAGACGTCAGTATATTTACGGCCCATGAGGGAGAACTTACCGTGCGGAAGTTTCTGGGCTTGAGCGCATGCTACATGAATTCATGATTCCGACTACATAGCCTCCCCATGTCATAGATGAAGCCCCGAGAAGCGAGAAAGTAGAGCAGTCAGTCGTCATGGCCCTCGAGGAAGAAAGTCTCGAAGTCTCTTGTCGGATGAATCCGTATGAAGCTTCTATTTTCGGTGCATCTACGCCAACCCCGCTGGACTCGAAACAGGCATCTTTCAGGACCGCTTAGCCATGTTGACCCATCGACCGATCATCACGCTTGCTTGTTACCCTTCATGTTGCGAGCTTCCGAAAATTAGGGGTACCTTATTTTGGGGTCCTTATAGTAAGGATCCTACTATTCAGGGTACTACAGTAGGGTCCCCCATTTTGGGAAACTCCCATGTTGCGAGCTTCAAGTACTGAGCCAGTACTGAGCTTCTTGCCAGGCTTTCGACGATCAAGTTGCCGAAGAATGCGATTGATCTGACCCAGGCTCAGGTTCAAGGTTTTTCTGCTGCGGCTGAGGGAAAAATAGCAAGAGCTACGGTTTGGGGTTTAGGGAGACGTAGAGAAATATGGATCTGCAGCCGGTGTCAAGCTTTAAAGCACTTAGCGGCTGAGAATTCAATCAGTCTGTGTCATTCCCAGTACGTGTAACTTTCAGCTGCACATTCTGAACCCAGAACCTCTCCAACCTCCACACACCGGAAGCCCTATAAGCCCGACACATCCAGCCTAGGTTAAGGTTTGAAGTAAAGAGCAGCCGCAGGGGCTGACGGCATGCATGATCAGCAGTCTGCAAAATCGCAAGTCTTGGAACTCACTGTTCGGGTTTACCAAGAGCACAAGTTCCGAACTCTTGAAATCACCGCAAAGCAGACTCTCTTTAAATCGAATTTCCTCAAACCGTAAAGTCCCAACTTCCTAAATCCTAGGATAGCTCTTCGATCTATATAGACCCCCCGAACCGCCCTTCCCTTCTGCACTAATATCTACGCATTACTTGGCACCATAAGACCTGGTAAAGTTCTGCAGGGTTCCGAAATGCCTATACTTATACAAAAAACACTATACCCCAAAGCCCAGTGAACAGCATTAAGGCCGTGCTATTCGGTACCGTAAGAGCAGGTCTTGAAATAACTTTAAACTCTAAAAACCTTCGAATTTTACCCGAATAAGTGGGAGTTTCCAAAAATTAAGGGTACCTTGATTGGGGGTCCTTATAAGAAGGATCCTACTGTTTAGCGTACTATATGAGGGCCTCTCTTTTCGGAAACTCCCAAGTTTCAGAAGTACCAAACCCTAGGGATCAAAACAGCCCAAACGCCTTATATACTATGGTATTTAGGCCCAAAAGCCTTAATATATGAGTCCTTAGATCCCGAGGGAACAACCTGAAGGACCAAATGATCCTTAAAAGTAGGGCCCCTATACCCATATACTGTGAATCCCTATATGGTATATGAACCTTAAACCCTTTTAGGGTTCATTTCGTCCTTCAGGAACCAGGTCTAGGAGCTTTGCTTTGGCCGAGGAGTGGCTGCCTTCCAAAACCTCGCTATGCGGAGCTCTGAGCTGCTCCTGTAGATGGATTGAGCCTCCGGGGTTTAGGGATTTAGGGTTTAGGGTTCCCCGGCAAGACTTCAAGAGGCCTGGATGCAAAAGGGTTTAGGGTTTACCTTAACCCGGAATAACCTACATTTTAAGGACTTATATAAGGATTTCATAATAAGAAACCCTAACAAGGTAGGATATTCAGGGTTAAGGTAGGGTTTATAGGGTTTAGGGTGTAGGGAGGTTTTGCGATTTAGGTCAAGTCCTGAGGATTCAGGGATTGGGGTTTCGGGTTTTGCGTGGTTGCAGGCATTAGGGCCTTCAGGTTACTAGAGTTATAGTCATGTAGTTGTTTTGTTGGCTGTGTTGCTTCCTTCTTGGAGGGTTTTCAACATGAGAAGAAACTAACTACAGCTGAGAGTTGAGTTGAGTAGTTATGCACGTTTTGGGTTGAAAATTTGGGTGAAGGCTTCACTTAAGGGTATCTGAATTGAGGACTTTCCGATTAGGGTGGTTGAACCTGAGGCGTTAGCGTTTTTGGGTCCTGAGGTTCAGAGCTGCTCTCCTTGTTGAGATGTGGCGGGGTTCAAGTTAGGGTTTTGCAGTTGCCGGTTTAGGGTTCGCGTTTGGGAGTTTCCGAAAATTAGGGGTCCAAAAGGATCTTACTATTTAGGGTACCATATTGGGGTCCCCTATTTTCGGAAACTCCCGTTTCGGTATGGGTACACCGGAAGCCCTCTGAGGCGAAACGGATTCGAGGGCTCAGTTGTCGCACTTTTTTGTTCCGTTTCCGTCAGGAACCTCAAACCCCTAAACTTGCCCTGAAGCCTAAACGAGCTAACGCAGAAAAGGCCGTTGCACCTTAAAACAAAAAAGCTAAATTCTGTGATATCTGTGATGTGAGACTCGAGAAATTGTGGGAGCTGAAGCCAACTAGGGGCATGAGGGTGACTTAGGCTCCCGACGCTTAAGACGCTTGAGCGGGAGGCTTTCTGCAGAATCGTGCGGCGCAGATCCGATGTTTTCATCCCCTTAAATTCCTATAGACCCTAAAGCCTAAGCCTTTGTCAGACTTCGAAACATATGCCTCGCCTGGATTGTCCGAGTGTGAGCGCGGAAAGCCTAAGCCCTAAACTGTGAGTTCGGTACAAACGGAGAGACGCCGCCTATCTCTCGACCTTCTCTCAATGGCAAGACCCAGGCACCAAGCCGCCGCAAACCCTTGCCAGCACCCTACCTTAAACGACCAAACCCTGCTGTTTTGGAGGTTCTTATCATAAACCTGAGTATGGAATTTATAAGGACCCTACAAAAAAGTAGGTTTTGGTAGGTCAAGGTAAACCCCAACCTACAGGCCCAAAGCCCCAAGTACCAAGCCTGAAACACCCGCAACTCTAAACCCTAAACCCGGCTATGTGGAGCCTTGCCTGCCTGTGCGAGTGTGAGCATCGAAACCCGGTAATTAAGTACCTAAACCTGAAACCCAGAACTTGAAAGCCACAAGCCAAGAGATTTAGGTGGCCTCAGAAGAGATGGGGCAGTTGCCGGAAGACGAAGCGATTCAGGCCACGAGAGTTAAGCCGGGGGGGGGGGGGGTAGGGGGCCTTAATACCCATAGGGGGTAGGGGGAGGGTGGGGGGGGTCAGTCAGTTTCAAGAAAAGGTTTAGGTTTTCGGAAACTCGAATAGCCGCAGCCGGAATCTTGCCGATGTTGCTTCACATTATGCGCGACCCGCGTTCACGACTTACTTTACAAGTCAACACTGAACCACGGTATTGAAGTAGGTGCGTCGCAGGGGTCCAGGTCTAAACAACCCGATAAAGCCTCCAAGCCCTGTGCCCTTGCACAACTTTGCTGAAAGTCCTCGAATTCCAATAGATCCTGATCTAAAGCACCGGAACGTTTCCAGGAGGAGAGCTCGCGAATTCCCAGCCGGCGGCCAGGCGCGTTTTCACGAGGGTTCCGTATACAAAAAGTATGTACACATGGATTTAAACGTGTATGTTTATGTATCAGTCGGTATGTATGTATGTATGTATGTAAGTTGGTAGGTAGGTATGCAGGCATCTTTCCGTACATTGAGGCTATTAAAAGGTTTCTGGAGTCTTCATCGGCTTCTTGAGGCCTTGTTTGTAAGGATTCGAAGTCGCGACCCAAGGACTTAGGCCCCTCCTTTTTGGTCGCTTTGGATTGGGCTGAAGACCCATGTGCGATTATGCATGCGGATGTTTGGCGGTCTGCCTGTCACATGTGTGTTGGGCAACCAGCATATGTTATGTCAGCAAAGCTACCCACACTAACGTTACAACCACTAACAGACAGGTACAGTACCTATAGCATCATACATACGGTCACTCATGCACCTGTAATTACATGTCTCGCCATAGCTGGATGTGTATGACATGTGTATGATATACATATACATATATGCATATTGTACATCTTATACATATTATACATATTAGTGTATATATATATATATACATACATAGGGTTTTGGATCGAGCTCAGGCGAGTTAGGGCCTTAGCATTGCCAACTGCCCCAGTGCCTGCGCGGCACGTCAAAGCCATCGCGAACTCACCGTCTTGGCACCGGCAAGCACGAAAACGTCGTGCCACTGCGAGGAAGCGCATCAAGGCTTCCAGACAAAAAGGCACTCGGCTGCCCAAACGGGAAGTGGCTCTTCTGGAACGGCACCACAGTGCGCCCAAGTACCGAGAACGGCGACAGTCCATGGGAAAGAAGGCCAATCAGCCCTCCCAAAAGCCATGGCCCGCCAAGAAGTGGCAGCATGGAAATGGCTGGTCCGAAGCGGAGTACTATGGGCAGTATGGTGGCTGGGGAACGGAGAAGTCCTACAGCCACTGGAAGGACGAAGAGTACCACTCCTATGCAGCATCCAGTGCCAGAGGAAGTGGCAACGCCCCCTCTACACCGAGCGAGAGAGCGACCGAGCCCTCAGCTGGAGCAGTCCTTGTCCGTGGAGTGCAACGTCTGGTGACGGTTGCAAGAAAGGCGGAGGTCCGAACGAGGAAGGCTACCGAAGAGCGCCAAGCCGCGGACCAGAGCTGGCACAAGTTCCAGGAAGACCTCAAGGTGAAGTTCATCAAGGCTCGCGATGCCTACATGAAGGATGTGGCCAAACTGGACAAGGAGATGGCGGCTTGTGTGGAAGCGCAGCAAAAGGCGTTTGGAGAGCTGCAGGAGGCCATGAACAATCCGCAGACGATCCTTGCCCCTGTCGAGGACAAGCCGACTGCTGCAGCCACGGAGGCTTGGGACAGCCTGATTGGCAGCATCGAGGACAGCGACGAGGAGATGCAGGTGAGTGCTGTTGCCCTCGTCCAGAAGTCCATGCAGGCCATGATGGGAGAGGGCTCCAGTACCCCTCCACCTCGACTGCGCCCACTCATGGCCCCAGCTACACCGCCCAAGTCCTCTACGGCCACTCGGAAGCCCTCAAAAACACCGATGTTGGAGGCAATGCTTGCAGGACAGGGCCCGCCCGGATTTGGGGCAGAAGGCGCATCGCCGGTACGGGCAGATCCGTATATCTTGTCCCCCACCACGAGAATGAGCCTCCCCTCGACACCGGAGCGGACAAGACGATCGAGATCCCGACAGCCCCGGACACCAGTGAAGGAGGTTGGAAGGAAGCCACCTGCCCCAGAGACAAATGGCACCACCCTGCAACAGAAGCTTGCGGAGCGCCGTGGAGCCATTGTGGTGCCCGAAGAGGACGAGGACGACCTCATTGCCGAGCTTGGCAAGGAACCAGGCGACCCGGGCGAGACAAAATAGGTGCCGAAGATGCACCTGAGCAGTGGCTGGTATGGACTATGAACCAGGCTGCTACAAGCCGAGACAGCACACTGTCTCCATGGGATTGGGGTCCCCCGACACTTTGTGGGCTTTTTCGGTATGTCCCACCAAGCTGCCTCACTGATTGGGTTGATGTGAGGCGCCAATACCTTGATGTCGGGCAGCCACCATGTTGCCGTATGATATGGGACGTGTTTGATGTGCAGGAATTGGCCTTCGAAATGTTCAAGGTCATCTCCATGATTGTCCTGCGGTACCTTGAGGAGATCTGTATGTGTTGGGCACCTACAATGTTCTTCACGGTCCTTACTGCCCAGATCCTACTGCTCCTGTGGTACATGAGATGGTATTGCCCAATGAGAATCAGTAAAAGTGGCCAAGTTCGGACACCTACATGGGCAAGAATGCTTTTGGGCTTTGCTGTCATCGGCAAAGTTGCAGCTGGCCCTCCCTCACGGTGGCAAAAGCCCAGCGATCTGGATTGGTGGCGAGACGGACTTCAAACTCCGGCAGAACATGCTAGAGCTGTCGAAGCTGTTATGCAGTTGAATAGCCCGCTCCACAGCCAAGGGCTGCTGCCGCCTAATGTTTATGAAGCTGGCCCGCCCCGTGTGCCGCCAGAGCCACCGGACCCTCTTGATGACGATCCAGGCGGTGATGATCTAGCAGAGCACCAACTGACCGATGATGAGGCCCCCCGAGCTGTACATGTGTCAGTGTGGATTGCCACACCTCACAGTGAGCCGGAAAGTGTTGATGTCGGTTTAGCCTTTCCTTTGACACTCAATGGCTTGTTTGACGTTGCCCGCGAGTCTGTCAATGCTATGTCTGAGAGATGGCTGAGCTCAGTTGTCGCAACCAGGCCACAGCTTAGCGAAGATTATGCCAGCCTGCTCCTCCTCCCGGAATGGGTACATGACTCAGACAAGACAGCGATTGTGCTGGATGCAAGACCTGCAGGCCGTGGAGTACACGCATACTATGTGCAGGGTGCAATCACAAGGTATGCGGCCCTGCAAAAGATTGACATCGGCCCTGAAGAGCCCTACGAAGTTTTCATTGGTGGAGATTTGGCTCCTCTTGGGCACCAGAGCACCAGGAATGCGACACAGGGCCTCGTGCTACAGGTCCTCCCGCGTGGCCAAGTTGTGGAGTGGGCAGGCCACCTCGAAGATCGACTCGATGATCCAGCTCGTTGGAACCCGGAGTCCGAACACCCGGCTCTTAGAGAAGGGAGGCTGATCTCGTTTCAGTCTGCCACAGATCAGTTCATGTACAAGGCCAACCGACGTGACAACATGCAGCCCATGCAGGTTGCAACTTGGGCCTTCAATGTCCAAGAAAGCCAAATATGGTTACGAGCCCCTACGGAGCGTCCCCACAGACTGTGTTGGGCAGGCCACAGAGTGCACAGTGTCATTGCGGTTGTTGATCGTGCACTGTTCCAGCCGGCCGACACTCAGATTGTCTTCCTGGACCTTCGAGGTATTGGGCATTGGCCGCAATGGGTTGCAGTGCAGGACCACCTTTTTCATGCTGGTCTGTATGTTGAGAGCCTTCAGATCGAGGTGATCCCTGAGTACACTATTGTTGTCAGAGGAGGAACCCCACATGGCAATGAAGGGCATGTATGGGTTGCTGATGGTGACACCCTCGACATACACTTCCAGCGCGTCGCAGACCTCACCCCGTCACCAACCAGTCATGGCTCAGAAGGGTCGGAGGAGTCCAGCTCTACAAGAGACGCCCTCCCTGACTCCTCGGATTTATCTGGAAGTCCACCAAGGGGACCAGGTCCATGGGGTCCGCCGCCTCCAAGACCCGTCAATCAACCGAGGTCTGCCAGTCGTTCTCCTCGTAGACATGCCCTGGCTGGAGAGGAGCCACCAGTGCCGGTTACGATTTGCCTCGCCAATCAGATCCCGGTGCCTGTCTACGACCTCACCATGGAAACCCTTGAACTTCCTGATGTCCCTGCTTCGTGGAAGGATTGTCCTACCCCGTGGCCACTCACTTGGCTTATCGGTGATATCAGTCAATTGCCACTGAAAGATGTGACGAAGGCTGCCATAGATACTACAGTCGATTGGCGTGCCCTGCTGTCCAAACCACGAGGAGCAGAAGAGCTTCATGTCCTCCTCTATACCGACGGCTCCGCCAACCAACAGAATGGCACCAGTGGTTACGCGGTTACGATCCTGCTCCGGATTGGCACCTGTCTCGCCCTCTTTGGCCTGCTAAGCGAGCAACTATGTGGCGACAGTACCACTGCATGGCCTATCGCTGCTCCTGCAGCCCTTAGAGCTGAACAAATTGCTGTCACAGCTGCCCTTTTGTGGGTCTTGCAGTTTCGCTCGATGCTTGGACAATTCCACTGTGAGATCCACTTCGACTGCCTCACGGCTGGATATGCAGCTACGGGACAATGGAAGGCCCCAGACGAGTTCGGCCAGAAGGCCCACCATCTCGAAATGTACCTACGTGCTCAACCTGGCATCGAACTCTCCATGGGACACGTGAAGGCCCACGCCTCGTGCCCATGGAACGAAATGTCCTGGCCGATGTACATATGGAGCACCACCTCGTCATGTCTGTCAGGAAATGCAGACCCTTGACCTGGCATGGTTGGTTTCTGAGGTCCGGGCCCAACAATGTGCGGCACTCCCAATCAAGCAAGGAAGGTTGACGTGGAAGACCTTTCGTGATGATGGTTTCCGCCTGAACCCGAGCCAGCTCGTGCCCACAGTCAGCCGAGATTCCTGTTCAGCCGCCCAGATCCCCAGGAACTTCGACATGCAGGTTGCCGTTTTGAATGTCCAAGGCTTTGGAAGGAATTATGCCTACCTTGAGGCCCAACTTGATGAACTCGATTCTCAGGTTGTCATGTTCCAGGAGACCAAGGCCCCTGGTGGAGTCATCCGCACTCGGAAGTACATCAGACTGGCCACTGAGTCCCTTTCAAAATGGGGTGTTGCAGTTTGGATCCACCGTGTCAAGGGCATCATGTACCTGAATGAGAAGGCCACCCTCGTTGATGAAAACGATGTCCTTGTCGTCGATGAAAGTCCCAGGTTACTGGTTCTCCGTGTGACCTGTGCTGGTGTCAGACTTGGTATCATTGCAGCGCATTGCCCGCACGAAGCGAAAGGAACTGAGTGTTGGGATTTCCTCGATCGACTTGAAAGGGGAGTGAATCAGGTCAAAAAGGATGACATTGTGGTGCTGGGGATAGACCTGAATGGACGGGTCCCTTGTGGAGTTGAGGGGACCACAGGCCCGGTTGAATGTGGAACCCCTGACGCCATTGGCAGAAAGTTTGTGAAGCTGATGGCGTCTACGAGAATGTGGCTCCCATCCACGTACCGACATCTCCACGAAGGTATTGACACCACATTTGTGCACCCGTCTGGCAGTGAGCACCGCATTGACTTCATCGCTGTCGGAGGCCGTGCTGTCAGCACGGCGGCCAAGAGCAGCGTCCACTTGGACTTTGATACGGGATCTCCAAGGGAGGACCATCGTCTTGTGGTGTTGCACATGAAAGGCATGATCGCTGGTGGCCTGAGCCGTGCGGCCCTCTGGCGCCCAGTTTATGACCGCGACAAACTTATGTCCCCGGCAGGCCAGGAGATCCTAGCTGAAGCATGTCAAGCTTTTGAGCAACCAGCGTGGAATGTGTCACCAGATGAACATTGTAACCTCATCCAGGAGATGTTGCATGCCACTTTGCAGACTCACTTCCTTGCCGAAAAGCACGCGGCCAACTCCTCATACATCCCTCAAGAGGTATGGGAGCTCCGCAGGGCCAAGACTAGCCTCAAGAAGGCCACTCGTGGCAGAATCAGGCTATGGAAGGACCTGGTAGACTGGGCCTGGCAGAAATGGCGAACTGGAGCTGAAACTGGCTTACTGAACCTCATCAGCAAGCAGGGGCTCCTGTACCAGATAGCTGCTGCAGCAATCCGGTATGCCACGGCCCGTATCAGTGCTGATGTTGCCAAGGCCAGGCAAACCTTTCTCTCAGGGATCCTGCATGAAGGGCACCAAGGTGCCGGACAAGTGCTACGCAGAGTATGTGCAGCTGGAGTTGGTGGAGCCAAGGCCAGGCAAAAGAAGAGACCCCTACCGGCTTTGTTGCACCCGAAAAGTGGACAGACAGTTGGGCATCGTGAAGGATATGATCAGGTTTGGCTTGAACATTTCGGTGGGCAAGAGCAGGGAGAAATTCTCCCCACGGACTTACTGATCGAACAAGCGGCCCAACCCATGCCGACCGAGGATGTCACGTGGCATAGTGATTTCTTGCCAACACAGGCTGATGTGCAACAAGTGCTGCGGGCTGTTCCGAGGAGAAAGGCAGCCGGCCTGGACAACTTGCCGGGTGAAGTCCTCACGAGTGGGCATGCGGCTTTGGCCGCTGTCCTTCACCCCCTTTATGTCAAGGCCATGTTATTGGCCAGACAACCGCTTCAGTGGCGTGGTGGCATATTGTACGAGTGCTACAAGCAGAGTGGCAGCTGTCAAGATGTCGCGAATTTCAGGAGCTTGTTCGTGAGCAGCATGGTCGGCAAGTGCTACCACAAACTTGTGAAGAGCAAAATCCAAGCTCAAACACAGACAGCCCTGCACCCTCTCCACTGTGGCCCACGGCAAAAGGCACCAGTCCTCTTCCCGGAGCTTTACATCTTGACCCATGTTCGCAGATGCCACCAGAAAAAGCTGAATTATGCAATACTCTTCTTGGACACAAAGAGTGCATACTACAGCATTGCCAGAGAACTCGTAGTTGGTGATATTTGCCTGGACCAGACGGTCATCAAGGTGCTACAGCGGTTCAATCTGGGGCCAGAAGACCTGCGAGAGTTGATGGAGGTGATCAGTGGTGGAGGCGTTATGCAACAGGCTGGCGTGGAGCCGGCACTGCGGCAGGTCATCCGCGACCTCCATTACCAGACTTGGTTTACTCCGCGGTTCGCGGATGGAAGCCGGGCCTGCCGAACGTATGCGGGCTCCCGGCCAGGCGAGAGCTTCGCTGACACTGTTTTCGCTTGGATTTATAGCAAGATCCTTTGCTCCATCTACGAAGCAGCTGCTGCAGAGGATCTCGCATTTGCCCTGCCCTATGACGCTGCCACTGGGGCATTTGGCAATGGGCGAGAAGGTGTTGAAGAACAGTCCTGGGACGCCACCTGGGCAGATGACAGTGCCTTTCCGACGGCTGCTACAACATGCGAGGAGGTGATTCGCAAAGCTACAAGACTGTCGGACGTCGTCATTGGGACTTGCTTGGCACATGGCCTTGTACCCAACATGAAAGTTGGGAAAACCAGCATGATCCTCTACATGCGTGGCAAGGACACGGTCAAGGTCAAGCAGAGGCTTTTTGCTGATGGGAAGCCGGTGTTAAAGTTGCCGGAGACTGGTCAGACAGTACCGTTGGTTCCTCAATACAGACACCTCGGAGGCTTTGTCGACATCAACAATACGATGATGGTTGAAGCCAGGCATCGGGTTGCCATGGCTGCCCAGGCTTATGACAAATCGGCTAAGCTTCTCCTCAACCGGAGGGATCTATCAGTTGAAGTTCGTGCCGGGCTCTTCCACATCAATGTCACCGCTTCCTTCTTTAACGTCGCTTTGTGGGTGCCAAAGGGTCGAGCATGGAGCCTCATGAACAATGCCTACTCCAGGCTGGTCCGACGATTGCTCACCCCCCTGGTGAAAGGCGACCGAATATTTCATGTACCGCTCATTGCCGCGCACTTAGCCACTGGTTGTTGGTGCCTTGACTTAGTTGCAAGACGAGCCCGCCTCGGGCTCTTGACTTCTTTGGTTGCACACGGACCGGACTTGCTATGGGCAGCACTTCAAGAAGAACAGAGTTGGCTTCTGACGGTGCAGGATGACCTACGCTGGTTTGTTCGGGACAACCCAGATGCATGGCCGCAAGCCAATGCAGCCGATTGGCCCAACTGGTGGACCCGTCTCAAGGAAGCACCTGCCACTTTCAAAAAGCAGGTTACCCGGAAGCTCAAGGCAGACCATGCGAAGACCTGCGAGCAGGCAATGGTTGATTTATGCCACTGGAGTCTCTACAACATGCTTCCCCTGCAGCGAGCTCCAGCCCAAGAAGATAAAGTTTGGAAATGCTGGATTTGTGATGTCAAGTTCAGCACAAAAGCCAAGCTGAGTGTCCATTTCTTCAAGCGGCACCAGAGAGTTGCTGAGTACAGGAAGTATGTCCATGGGACGTTCTGTGCCGGCTGTGGTACAGAATTCTGGACAGGCAGGAGACTCATGGCTCACCTTCGTTCCTCAACGAGGTGTGTCTCAGCTCTCAAAAGTTGCGGAGGACCGGTTTCCAAGATCCATGCTGGTTTCGGCAGTCGGCAACAAAGGAAGGAGGATGTAGAACAGTACACCCCGGCAGTCCCAGTTCAGACGGGGACACCACAGCCGGCCGGTTCTGCTGGCCAGTGGAGCTGTCAGCAATCGCAGTTGTACGAAGTGCTTTGTACGATTGCTTTTGAATACAGTGACCCTGACTCCTTTCATGACCGTGTCTGCCGGGCATTGAGGACTCTCCCGCTTTACCCAGATGAGATTGGTGCTGTCTTCGAGTTCCTTGAAGCTGAAATGAAGTTTCTTGTTGAGCAGGATACGGACCCCATTTGGAGCAAGGAGACCTTAGATCACATCCATGTGATCTGTGGACGGATATGCGACTGTGGCGCACAGACGAGTCCGACAACCACACACCTGCCCCCGCGCCAGGAGACCTTTGAGGAGTTCCAGCGCCTTCTACAGGAGCTGGACTGGAATCAGCTACTGGCATCGATCCAAGCCGAGCACGGGACCCCTCCTGAAGTCTTGTGTCTACCAGCCAACTGGGAAGCTGAGTGGAAAGCTGGTAGGGAGACCCAAGGAAACTCAGCCGTGCTAGATAAGCCTGCCACAGCGCTCCCACAGGTCCTACAGCAAGCTTGGACAAGGGTAGCAGCGGGCATGGCAGTTCAGCTACAGGCGCCAAAGGCGTTTTGGAGCCACAGCGTGGCAAGGCCATTTGTGCCGCTGCGCAACGACCATGCAATTAATTAGGCGGCGTACACCTCTGATCGCAAGCAAATGGCAAAATATACATACATGCATAGGTGTTTTTCATCTGTATTTATGGAGAGCGAGGGAGGGAGAGAGGGAAAAGAGAGAGAGACAGAGACAGAGACAGAGACAGAGACAGACATGCATGCATGTGGCTGTTGCCCAGCTGTTCTGCATGGCCTGGTCTCTTTTGTCCTTGCACCTATGCAGCTTACCTACCCTAAACGTGAGAAACCTAAACCCACCCGTACCCTATTGCACAGAGGATGGGATCCAGGGCTGGGGGTTCGTGGGTCTAGGCCATCATCTTCATCCATGGCCTACGACCCCCCTTAAGGACACTGCTAATTGAAGCACAGAAACAGACACCAGGTGAGCCCTTACAGCAACCCACAGTAGCTAACCCACAGTCTTGAAGCAACAGAGATGCTTACTATAGAGGCCTAAGTAATTACCCATACTATTTTTGGGGGCCCGTATTTAAATAAAATAGCACATTATTTTTTAAAAGATACTTATTTGGGGGGCCCCTTATTTAAATAATAGTATATAATTTTTAAAAATGATACTTACATGAACCCCTGTAGAGCGCTTTGGAGACCCTGTGAGGCGACAGCCAAGGTCTCCCTCCTTTGCCTCCTCCGCGGGGCGGTCGCCAGAAGCTCAGCGCTTTTTGCCGGCGGGGAAGTTGAAAGTCCGGAAGGGATCTCAAGGGATTTATAACTGTTCCTCAGGGTGTTGGACCGTGGAGTTCGCCGTGTTAGGCTTTCAGCATTTCACGGCTTGTAGTGTCCGGATTTGCACTTGGGGCTTTCGGTTGAGGGGATGTCTGCAGCCGGAGTCAGCTGCCAGAAATACATTCAAAGCTGCTCCGTCCACCGGCCTTTGCCGTCACCGTTTCTACACGGAATACAAGCCCTCAGCCCTGATCTGACAACCCTTAAACCCTTAACCCTTGCCTGGACCCCCAAAAGTATGTAGAATATTAGCTCTCTATAGGTTTTGGCCATAATTTAGCGACTTTTGGGGGTCCAGGTACAAACCCTACTGTAAACCCTAACCGTCAGCTTCAAGCTGGGCTCGTCCTTGCTAGGTATGATGGAAAAAGACTGTAAGGCACTATCTTCCGCGGCCCAGAGTTTTCTCTTGCAGACACAAGGCCCTAAACCCTAAATCCCTAAACCCTGAAGCCTAAATCCATGTACCTTACATCCCGAAAACTCATAGACCCAACATCCTTAAACCCTAAACGCAAAAGGACAACCGCTTTTCTGGACTCCAAACCTTTGGCGGATGGAAAAAGGCGAGTTCAAAAAAAGAAAAACGCAAAAGAGCTTGGAGGAGGAGGGCGGCCCACCGCCGAAGAGCTGGAGGTTCGCGGCCGAGGTTTTTCCAGAAAGTCCAGCATACGTCAAGGGTTCATGAAAGAGTTGCTATAAGGGTTCTATAAGGGATAGAGCTTCGAGGGCATACCCGATACCAGTTTCCAACTCTGGTTGCTTCCCTCCTTCGGTTTCTCAATCCTTTTTTTCTGCTTTGTCTCTACCTCTCTTTGGCTTTTGCCCTCGTGCTGTAAGAGCGCTTATCTCCCATCATGTGCTGTCAGCAAGACCCAGGAATTATATGGGAGTTTCCGAAATTAGGGGTACCTTCTTTGGGGTGTCCTTATAATAAGGATCCTACTATTTAGGGTACTATATCTGGATCCCTCATGTTCGAAAACTCCCATATGCATGTACCGTCTAGTACATTTAGTCGGCGCCTGTTGTCTTTTGGGGTCTAAGAGCCACTCTGAAGCATGGTAGGCCGCTTGGATCTTCGAAAGGCGTAGCTTAGAAGCCACGGATCCAGAAGATGTGCTGAACCCAAGGCTGCAAAGCTCTCCAAAGGAGGGCCGCAGGAGTGAAGTGAATAGTTGCTTATGAGGCCGAAGCATTTCTTCCATATACGCTCAGTACAACGGCTGCTCACAAGAGCTGTACACCAGCTAGCAGTTAGCCGGAGGCCAGAGGTTGGTGGTTCCTAAGAGGGCACTGCTCCAGAACTTCAGAGCGCTGCTTTGCCATGGCCTGTGGGAATGGGTGCAGCTCAACCATGCAGTCCATGCTGCGTGCATCGCGGCGAAGACTCAGGGTCGCCCATGCCTCGAGTCCCTCAGCCGCAGTTTGCGTAACTGCACAGATAATGACTGTAGTCTCCTTAGGAATAATTTTCTGTCTGTGTTCAAGTAATAAACCCCAAGAGAATATTAAAAGTATTATTGTTATTATGGTTCTAAGGAGGGTATAGATGAATGCGCTGGCTAGCGCCTTTTAATGCGGATGCCGAACAGTTCGTTGGGTGAGCCATCTCACCGGCCAGTTCATCAACAAGAAACGAGATTGTTCCGCGAACGGAGCGTTCACAGGGAAAGTGCAAAAGTCTTGGCCTGTATAAGATCATTCTTGCAAGTATTTGGGGCTCCAAACGCCGGCCTTGTCGATCATGGTAGGAATGCAAGCTGGGCTGAGAATGCAATAATTCATGATACAGCAAGGGCTGCATTCTGCATTCCGGCCTGCCATTTACCAACCCTGAATCTTTCTAACAAGACCTCCCGTCCCTCAACTGTCAAGCTACCCTCCAGATGGGGTCGACATAACCTGGCAAACCAATTGTTGCGCATGACATGCCTTGCTCAAGGGCAACGGTCACCGCAGCAAGACCTCTGAATTTCTAATTTTAGGCACGCTGAAGCGGCGCAGTGCCTCAGAGAGGGCTGAGACCCTGTCACTGACCGAGTACTGCAGGACTCAAGCCTCATCTAATTCGGTACAATCCATGCCTCAACCCTAGCCAGTCTAACCCTATGCCCTATGCCCTGAAGCTGAAGCCTTAAGCCGCAAATTTTCGCCAGGAGGTCGAGTCAGAGGGTACCGCTTTGCAGGCGCCTCTTCCCGGCGGCTTGCCCCTCGCTCGGATTCGCAGAACCACGAAGAACCGGCACTATCGGTACTTGTGGTCGGCCAATGTTTCGTTTTTTTTGCATTTTGGGGGCTTGAAGTTGGTCCTTGCTACGGCATGTGTTGTGGCCAGGTCGTGTGCGAGCTGTTGACATTGCTTGCAAGCGTATTGCTGAGCACAGCTGAAGTCGATTGCAGCAGCACTTCACCACCCACCTACCCCGCTACGACCACAGCCACCACCTCTGCTGGAGCAATAGCTCCTTTACACTGTTCTCAGCATGTCGCCGTGCCACCAAGTGCATGAAGAGTAACAGTAGTCGGCGAATCTCGCAAAAGATCAGCCAACCAACGTCACTGGCAGCAATGGTTCTTCGGAGCAATGCCCACTGTGTTATCGAACAGCAAGAAAAGCGTATGATGTCTCAGGCAAGTGGAAGGAGCTACCCTGCCCAAGCGCCTGGATCGGAAAGGCATACCCATCCTACACCGTGGTGTGCCTGGGGCCTGAAGTTCTGACATCATTAGCTAACCGCCGTTGTTTATGCTTGTCATCGTGATTGTCGTTTTGGCTGGTGGTGATTCAATAGTGTTGCTGCCGTCGTAGCTGGGGTTGCTGCCGTTGTTGAAGTGTTGATGGTTGCTGTTGCTTCTGTCTTTCAGCCTCGTCTGTTCAAGCCATGGTGCGGATATCTATTCTCAAGGAGGCCTCCTGTGTTGCATGGTTCTTCCCATCTTGGTGCTTTCGCGGCGTCTGCTCTTGTCGGCATACCTGCAGTGCCTGCATCCTGGAATTCCTATCCGTTTGCAGAGTGGTTACAGCTGCTGCAGCCTTAGCGCATGCGTGTCGCTTTGTTGCTTCTCCAGTTAACCCCCAGTTGATTCGGACCGGCCCCTTCATGAAACCTCGGCCAACTTTATAGTTCCAGTCATGAGTCAAGGAACTGTCAGAAGGAAGTGCCTCGCACAAAATCACGCGGCTTGGCCAGAAATGATGGTTTTTTTTCAGGAATGTTGGAGAGCTTAGAGTTCAGTGTTTACGGCTTTAAAGTTTCGGGCTCACTGGGGGTTTTTGCATTCCGGATGTAAATGGGGGTTGAGCAAGAACTACAGCCTGAGGCTCTTAGCCTATAGTAGCGAGAGTCATATTCTCCATAACCTCTTGGCTACGTCCGCAGTCATACTGGTATCATGTCCCCTGCTTGCCCAAGGGTAATAAATTTTCACATACCTGTAGAGCTTACCGTCTTGAGAATCCTGTAGCTCGGGCAAGGGTTGTTGAATCTTCTCGAAGCCGCCAATGCGCTGCATACCATCTACAGGCTCGCGTGTGCAGATTGCTCTAAATCTCTTTCAATCTGAATCCTTTGGGTGGGCATTGCTATACTCCGGTAGACAGCTGTATGGTGTCACGTGTACGGAGTGGCACAAACGGCGCGATACGGGCATCAGAAATCCGGACAATTGAGCAGATCATTGAGAGTATTTTTTGCAATGGGTCTGTATCAATATAGTTGTGTGCAAACACTGCATGTATGCAGCGTGTGTGTATGCATATGATTACATGTGTATGTGTATATATATATTTTTATATATATATATATATACATAGATATCCGTCTGTGTGTGTGTGGGGGGACTGCGTACGTTACGTCTATTTTCTGCTTTGTATGTATATGTTCTCGGCATATATGCATGCATGTTTGTTGGTATGTTCGTATTTAGGTATGTATGCATGGCAAATGTATGCATACATGCATGCATGCATGTATCTAAAGTATGGACAACCCGAGTCTCCCGTTGGCTGGCAAGCCTCGATTGCATGACAAGCAGAACAGCAGCAATACCCGCAGCACAAAGCAACAGCAGTATGAGTAGTGATATATGATGTATTACTGATGGCAGGACTAGTCTTTCAGACAGTGTTGTGTTCTGCCATTAGCAACATTGCCAGCAAATCGGTTTCACCTGGCCTCACCTCTAGTATCAAGAACGCCGCGTTAAACCTGCTCCAAATTTGTTCAATCTCCCTCACTGCCCGGAATTTCCCTTAAAAACTGCTGGCGTCAGGTTTGCAGATGATGAAGGGGAAGCTGTGGAAGAGGTTTGGGAGATTGACAACACGAAGCCCACTGCAAAACAGAAGCTGAAGAAGGCCCTGAAGGCACCGCGCACTTAGCAGTCATGGAGTTCAATCGCGACGACACATCCGCCAATAACCAAGAACAACCGGGACCAGAACAGCAACGAGCACAGCACAACTAAATATGACAGCAGGGTTACATCCGAACGGGAAGTGCATGTGCCTGGATCTGTCTCGACAGGGAATTCAAGCAAAGTTGACCCTGACACGGGGCGTTAATCGTGAGAGCTGCACCCCGGCTGCAGCTTCATTGCTATCCCCAAGGTCGATGTCCATGCCGTCAAGCGACTCGAATCCTGTGGCTGCCTTGCGCCAAGGACTCACCCTGCAGGGCTCTTGCCAGCGTCTGACATGCGTATATGTAGATTCGGGCATGCACAATTCGATGCGGCCGTCTTAGTGCACGAGCTGCTCCCGCTTGGCAAAGCCAAGTCGAGAGCGAAACCACGAAGCCGACCGCAGCACGATGCAAAAAAACCGTGCAGAAAGCCATGAAATAAGGTTCCAGCAACCAGAGTCGCTTCTGGAACAACTCATTGGAGGGCTCACAGGCTCGTGGAAGCGGGGCGTGGGACAGACTCTTTCAGGTGGATAGCCTGGATGCATACCTTCAGCAGCGGGACAAGGCATGGCGGTTAGCTTTCAGGACTCAAGCATGTTGCTGTATAGGCATGTGGTGCACGCAGGATTTTCTCAGTTGCGCACACTCAAACGTGAAGGAACTTGACGACGGTGTTAAAAAAATATGCCTGTGATCATGATCATGACGATGTTTCGGAGAGGAAGTGGGGCTGTTGCAGATGACTAGTGACTAGGGGTAATGACGGCCACGATTGTGACGATGATGCCTGCGAAACATTGTTTATGGATTTGGCTATGAAGGTGCCTTATCAGGACGGCGATGGTGCTTGCAGTAGTGATGCTACTGCCACACGCATGGGACGGTGGCAGTTGGTGCGGTAGTCGTGGTCGGATCTCTACAGCAATGCCGCTCATGCCTAAACCTTACCCAACTCCGAACACCCTGAACCCAACAGTGGCATCTGATCATCATAAGAACCTTGCCATGCCTCTGCGAAGCCTACCCCGTATTGGCTCTGAAGGATCTACCTTCGCCTTGTATCAAGGCTCTCGTCCAGTCATCCTCCAGAGATGTTCGATGGTGGTACTTTACTGGCCTGGGAGTCCTTCGTGTAGCCTTGTATGGGTTTACAATCAACCGACCAGTCACCAAGAACCTCGCATGGCTCGGTCGTCCGAGATTGAGCGCCGGAACCCCCAAACCCTTAACCTGAACCTGTATGGGTGATTGTCAAAATTAGGGGTCCCTTTTTGGGTCCTTATTAAAGTACGGCGCCTAATATTTAGGGTGCCCAAAAAGGGACCCTAATTTTGAGAACTACCCGTATAGTAACCCTCGTCCCCTGACTGCTGACACTGGGTCGGGCGTTCTTGGCTGTCCGGCTCCCACACCACGCAGCCTCAACTTTGGGAATGATGGTATATTAAGGGTAATGCAGGATTTATATCATCAACCGTTGGACCACTAAGCTCGAGTTACAACCCCGTGGGCAGGCCACCGATCTGGTCGATCGCAGCCGCATGTCGGAGCCTTGAACGCCGGGTTTGGGTGAAAATCGCGTGGTGCTTACAAAGCACGGGGCTTCTCAGGGGCCCTGTTTCCTACAAACCTGCGTGGGGATGTCAGTTTTTGTGCACTCAGTGCATCTTGCCTTCAGGCTAAATTCATAAGAGGCCAAAAGGGGTTTTAGCCTATGGGGGGTTTAGTGGGGATTTGGGGTGGGGATTAGGGTTCCCATAATAGGGTTCATATTAAGGGATCCCTACCCCAAGAATCTTAAACCCCCCCGCTTTTGGCCTCCCATCATAAATCCCCGAAACCCGGAGAGTTCTGAGGCCAGAGAAGAGGCCGCTGATCCCCCGAGCACGGGAGGCGCCTGGTCTCAGTATCAGCTCCTCTTTGGCTCTTTGGGCTTTTGGGGTGTAACGGTTTAGGATGGTTTGGAATTCCGGCTTCAGGGCGAGGGGTTTGGGTTGAGGGTTTGGGTCTTTAGCTCTTTAGGGTGGTTTAGGGGTTACAGGTTTGGGGTTTCAGGGGAAAGGGTTTCGGGATTCAGGGAAATTCAGGGTGTGGGGTGTTGTCATCAGGGTAGTCTAACAGGGCACGCGCTACTATGAAGGTGCATGCCTTTGGGGTTAAGGGTGGTGAAGGGTTTAGGTTTTGGGTTTTGCCGGGCTTGACGTTTCGAATGCCTGGGAGAGAGAGGGAGAGAGAGAGAGAGAGAGAGAGAGAGAGAGAGAGAGAGAGAGGGAGAGAGAGAGAGAGAGAGAGGGCTTGAGGCTCTACTTAGAGGAGAGGATCATGGGACTTAGTAAGTAGGTTATAACTGGGGTTATAAGTCCCCTATTAAGTGGGGTTACCTTAATTATAGCCTACTTATAACCCTACTTACTAAGTCCCATGATCCTTTAAGTAGCCTTGGTTTTGTCAGTACTGTTTTTTTCAGGAGCAATGATATTTGCGACTGTGTGCGGCCCCGCCTCACTAATAGTGGGCAGAAACGGAAGCACAAGATGAAGCACCAGGGAAATGCTGAAATGTTGACTCGTTTGTGATCATGCTCGCATGAATGGAAAACGCAAGATTGAGACAACAAGTAAACTGCCACCCCATGAGTTGCAAACACAGTCACACCCCTATTGTTTTCTCGGATTCGATCTTGAGCAAACATCAGGAGCTGCAATGCCTCTGCGCGACTAGGGGGGGCGGGGCGGGGGGGGCTGGGGGTGCTGGGGGGGGCTGAGGGGGCTGGGCTGGAAAGCTGAACGGACGGGGGGGTGGGGGGCGGGCTGAGGCCGGGCCGGGGTCTGGCCTCTTCGACCAAGTTTAGTACTGAGAGGCGTACCCGGGCGCGACATTTCGATCACAGAAACCTCTTTTCTGTTGTGCTTTTCTTGTGCTCGACGCGGTCCGATTGTGCTTTTTTTTGTGCTTTTCTTGTGCTCCAAAAACCAAACGTGTTTGTATGTTTGTGCTTTGTTTGTGCTTTTCTTGTGCTCGAAACGATCCGGCTGTTGTGCTTTTCTTGTGCTCGACGCGGTCCGATTGTGTTTTTTTTGTGCATTTCTTGTGCTCCAAAAACCAAACGTGTTTGTATGTTTGTGTTTTTTTGTTGTGCTTTTCTTGTGCTCGAAACGACCCGGCTGTTGTGCTTTTCTTGTGCTCGACGCGGTCTGATTGTGCTTTTTTTTTTGTGCTTTTCTTGTGCTCCAAAAACCAAACGTGTTCTTGTTGTGCTCCATGAAGTCAAAACACATTGGCGCGCGGCAGTTCTGGTGCAAAATTGTCTCTGTCTGTTGCGCTTTTCTTGTGCTCGACGCGGTCCGATTGTGCTTTTTTTTTGTGCTTTTCTGGTGCTAGTTTTGCGCTGTCTCTCTGGCGGCCGGGCCAGTTCAGTCCCCGCGTCCAGGCCGTCTGAAAGAAGGTCTCCGGGCCCAGGTTGCGATGGTAACGAAACCGTGGTTCCAAACCTCTTCGCTGGTAAGTTGCAGATAGCTCCTCCCAACCTCTTCGCCGGTCCGACCCCATCTCACAGCCCTAATCGCCAAACTATGCCAAACATATTTGGATTCAAAGCACTGCCTGGCCCTGGAAAACCGAATGAGATCAGATTTCCTTGTGCTACTTTTGGCCTGTCTGTTTGATAATAAACCTATTGTTGAACTATTAGTGGGCAGGGGCCCCATCTAATGTATGGGGAATCCCAGCACTATTTGGCCTTATTCCGGTTTCCAACTTTATGGGGTTTACTGCAAAACCAAAGACTTACTTCAAGAAGACGGCTACTGCCCTGAAGCCCATCACTTGCCTCAGGAAGACAGCTAAGCCTTAAGCAGCGCATGTCTCCAGGAAGAGGACCGTTCAAGCCTGGCTCCAAGCTCAATTGTGGGCTCTCGCCAACCTCGTCTTCCGGCAGTTGGAGAAGGTCGTGGAGGCTTTGGACATGGATTCCTTCAATGCTTGAACTTTAAGGGCTGTTAAAAGGCTCTGTAAAGGGTTCCATGGTGGTCTCGAGTCCTGAGGTTCTGTCAAAGTGTTAGCTTCGCTTCTGAAGTTTGCGGGCTTTCGCTTTAAGACTTGCTCTTTCGGTTTGGGGTTTCAGAAGTCGACTCCGGACGAGGTCAATTTCAGCAAGGTGCGGTTGCTACAAGGCGTTGCTGTGGTCTGTTTGCTTTCGGGCGTGTCGCGGTGTGGTCATGAATTCGGCGCGATGTGTCCTTCAAACTTGCAGGTGGACATGGGCGAAAAGAAAGCACGGGCTTAAGAGTTCGGATGGTTCCTGCTTGGACCAGCGTTTGAGAGCTGCGTTCCCAGCCCTGCCTTTCAGGGCCTCCAAGAATCGCCGGCACGGGTATGAAAGGCCTCTGTAATATGCGTTTGTACTAGCTTCCATCGTTACAGCAGGGTTCCAGGATTCAACAAAGTTGTCGATGTTCAGCTCGCTCCTCTGGAGAGATCGCGAGTCCAACCTCCGGGAGACTCTGGTCAAAGAAATAGTAATAATAACAGTAGTAGTAATAATAATAATAATAGTAATAATAATAATAATAATACTAATAATAATAATACTAATAATAATAATAATAGTAATATTAATAATAAGAATGATAATATCAATAATAATAGTAATAATAATAATAATAGTAGTAATAATAATAATAATAGTAGCAATAATACTAGTATAATAGTAACAATAATAGCTTGTTCCATGAAGCATGGTTTTCACAGGGATCCGGGCTTGCGTCTGAGCGCCGAAAACCTAATAACGTTCAGTTCCCCAAGCTTGGCTGCTGTGCTGGCTCGCCGTGGCCATGTAGGATGCCATAAACGTAAATCGCAGTCACGGAACCATGCACAAGCATCTGCGACTTATGACAACACCATTGTGCACGTATGCGCAGATGTTCATACATCTGGTCGATATAGCCTAGGAGGAGTACATACATAAGCACATACCTAAGTACACACTCACATGCCTGTCTGTGGCCTTGTTTGCACATGAAAAGATACACACGTTTGCATTCAATCGTCAATAGGTCAGTGCCTAGGACCTAGTTAGATGTATTCGAGGGGCATCAACGCATTTGCGCACATTATCGTCGAGGGGTCTGAGTGATTAGACACACTACTCCCTGATTGCATTCTCTTGGCAACTGACAGTATGGTATACCCTTCAGCCCTAAAGGCAAGCACGATTAGAAGGTGCTGGGTTGAATCACTACGCGGGTTCGCAGCTTGCACCTCGTCAACGAGAGCCGCCAACTCAGTTTGATTACGATTTGGCTTTACGGAACAGGCTTTAGGACTTGGCTTACGGGGGGAGTTGCAGGGTGCTCGGAGGCCTGCAGTTCAGAACGACATGTTCGACCCTGGCTCGATCTAGTTCTCTCCGGTACAAGTCTTGTGATCAAGTGGCACACCGAAGGATTGGTGTGATTGCTATTGCCACGGTTGCGCAGTTTGGGTTGAGGGAGGGACCAGGTTGAGGGTTTGCCTGCGCGACAGGGATGTGATCATGATGATCATGAGTGCTGCTCTGCCTCTGTATGTACACATCTAAGTCTTCTGTGGCACTTTAGTAGTACCGATACTACTAATTAGTTACACATACCGCCATGGTGCGTTTGATTGTTGTTGCCCAACTCATTCTGGATCAAGCCACAAGCGCTGGCGTTTTATTGGGAATGTTTGGTAGATCTGAGCGCGTGCTGCGCCAGGCGGGGCACCTGCCACTGCCGATGAACAATTTCCTGCATATTTCGTGTCGATGTTAGATAAGGATGGTAGTGCGAGATATTGTCCATCAACAGGGTCCGTGTTTGAACGGACGTACTCTTCCGAAACATCGACGGCGCCAACGGTTTCTGTTCGTACTTAGTAGCCCTGACCCGCTCCGCGAGCTGGAGGTCAACAGAGACCGTGACGTGAGGAGGGTTCAGGTTGAAGGGACTGTTAAACGTGTTTGGTGCAGGGACAGGTTCTTTTTTCTGATGGGATCCTATACCTATACCAAGGAAACAAGGACTAGCGGCTAGAGACTCAACAGCTGCAAGAACTGACAGTTTGGCCCAATCTGCACGGCCCCAAAAAGTCTGCAAGCCGCCATTCAAGAAGCCCTATCACCCAGCAGAGTGGGCGCCGAAACCCTACGCCCTGAAAGGACTCTGAGAGGATGACGACTGAGCAAGGTGGCACTGCCCGACAGGATCCATTACAGGACCGAAGATTCTGTGCGGTTCAGGTTTTGTGGTTTGGGAATCCCTTGGCGAGCTCCAACCAAGCCTGAGACAAAAGAAGCCCTATATAAACCTAAACTTCGAGGGCTTTGGAGTAGAAACGAGCACATGTATGACACGTACCCGCAGAAGCGATCGAGATTAGCCTGGCTGTGGCCGAAAGACCTGCTTGAAATGGTCTTTGTACTCGGAATGTTTGGCCATGCTTGTGTGCACCGTGTCGGCTCACTTGCGCTTGTCAGTAGTCTGGCTACTGTCGAAATATTTCACTGCAAGGTGTTCAGTAGTCCGTGTCAACCCCTTTACAAAAAATCATTGGTGTGCATGCAGACCGTACCCGAACCAAGCGCAGACACGGACAGTCAGACATAGGCACAGGCTTGGCCCCTCGTCGTTTCTTTGAGTCTCAGGGCAGCTTTCGATGTCTAGACGGGCTACAAGTCCATTACATAGCTCAAAGGTAGCGGTACGGCAGAAAGAAGCCAAAGACCTGCAGCAACCCCTATTATGATACTGCAATATACCCCAAAACTCCTTCTGCTTCTTAAAGACTCTCTATCAGTCGGAGCTGGAGGAGAATCTGGAGAACGATGCTCTTCTCGCCACTGACACCGGAGCGGCTCCCCAGCGCACGTGCAGCTTGAAACGAACCCGGGCGTGATAAGCTCAGATTGCGACATGCAAGGAGTCACGAAATTCACTCTTCTTTGCATCCTGTTCTCTGGAGGTTCGATGTCAAGACGGATGGAAGGGGGAAGTCAGCAAATGAGCCCAAGTCGCAGCCTTGCAGCTGAGGAGCTGGACTCGTGGCAGTACCCTTGGCGTGTGCTGTGCTGGCCGCCACAGTCTGGGCATCTTCCACACCAACGCTGCGCGCTGCGAAAGACAGGGCTTCTTTTTTGGGTTTTTGTGGGCTCCCGCACCGCAAGCCCATGTAAGCACGCCATGAGCCCCGCTTCAGAGCAATAAGAATTAATAAACCATAAGAATAACAATAGTATTTGTAATATCACAATAATCATAGCAATAGTAGTAGTGCAGTCCTCTGCGATGCAGAACAGAAGAAGTAGCAAGACATCAGAACCAGGTAGGCGCCGGTAGGCAGACCAAGCATACCCTGGTTCCAGGACCTGCTGGAACCAGAGTACAGCATGCCGGAGGAGGTCCAGATCGGTAGCGATCGAAAAATACCTGGCTCTGCACCCTAAACCCTAAACTCTAAACCCTCGGAAGAAAAATACCCTAAACCCTAAACTCACTCTAAACCCTACCTATTACCCTGCTTCGTCGACTGAGCCATGCAGGAGGCAAAAAACTCTAAACCCTCGGAAGAAAAAAAACCCTAACACCCTAAAGCCTAGAAGGGCCGTACTAAGCCTTTCGGTTGCTGGTCTCTTCCCTTTACAACTCCCAGCCCCCTCACCCTGTAGTGGGCTACTCATCTTGTTGCCTTAAGGGTAGTCAGCGGCGAATTCGACTACAGGCTCCCTTCCCTCAAGGGTTTAGGCTATAGGGCCTTCATAACCAGAATATGGGGTTATGTTAGTATAGCTACAATAAGGAACCCCATTGAACAAGATTGGCAAATTGTGCGGGGTTGCATGTTGCTACCCTGCAAGCCAATGATGTGCCTTGTCCTTTGATCGCTTAGTGTTACGAGCCTCGGTTGTGAATCACGGAGGAAGGTCAGGGGCGTCGGGTAGGCCCATGTAGGAGATGTGGCCTGAGGGAATCAACATCTGGGACGAGTTGGGATACATGCCTTGGCGGCGAACCTTCAATGCGGCAGTGAAGGTCGATGATTTGGATGCTATCACCGTTGAGGCATCCGACCCGAATGATTACCTGCGCCTTGACCTGTTCAGCGATGCTTCTACGGCTTGACATGGCTTGGCTATCTAGTTTCCTTAATGGTTACGTACGAAACAAGCCTCGTTGCCACTTTCCATGTTGCCACGTGTACTTTCCTACTACCCTTGGTTTTTAACATGATCGTATCTGCCAACTTTTACAGCTGTCGCTTCCTAGCAGCAGTAGACGTGGTCGCGCAAGTCGCGGCAAGAGCAAGAGCGCTGGCAGCACCGGCGGTGGCAATGATGACAGTAACAATAACAGTAGTAGGTCGTCGGGTGGTGGTGGTGACGGGTGGTGGCAGCCGAAGCAGAAGTAGCAGTGGGAGTGGCAGCAGTAGCAATAGCAGCAGCACAGAGGAGGAGGAGGAGGAGGAGGAGTAGTGGCAGTATACAGTAGTAGTATATAATATAGTAGTAGAAGTAGTAGTAGTAGTAGTAGTAGTAGTAGTAGTAGAAGTAGTAGTAGTAGTAGTAGTAGTAGTAGCAGTAGTAATAGTAGGAGGGGTAGCAGGGGTAGTAGGAGCAGCAGCAGTAGTAGCAGTAGTGGGAGTAGGAGGAGGAGGAGGAGGAGGAGGAGGAGGCGGATGTAGCAGGAGGAGCAGCAATAGCAGCAGCAGCAGCAGCAGCAGTAGGAGTGGTTTTGCATGTTTTTGTGGTCGTCGTTGCTCGTATGATGATCCCGGTGAAGTCCGGGATGGTGCAGTGGGTGGGTCTCCGGTTGTCGTGGTTGTCGCACTGGTTGCTGCATGAGTTGGTGTAGATTTGTCCTGCTGATGAGCCGAGGGCTGGAGGCCACTCTTATTCGGCGCTGCCAGTCAACGATGCCAAGGCAGTTGTTCCGAACATCCGGGTTGGTAGCTGGTGGCAGTTTTCCGAGTCGAAGCCGGAAGAAGGGACGCATTCAGTTTGAACCTCCAGCGTCAGTGTGGTTGCACGTCTTCTTTCGCAACGATAGCTTCTTAGCCAAGGTTCCTTTCGTGTGGAGCCATGCGCCTATTGAGCCCCCGTAAACCCGAAAGCAAAAAGAAACGGACACCTTCTCGCTGCTGACATCGTTCCGGCAAGGTGCAGCAAATTCGGACATCTTCGAACATGAGCGACAACCCAACCAATGCACACTCGCTTGCATCCTTTTGGCAGCAAGCACTTGAAATCAGGATTTTTATGCATGCAAATTCGCAGACAATCCGCACCGGTTTGTCAGAGTCTTGTAACTCTGTACCTCTTCAGTTTCCCCAACAGCAGCAGAATGCCACTTGACGAATGTTCCTCATAGCAGTGGATCTGACCTGAACGGCGGCTAGTAGTGTTCTTTATTCATTCGTATATACCGACATACGTACATGTATTTTGAGATACGAAGCCTTCAGATGTCCTCGCAGGCGAAAAGCGGTCGGTGCATCCTTTGCAATCCGACGTGGCCTCAGTACTCCCTCCCTCCCTCCCTCCTTCCCTGCCTCCCTCCCTTGCGTCCTTTATGCTTTGATTCGCACTCTCTCTCCTTCTCTCGCTTTCTCCTTGTCTCCCTGTCTTATTGTCCCGATGCCTCAGTGCGATAGCAGCCGGTGGGGATCTGTTGTTCCCGAACTTGGAATGTTGGAAAATGATCGATGTCAAGCGCGGGGAAAGGATATGCTGCTTCTCAGCTCTCGGGCCGCCACCGCACTAAGTCTGACAGGCAACAAATGGGAGTTTCCGAAAATGGGGGTACCTTATTTTGGGGTCCTTATAATAAGGATCCTACTATTTAGGGTACTATATTAGGGTCCCCTAATATTTTCGGAACCCCCCAAATGCTTCCAGCGCTGTTATCACTGCACAGATGGAGGTTAACCACAATCTTTGTGCGGAGGTTCTTTTTGAAACTCCTGCTTCTCAGAGGTCAGCTGTTGAAGATGGTAGCCATGAAAGGCACAACATAGACTCTCGACAATACAGCCAGGAAGAATCACAGCACGAGGAGGAGGAAGAAGCGTCACAATCAAAGCGATAAAATTGAACAGGTCGTTTCTCGATGCAGGGAAGCTTGAACGCGACCCCTTCTTGGGCAAGGCTGGAACCTTCGGAGATAAGAGGAACAGAGAAGATGGTCAAGCGGTTTAAGGTCTCCGGCCTAGTCTATACAGCAACCCTAGACCCTAAACCCTATAAACCCTAAACTGCAC